GCAGACGCACACTTGTCGTTGTCGGCCTACTTTTTTGTACGAGGTCAAGTGGCGATGGTATACGAGACACAATGCTGAGGCATGGATGAGAATGGACAGACAGGTACGCAATACAGCAGGAAAGGGGGCTGACAACTGGATGGAGATGTGCAAAGGGGAATGTACAGGTTAAGGTAAAGACATCTCCGCGCTGGCTGTATAGCTCAATAGTTAGGCGAATCAATCAAGAATCTGGCAACTTGATATGGTACGTTAACTGGTGTTTTGCCAAGGGCCCTTGTCTTGCTCCCTCAACAATTTACCATTTAACCACCCGCTCAGCCTCTGGTTGTGAATGATGCTTGTCTGCACCCATGGAGGCGTACGCTTGTAGCTCGCCTGCTAGTGCGTACTATCCATTCAAGGAGATCAGATGAGATGCGCAATGACACATCAGACACGGCATTCGCAAGAATGATGCTTGCAAGCTGATTAATGGATGTTGAGATGGCAAGAGAAAGCGACAGCGACCAGCGAAACCCGGCATTCGAGAGCCGGCGGACAAGAATTGAACCATGGCTGGCTGAATGCCAAGACCATGGCTAGGTATCCAGCCTATTGCATAGTAGCTAGCTATCCATTGTCCAGAAAGGGTATAAAATCGAAAGAAAGGCAAGAAAAATAAATAAATGAAAGTAAGAAGCGTATTGCTTACCCCGGCACTGCGGGAAAAGGGAAAAGGATAAAGACAAGAGGCGCCGGTGAGCTTCCTTACTGCGATCGCTGCCATACTCGCAGCGCCTCCGAGTTGTGACAGCATGTACAGTATGTGTCAATGCGAGAAATGCGAGGTAAGCTTGCTGCTTCTCCTCACGCTAGTGGTGTAAGAAACACGGGCTATTCGTAATACAGATTCGCTCTCGTTCGGAGCGCCGGACCTAGCTATGCCTACTCTTCCGCTTTTCGGGGCAAGTCTCGGGCCACTTTCGGCCGGAGATGTCAGCGATTTCGGGTCCGGGAGTGGCACGTCGTAAGCTTTCTGGCTGCTGGTGGGTACCGCCGTCCCAAGCCTCAGTGGCTAGCTGTGCATACTTGTACGAGCATAGGTTAGTAATGGCAATAGGCAGCTATCGTTGGCAGGCAGAAAGGAGGGACGTCCCGTACTTTCACCCAAAAGTGCCCCGATGCCCTTGGTGTCTGTTGTGTAGCAGTGAATGCAGGGATGAGACGGAGTGTGCTGCTCCGTGCAAGAGCTCGCGCAAGTGCGTATTGGTAGCATCTACTTGTAGGACACGCCGGAGAGTGCTTTGTACCTACTACTAGCCGTATTGCTAATACTAGGTAGTCGTAGCTCACTCACGGTTCGCGGCTCGTGGCTCGTGGTTCGCGCTCCAGTTTGAAGCCACCGACGAGTGAGTGAGTGCCCCCAGTCGCGCGACAGGCCAGCGACAGCCGTAGTGCCTGAATGTGCATCCCTGATCTAGTTGTGTTGTCGGGGGTCTGGCCCCCATCAAACAGAGTGACCCAAAGGTCCAGTATCCTAGGACAGAGCTCGAGCCCCCGGGACGCAAAGTGAAATTTAATGTTGCGTTCAGATGCTTGCTATCGGCCTTGATTGCGGGACCCCCCAGTGGCGCTTCCGTAAGCACTCTCATCTGGCGTTCGCTGCTCGCCACTTTTTGTCTCCGAGTAGCATGGTGTGCTATACGCTTCGGAATCGTAGGTCCTAGGTACTTTGCTTGTATAGGTAGCTGCGGTACGTTTGGTGTTCCGGCCATAGTACATGCATGTTGCTCTCATATTTTCAAAACTTGTACATGTGCCGCTTGTTTCTTTTGCCCCTGGTCGAGCTCACCCTGGTCAAGGTTAATCAAATGCTTTCTCGGAAAGGGCACTTCGGCTGCCTCCCAAGCTTGCTTCTGACCTCTTGTTTAGCGTGAAGCCACACGTTCTGCTCACGACGTCTCACCCCACTCAGAACGTCGTGCTCCACTGGCGAGGACACGGCCCCCAATATGCTTGGAAAAGACTCATCTAGCCCTACCTTCTGCAAGAGCAATGAGAGGGGCGAGTAATCGCTGTGTGGAATGGCTATTGCTGAGCGGTTAGAGCGCAATTCGTACACTAGACCCAGGTAATATGTGGTTAGCTTGGCAAAGATGCCTGTTGATGTTTTTTCTTGCTTGGAGAGAAAAAAGGAGGGGAGGGGGGTTTTCAGGGGTGGTGGAGGAACAAGAATGACAGGAGGAGGGTTTGAAAGCAAGAAGAAAGGAAACAAGCAGGTTGGAGCTATACAACGAGCCATGGGTGTGGCAAAGACTGATGAGCAGGACGCTACCTGAGCCGCGATCTTTTGGTCCCATTCGGCACCATTTCTCATCACCTCTCGCTCTTTTCGTTCTATATGTCTCGGCATATCTGGTGCAGGGCTAGTCAAGTAAGCAACCAAGCCGCGCAACTTGAGTTGCTACTCCGTACGGAGAAGAAACCAGCGATTTGGAATGCTGGGCATAAGTCCGTCAGTTGGCCCACTTTCTGGACCGCTCGCTGGGCCTGGTACAGTAGGTATGAGCTATCGTGAAGAAGCAATCATGGTCCCCCAGCACCCAGTAGTGCGGCTCGTAATGCTCGGAGCATCATCTTGAATGCCGCACAAGTACGGTATGCCGGCGGAATTGGCAATTCATGGGCGATCTGCCCTGGCCACTGCTCTCGTGGCAATTCCCCCTTGTCGCAGTGCCATGGAGGAGAAAAAACACCAAGAAGGGGTGTCGAATGGAGCCCTACAGGGCTGGCGGGTGCGGAGTAGCTACTTGTACACCCGCTTATGCAATCTTCCAGCGGATATAGCGATATCCAGAGAGCCTCTAGCCAAGCCAAAGGTATGCAGCTGCAGGGGCGTGGCTCTTCATTAAGAGCACATGCTCTGCGCCCCACCCCTAGCAATGTTCGCTAGTCGTTCTTCCGGTCTTCTCGGGCACCTGCCGTTGACACGCCCCCTTACTTGTCTCCCATTTTTCCCTTGTGCTTTTCAGTTTTTGACATTCTTACTGTACGATTTCCACTGCCACACCCCTACAGTACCAGCTTTCATCGCTGTTGGTGGGTCGAATTCGAGGTATCATCTATACTTTTCATCTCAAGGCCTGGTCCCTATGCTTCTTTTTTTTTTTTTCCTTGTGAGGGAAATCATCGGCTTGGACATGGTCATGGCCCCCTGTCCAAAAAGCAAATCACAGAACGCACAGACATTCTCCGTACTAGACAGATAGTATACGAGGAGCATTACAAATGTCCTCTTTGATGCCCTGTATCAAGTGCATGGTGCGCACCGAAACTACCTTGATTGCTTGAGTTGCCTCGTTCAACTGCTAGGACGTTTCATGTCCCGCCGTCGCATGCAATGCACTATCAGTGTTGACCGTCTTGTGATGGGGGTTGAGGAAGTCTTCCCCTTTTGCCAGGTTGTGTCTTGTCTATCTTACCAAGTTAGGAAGCAGACTATTGCTAACAGACAACTACGACAACTAGGTACCGCTCCCTGCTAACTCGGATCCCATCATCTTGAAATAGCGTTCAAGTGCCTGAGCGCTCAAGCAAGTGCCGTGCGCCACCACTATACATGGTGGAAATCTTGGGTTGAGCCAGGTTGGCAACCTTGAAGCATTGTCCGCGAAACGCCAGCACTTGATCAACCATCTCTTACCAACATACGGACTAGTGATGTCTCTGACATCTCTCCTGACTGTGCATCTTCGCGATGGATGAGCTCTGTTTTCTTTATTTAGCAAAGGGGCAGGGCTGCAATTTCACTTACAAGACCCAAGACCGCCTATTCACAACGAGGCTATGTCGCGTCTGCAGAGCTAAACCCGAGAGTCTGCCCTGTGGGCGCTCTAGCCTGTCGGATGGCTGTCGATCACTGGCCCTATCGTATAACTGTGCCACTGGACGACACCCGATCATTCTTGACCCAGCCAAGAGGTACCCACACCACCCAGGGCTCTCGCTCCCGTCCGTCCCCATCCCCATGCCCGTGGTAGGCGGGTACGTGCTTTTAAGCTGCGCGCCGGCGCCAGCCACAGGTATAATGGCATCATTGGGGTACCACTGAGGCGCCCCTAGCCTGGACTAAGGCCCTTTCAGGTACCTTGGGCATGGGTCCCGTTCCGCCCTTTTCCAAGCAGCCTACTGTAACTAAACGACGCATCCATGCCGAGAGCATAAAGTTCGCGGTAGCAAATAATAAAAATATCAAATTACAGCACGTGGCTATCTCTTTTCCCTCTTGGCTGCATCTCTCTCCTTTTCCTCTTTGTTATGTTTCGGAACGTAGTATTCCTTCTATCCTATACCCGCCATCCCATCCACATCAACTCCGCTGGTAACTCACTACCTGGCCTAGGTATAGTCCCTAATTAAAGCACCGTCTTGGTAGCGATTTTCGCCTCCGAATGGGTTCCCAATTTAAGCCAAGACATTCTCGAACCTGTTTCACGCGTTAGTTCTGCTTGTTAGTTGGGGCGTAAGAGCGGCATGCGCTTACCGTACCCGAGAAAGCCCTACGAATGCTAGGACTACCAAGGTACAAGGTACAAAAGCCTCTGCTGTCCTAGACCCTAGCGCAAATATAGCGCGAGGGCGAGCTTCGGACTTAATAATAGTGAGGAAATCGCGACTGCAAGCGCATGGGTTATGCGGCATATGGGGTTCCAGATTGCATTGGGAGATAAGGGATAATGTCCGGTGCTTTTCTTTCATCTTTTTTCTTTCCTTTTTTTTTCTCAGTTTCTTACATGAAGAGGAAACTAGGGTCCATTAGGTAGGTAGGTACCTTGTGTTGCGTATTACAGGCTGTATACAGGTAGGTAGGTAGTTCATGCAGACTCTTGTTTCCAAATCAAATTGCAACGTTGTTCTGGAGTCCAAGTTCGTTATGTACTATTGGCATCCAGGAAGAGGCGACTACTATTACATAGATGGACAAGCAAACACACATTCAATACAAATACAGGGAAAACTTTCGCTTAGCTCAGCAATGCCATCATGTCATCGTATTCGCTGTCCCATAAGGGTCATGAGTGATTGAATAGAAGTAGTTGTCAAATACAATAAGAAATAAACAAAACGAAAATAGCATCCGCAAAAAAAGTCAAATTCCTTCGCAACGGTGCGGACAGATCCTTCCCGTCTATATCCCTCTAGTTTGCGTGCTCTAAAAAAAATGGTTCCCATTTCTTAGACACCCTGGGTATCATTTCCCCAAGGTCTCTCGCCGTTTGCCAGACACTTTGACCCGTAATTCATAATCCATCCATGTAAACACCTGAAGATATACCCGACAATTGATTGGGGGGGAATAAGTAATATTATACAAAGCCGCAATCCGAAAGTTGAAAGAAGAATTAGGAAAATATAAAGCATAAATTGGGGGGATTCGCAGTCGAGAGGCCCCATCACCAACGATATGTCCCGCGAAATCATCGCCGCGACACCAGAAACGTCCACTCGTCTAGGATGAAATGGCAGCTTCTCAATACGGGAAGCGACTTTGCGTCGCTTAACCCTCATCGTAGGTTATAGCGAATGAAATCCCGGATTCGATGCAAAGCTTTATTGTAATAAAAGATCTCTAAGTGTTTCGTCGCTGCTTGCACTTGTCGTGTAGAAGATGGCCGTTTCGCGCCGTAGTTCTTGTGAATTCGGCGCCGCAGTTGGGGCAAGTGGCCTTGGCTGCTTGGCCAGACTTTTCTCGCTGGTGTCGGAGGAGGTTGCTAAAGGTCGAAAACTGCCTGCCGTTGCAGCCGTGCTCCCAGCAACGGGGCTTTGGGCGGTTCTGCACCACGCGGACGTGGCCTGAGCTGTCTTGGCTGGTAGAGCTGCCGTTGCTGCCGTTGCTGCCACCTCCTTGTAAGGCGGGCATACGGTACATCATACCGCTGTCGTGACCCGCAGATTGAATGGATGAGTGAGAGAGGCTATCATGCCCATGTTAGAAGATCAACTTCCACGCGAGGTGAATTGCTATCAGTGCTGGGACATACCTGTAAGGGCTTGATGAAGGGTAGTTGGCTGGGTAATCCATTGACATGGGGTAGTTTGATTGCCTGTTTAGCGTCAAATGTCAGCAACTGTAATGAGAGAGAGAGAGAGAGAGAGAGAGAGAGAGAGAGAGAACTAGTGCGATCTTCTTTGCAGATTACTACTTACAGTGGCTGCTGGTATGAAGGAGCGTATGCCGGCTCTTGCAGATGCGGGCTGAAAGGAGGGAGATACGATGGCTCGTGAATTGAGGGAGCAGACTCGCTCAAAAGGGAGATGGGCTGGGGAGCCGTTGTGTAAACAGGAAGAGACATGGGACTGGTAGCATCCGACATTGTCATTGGTGGTGAGCCCATATATGAGCTGCTGCTGCTGCTGCCGGCTCTGATTCGCGTGGTGATTCTCTCACCCCTTCGAGCTCTGTCTCGCTGCTTTTTCAATTCTCGTTGCTCTGGGGTGAGGATGCTCCTGGATGGGCTAGGGGGAAGCATCTTTGGTAGACTCTGAGGAGAGACGCTGGACTCAGATACAGGAGGGAGAATCGGCGAGTAATCTTGTGTCATCATAGCGGGTACAGAGTTGCTAGATTCAAACATTCCTGCAAGAGGGAGAGGAAGTTAGTGAGCGTGTTCTCGACTGCATTGCCCAACACTTGTAGCTATCTTACCTTGCCAAGGAAATTGAGACCTAGATCCCATGCTGAAGCTCGGGTCAAACTGAATGGCAACGGCACTGAGAAACTCGATCAGTTTCAGTCCCAATAAAGAAGAAATGTAATGAATATTCTACCTCATGCTTGCAGATAAGATAATAATGGTCCAAGTCTGAGGCCAAGAGAGCTATGGAGGGGATCTTCTTGCTCAAATAAACAAGAAGAAGGTTGGAAAGTGGGTAGGAGAGAAAAAGGAGGACGAGCTGAGAATTGGCCCAGTTTTATAAAGCCAGGACTCAAGTGAGACAGAGTAAGGCTGAAGACGCTTTGGGTGTGTTCACATAAGCAGCAGGCTGCGGTGGCGTAGGCTGTGAGTGACACGCGGAATGAGGGTGGGAAGCACGAGAGAATATGATGACTCCCACTCAGAATTGGAGAAGGCTCCGAAGACAGACGTTTTACTCAGTTGCTGACCTTGCCGATTGTGAGCAAATCGGTCAAGTGGGAGAGAAGAAGAGACGGGGGAGGCGCCTTATAAGCGACAGAGACTTGTCTTGAGAGGGGGCTTCTCATACAGTAACAAAAGAGGTGGCATAGACAGCAAGTAATGAGAAGCGAATAGCCGAAGCAGAAGACGGTCTTGGGGGTTGAAATGCTCGAGAACAAGACGAAAATAGGGAGCAGATGCCTTCCTTATAGCTCTGCGTCTCTGGTTTTAAGGATGGCTCGAATAAGAAGTCTATCTTTGGAAGAAACGATCTGAGGCTCGCAGTGGTTGTTCTAGCAAGGTCCCGAGGACGGCTTATATGAACGAAGCGCCATAGCGGCAGCACAGCACGAGAAGGTGGAGATATGGCCGGTCCCCAGTTGGCCCTTTGCATGACGAAGGGGGTCCTGCCACCCATCCAGACGGACAAGATTCAAGGTACGTCTTGATGGCTGAGCGAACTAGTCCAAGGCGTGCTGCTGCCGGGATGTCAACAGAACGCAAGGTACGACTTTGCGTGTAGGGACGATGGGGGGAGTGCAGGAGGGAGTGAGGCCAGAAAGAAATGGCATGGGTGGGATGGACATGGGACATGGGATGGGCGTGGGCGTGCAGTTCTTCGCCTGAGGCCATACAGTACTTGTGTATGTATGCAAAGTAGCGGGGCGGTACTTGGGGACCTCCATACCGCAGTCGATACACGCCTGTATGCAGCAAGCGCGGCGCGATATGCAGCTATGCAGATATCGCATTGCCTAGCCCGGCTAGATTGCAGATGAGAGGCGTGGGCAGGGAGTGGCTGTAGGCGCCGAGCCTTGGCCTTGGCCCGTCTGTAGACGGCTAGCTGGCGTGGGGTCCAGCTCATCTGCATTGTGGATGTTGGTTTTGGTGATGAAGAAAATGGGTGGTGGGCGCTGACGGCTTGGCTTGGCGGCGCCGTTGTGGCATCTTTAGTGCTAGGCTTTCAAGGCCTGCCCTACCGGCTGCCTGCGCGGTGCCTGATTGGAACGGCTTCTTGGTGCCTGTGCGAGGCCTGGGATAGGCGCGTCGCACAGCGCTACATAGGCTTTGCTTTCGGACTTGGGCGCTGTGAGAATTGGGGCCGGATCGAGTCTGGCAGCATTATTAAGTACCAGAGCCTCTAGCTCGAGACGTCGGCATGTGGCCTGTCCGCTGTTCCGACATCCCAGCAGCGTATTGCTCGCATCGACCGGGGCACACAAACAGTCAAGTCGGCGGGCTGTGACTCAAAGGCGCGGAGTTTGAGCTGGAGTCAGTTGGAGCTGCAAGTTGGGGAGGCTGGAGTTGGGGGAGGGCATGGACCTCGAGCCCTACCGGTGCTTGTTCAGAGGGCCTGCAGCCTGGCTACCACTCATTCACGGGGTCGCAAGTCCGCTCTGCGCAATCCGAATGTACGCGCAAATCCCGGTCGCCGCCTGTTTGCTGCATGAGCGATAGGCCAGGCGGACCCGAATGCATGTATGGAGCCCGAGCAAGCAGCAGCGCATCGACTCTGGCACAGCCGTGATGCCGTCCACACTGCACTGTACGGCGATGCTCGCTGATGGGGGCCATGGCAATAGCCGCTGCACTACTTTCGTACACTACATGCACTGTAATTGCCTGTTGGCATGTGCGCTCTATATTGCTGTGCAGATGTAGGTACTGTTTCACTCTGCCTCTGCATCTTCATGCAGCGCTGCGTACATGCAAGCAGTTCGCGCAAGGCTGTATGGAGGCACAGCACGCGAGGGGAAGTGCACCGCATACAGAGATGTTCAGCTGCAGCTCAGAACCAATACTTGGCACACGTACAAGTATACACAGTTGGTTGTTCACACGGCGATTCCCGCTACGAAGAAAACAAGATGCCGGAGACATTATCCAGCGGGGGCGCAGAATGCAGGTTCCAGGCAATAGCACCCACGCCTCTGGTTGACCTGCGGATCTATCCTATTAATCGCGGCCATCTATGATGCGCCACTTCTATAATAACCTGACTGTGCACAGTCACTGGCGAACCCATGGATACCAAGGCTCAGGGATATGGAGCACATACGGAGTATATCTCACCCTGAGTCAGGATCGGCAGATCACTTGGATCAATTGGGGGGTGTTGCAAGTGGAATTGGACCATATCTGTGCTCCGTATTGCGTACAAGTACTGTAAGCCGGATGAACATTGCATACCTACGGTCCCGCCTTTCGGCACCGATTGGCAACTCTTGAGCTGTTGCTGGTGAGTCTGTCCATTCATGCTGTGTATCGGGTCGGCGATAGTCGTTGAAAAGAGCGATGCGAGTTGTTGGCACACTGCAGACTCAGCCGCGCTGACGGGGAGATTGGCAAGATTGGGGACATGCCAAAGTCTGGAATCCGGTGATGCAACTCCATGTTGGTTCATCTATACTTGACGATAGGTGAGAGTGGGCTTCCAGCGCTACTCGCCGCGGGAGGTGCCCGGCAGGCCTATACAGATTGTAAGGGTCAGACGAGACGCAGGGGCAGGGATTCACCACTCACAGAGCGTTGGTTGAGTACAGTACCGTGCTGTACAGTAGAGTTAGTACATGTGCTGATGGCGACTTGGCTGCTCGTACTTCGTATATATCCATCCACTGCGAGGCTAAGGGTGGGGAAAAGAGAGCTAGGGCGCTAGCCGAGCTCGCGATAGTCTTGATCACAGCATGCGGTCGACTCAACTAACTGCGTCAAGGCATAGCAGGTTCCTGAGGTAGCTCGACAGCCCGCTGATGCGGCGTAGTCGAGGTGGGCTCTGGGACCTGTCCTGTGCCATCTGCGCTTTTGTATGTACATGTGCAGTAATGCGTGAGGATCGCAAGGCATGTCTCACTTGTCGCTGCGCCCACTTGCACGCTTTGGTGTTACGGAAGCGATGGGCTTCGGGACGCACCGCTTCTAGAAACAGCCACTATCCATAGGCCTGATCCTGCCGAAATCGAAGAGACAGAAAATAGGCAAGACACCTGGGCACTTTTGACGGCCCGAGCGTCGAGTCAAGAGAGACAGGACGCAGAACAGAGAAGAAGCAGGCTACTGTACAGTATAGCGCTGCACACTGCTCCATGGAGCCCTTGGCTGCGCGACAGAGTGAGACAAGCGTGGCGTTGTCAAGATGCCTGCGCAAGTCGGCTTTGCGCCGTGGGAATACAACCCTGCTTTGGCTTGACGAATTGCCTTTTCGATCTCGCCAAGTATTACCTACCTATTCTTCAGGCATGGCGATTGCAAAATCGCCCTATAGCGGTAATATCTACGCGCTCCGGAATGCCTATACCTTCCTATGCTCTGATAGCAAACACTGCCTATTGAGGACAGTTCGCACCTCGTATACCAGCCAATGAAGAGGCTTAGTCAACACGCGCTTCAGCTCCAGCAGACGATACCTGGCAATTCGCCCTTTGGAACATCGTCGTACCCAAGCCAATAGCACGTCCCGGCTCGCAAGCGCACAACCCGCCAACAGACGCGATGCAGCCTGGTCGCCACCCCTTGGTATCGGACACTTATCTTGATGAGCCAAAGAAACGGGACGACTCCCGGAACATGTGGGCTCGGAGGATGCCCAAAGAGGTCGCCAGCTCTAAGGGCCCGAGATACGTATTCCTTCCGCTTTGGGCAGTCTGGAGCGCTGTGCCAGTTCCATCTGTACTTGCCTCAATGGTCGATCCGTCCTTGCCTGCGTCTTGGCCAGGCGAGATGCAATGTCACCGTCGCTGTCACCCAAAAAAAAGCAAAACACCACAGGCCAACCTCCCGCTGTTTTATTTTTATTTTTACCTTTTTTGCTGCCCTTTTTATCTGATTGCCCCCCCATGACGATTCTCGCTACTCGCCTTTCGCTCGCAGCGGCTACTGCCATTGGTCCATTTTACGATCCATCTACTCGAAACGGACCAGCGCCACTTTGCCGGGACCCCTCCCTCCTCTGCGAACTCTGCCCTTCTAAAAATTCCCCATCTCGTGCTACTACAGTACAGTATCCGTCCGAGTTTGCTAACCCCATCTGTAGGCCCATCGGCGAACGCAGCCGCCGATTCGAGGCACAAGGCCACTTCAAGTGTGTTCAGCTCTGCCTCCTGGTGCAGGTCCAGTGCCAATCACACGCCGCGATCGAGAAGGATTGCTGGCAGTCGCACCACACTGCCACGGCCACCGTCAGCCCTGCGTCGGGGCAAGCCTAGAGTCGGCGTCTATTCAACCCAATCGAGGCGATACGCAGCTCGCCAACGTGCTCCCCGCCCTAGATTGGACCCGAGCAGACGACAAAAGATCGTTGGCCGGCCGCGCCAGAGCCATACATACATACATAGCCCTCTGATCAACGGTTCCAAGCGGATGACTGGCTTTTGCGCGTGGCCCCCAATCGGAAGATGACATCGTCACATCGGATGGCCCCCCTTTTTTCGCTATCCAGAGACAGGTTTCCCCCTTCTGGCCCTCCTGGGAGCCGGAGCTGGGGACTTCAGCACCAGTCCCGTTTCTTCTCGCCGCCCCTCCCAACTGATTGATGCTTGTCGCATGCTAGCATCTGCTACAGTGTACTGCTAGTGGTACTACAACTACTGTTACTTGTGATATTATCAACCCATCCCGGTTGTCCTGGGGCTTTCATCTCGCCTGCCCGCACAATCATGTCTGTCTCGAGCAGTTCACGACCCAGCGCCACACCAGGTGCCGGCGCTAAATGACGACAAGAGTAAGCAAGATCAAGATGGATTCGTCAATTTCCAAAGGCCACTGCTTGACGATTAAAGGGCTTGGTCCATTCACAGGGCTTAGTCCAAGGTATGCATTAGAGCCAGATGTGATGTGCATCGGCACAAGAAAAACGCCTCGTAAAGAACAGCTTGTTTAGAGCGCAAGACAGCACGTCGTCATACCAATACGCATACTTGACGCCGTGCACTCAAGGCGTTGTACAGATAATCTTCTGGTTCAGCTAACGCACCCTGACGAAACTCAATGTGGCAAAGAGACCACCGTGGTCTATTCTTTTACATGACGCAACGTCATATCCAGACTTGGCGGAACCCTTTCTGCCATCACTGTTGAAACTCCCAGGCCAACATCAAATACTACCTACTACATCGACTTAACGCGAAGCGGCCGGCCTGCTCCTCTTGCCGGCATCAAGCCATCAATTCAGTTGTCACATTTGCTGTTGGGCGATGAATTGGTTCATCCTGGCTCACGACAGAGTCAATATTGGCTTGAAGATCACCTCGCAGGGCGATAATATTTGCTTTGCTGGCCCATGGTTGCGCCCATCCTGGCTCATGACAGCGTCAACTCTGACTTCGAATATTACTTACAGGGTGAAGGATTCATGCATCTTACGAGCACTCTTGTCCAAACCACAAACACTTTCAAAACAAACAACAACAGAGCCAATCAGCAGCTTCCAATGCCCACTCTTTGCCAGCACAGCCAAGCCCGTTATAGTTGACTGGGGCTTTCCTCCTTGCTTTCCACGCTTGAGACAATTTAACAAACGCAGAATGCTTTTGGCTGCGCTTGAGGGGCTTGCAACTTAGATCCACAAGCATAAACAACAACCCATTATACCAGGCTCAGCCTCCATCACTCATCGCGGAGAGGTCCGGCTGGCGTCACTTGGCTCCTGTCTAGTACGATTCCAGTCTCTTGTGTCGCTGCTAGCAGGCCCGCTTTGCTACGGGGTATGCTGTTGGTGGCACTCCGTAGATACGCTGTATTACATAGCTCTGTTGACCCAAGGCGCTGATCCAGCGTCGAACCATGCACATATTTTGGGGTTACATTCGTCTCGAACATCTCTTTCTTTGCTTCTTCCCTGTCATCTCGGCTTCCACTTGGCCTCTGCGCGACGGCTTATCCCATGCACGCTCACAGGGAAATCGCTGGCACTGTGTTTCATTCTGACAAGTATGGTGTGGGGTTCATCGAAAACCACGTTTTTCGGTCCCGAGAGTTAGGTTATACGTGTCCGCGGCTCTCCGATACGGTCACAGTTATGAAGACTCAAAGCCGGAGCTTTTTTTTTTTTTTTTTTTTTATCTGAAACAGGTTTACTGGTAAGCATGAGGCTTTCATCTATTCATGGCAACAACTGCTGCATGATGAAAATCATTCAATTCCATCCTGTCATTGGGAGTGAAAGGGACACAATTCACATGCTGGCTGCAGGTTTAGTGTCGACAGGCAGAAGGCTAGACGCTCTTGCGACATTTTCCTCGGCCAATGACCGCAGCATCAGAGCTAGATCCAAAGCCAATAAAAAAAAAAGACCCCCATTTTGACAGGTTACCATATGCGCTGAGACGACCAACAACCCGTTACAGCAGAAATGCTTTTGACGACAAGATCCACAGCTAATTTGACCCGCAGAGAAACGTACATGTCTATTAGGTCAGGCGGTACTTCTCCAACTTTACCTGTATCGGTTACTCGTGTGAGGAGCTGGGTCAAGGGGGACATGCGAAATCCACCTCGAGATGGGGCAGCCCCAGTGTGGTTATCAACTCTGATCGACGACTAGGGGGACCCTGGTTCGGGCAAATGTCTCAGCACACGCCCTGTCTCCTCTGCGCAAGTACGCACAAGTATAGTGGTGGTATACGCATATTTGCTTGTAGCACTACCACTCCCTCACCCTCGTTTACTTTTTTTGAGAAACGTGCCACATGCAACATCATCTCGTGGACTCGCCATACCCTGGCCCGGCTTCCATCCTTGTCATGGAGGGGAGGAAAGACAAGTCGGCTGTCGCTTGCCACAGCATGACTGCTTTCTGCAGGTCGACGAAAAGGGTACATTTGGATACCGAATAAGTTAGCACTTTGAAAGAAGACAAGACTGTGGCAAGGCAAAGCAAGGTAAGGGTTGGCGAGAGCGCTCCTGGCTGTTGGCGGGTTTACGGAATTCGTCGTAACTCTGACCATACAGGCGTCATCATTATTTCTCGCTTCATTTCATTCGACCCATGGGCTAGCGAGTGACGAGACACGGCAGGAAGAATAGAGAAGAGAAACGATTGGTAATCCTAGCAGGGTAATGCATAGTTGCAAGGCACACCCACTCTAGACAGAGCATCTCGACGGCGAATACCAGCATATGCAATTCTCCGCTCAAAGTGGCGGCAGGCTGCTTTTTGCTGGCGGAGATTTTGGGGATTCTAGCCTGGTTCCCGAAGTCTTGGTCTTCGGCTGACATACATGCACAGCCCTTTACAGAGGATTGAGACACGCCCAGCCAAGGGACTCGTTCATCGAATCTAATTCATCTTCCATTTTCAACGCTGAATCAATAATGTTTTATAGGTTCTATGATGCTATCCTCCTACTGAGTGGCCCTCAAGGTAAAAAGTTGGCATAAACTAACGGAATTAGCGAACTCAGAATTTCAGTGGGACGGTGAGCCACCCTTTACTATACCACAATCGTGCAAAGTTTCTCTCAGCCTTGTCGTTTGTATGGCCCTGGGACTCGTCTATCCGTTTTTCCTTTCAACCATTTCTCCGAAAGGGGGGGCGTTGATAGCAATGCAAGCATTGACACCAAGCAAAGTAACCAGTCTGCTGTATATACTTGTATATGCAGCATCCAGAACTACCGCTACTAGCCAACCGCTAGCAAGTGGTAGCAGTACTACATATTGGGTCAGAGCAACTCAAGCTTCAGCTCGTACCACTTGTTGGAGCTCGAAACACAGATCTTACTGCCGCTAGATTGGGTATCTGCCCCCGCGTCTGCCCACTCCTTTGATTTGGAAATCATGGAGGAAGAAGGGAAATGGAAGGAAGAAGTAGCATCTGTGGGCCAAAAAAAACAATGTGCCCCCCTCCTAAAGTGCAAGATAACATGACATGAGATACTCGGGGCCGAAGCAGGGCGGGGGGACACGGCAACCGGGTCTCTGGAGATTGTGCATGGCTGTCAGACTTGGAACCTATACACACGGACAAAACGTCGACCATAGCCTGGCGCAAGAGTCTTGATGCGATTGGACACTGATAGGACGACGGCCAATAAGAGTTTGATGTTGGACAGAATGACTAGTCAGGAGCTTTCCTTTGAGCTAAAGACTGGATGGCCTGGGGTGCTGCTGCTGATATACCTTGTTTTTCTTTTTAGCTGGTTCGAGTGCCAGCGCATAACAAAGCAGCCGCCTCTATCCAGATGACTGGATGGGTAACCGCCAACAGCCCCCCCCCCCCCTCCCACCTTCTCCTTGGGGCGGGTATCATTCCCGGCGTCTGCCTGGGACCGATGCACTGGAGGTGAAAAGCTAACCCGGGGCTGACAAGCAATCCTACTGCTAGTACTAGTAATAGGTACAGCTATACCTTGGTTCCAAAGATGCCATACACCAAAGTCTCCAGGAGTTCACAGCCTTTCCAATCTTGGCCCCAGCTCGCTATTACTTATGCATGTATGGAGTAGGAGCATACATAAACGCACCGCCGCATGGAGCACCGCTTCGCCTTGCATGCTAACACTCTAAGCGTCTCCTGCGCTTGCCTCTTCGCCTCAATGACTATAGGCTGATAACGGGAAAGGATTTTGGTCAAATCTAAAACCGCAGATCATATTTCAAAATAGTATACCAATGGCATTTGCAGGATAGCTGACAACCGCTCAACCATTTGGAACACTCACGTCATGCCTTTACTAGATCAAGTACACCACTTATTGTACAAACTCAAGCCTGCAACGTCCTAGGGATTCATCATCCAGGTACGGAGCACCAAAAAAGGGAAGAAGAAAGAAGAAACGAGAGTACTTGGGATATGAGAATAGTGTCAAGAAAGAAAACCTAAGATTTTGGTTTTAAACCGTGCCGTTATGATGCCATAGGGACCAAAGTGTTGTCGTTTTGCAACCAATGCCGAAGAATATCGGATTCCTCTTTTCTCACGGCTGGCGTTGGCTCAAGCTTTCTCGTATACTTTCTCGTCTTTAACTTCTTGTCTCTTCATTTTCCTTTTTTCTCTTCGACATGTGGGGAAAGCGGACAAAAGGACAAAGTACGCATTACTACCACTAATGGTAATAGTACGTATCTATGCGGACTACTATACTACCCGCAATAGTTTTGTTGACAACTGTGAGGTGCAAGCAGTCTCCTCTCAAAGCTGGAGACTCAATGATGGAGTCAATGATGGAGCTGGCGCCCCCCTGCAGCACACAATTAAGAGTGAATCGGGCTGAAGTGAGAGACGCGTGTGACGGCGAAGTTACATTTTACGCAAGCGGCGGTGGCCATTGCTATCTGTTTGTTCGTACAGAGGCACACTGACCATCTGCGAGTTTTCAGAAGTGCTTACCGCGCAGAATGAGTACGAATTTGTGGAAGAAGAGACGGCTGCAGCTTACTGGTACCGTCCTCTGTACTGCAAGTGGTAGGTACAAGTACAGTATATACGAGCAGAGGAAAGGTCTGAGACAGGGGAGACAGGGCCTTCGGGGATCCAGGAAGCAGGGGGCGTGCAAATATCGCCATAACCCTTGGCGCGAGGACTAGGCGGCAAGCACGGCTACATGAATACCATCTAGATTGATGCATGAGCAAAGGCCCCAGAATGAGCCGCCCCAAAGCTGTTAAGCTTATATGCAGCTACGCGGTATGCCTCTCGGGGTGGCACAAAGCTTCTTTGCTTCGTTTTCGTGTGCGTCCCAAAGAGGAAATGGCCGAATCCAAAGACTCACACTCTCGGTCTTGGAGCCTGGGAAATGAGGGCAGCGATTACGAAACGACGACGTACTTGGACACAGGCGGGTATGAGGCTGCGTCGCGTCCGAGCTTTCTGGAGACGGAAGGGAAACAACAGAGGGCGAGGAGGACAACAAGTGCAGCTGGAACAAGATAACAGCCTGTGACTCGGACGGCCGAATTTGCTGAGGAAAGGGCCGAATGCACAAGCAAGCAATGAGATTTCTCGTTTTGTTTGCTTTTTACGCCATAGTATAGGTACTGTTACTACAGGTACGGCACAGCAGCTCATGCAGGGCCCCAGCCAGGCCGCTCTTGGGAAAAGGTGAGGCGCATTGATTCGACCCGTCGGACGGTCCCATTTGTCATAGACTGATAGCCTTGGAGATGGAAACCCGACACTTTTGTATGAAGGAGGCAATCGAGACGAGGCACAGTAGCGGTATTAGATAAGACTGGGACCCTCTTTAGAGCGGAAAGGAATTAGCGGGGAAGCTCTCACAGGGTCTAGCGAAGTGGTAGTAGCAGTGGTAATGGTAATGCTACCACGACCTATTACACGTTGAGAAGTTGTTTTGGGGGTTCTCATTGGTCAGGCTGTATTACTCTTGTCTCTATCTTACTCTGTCTGTAAGTCTCTTGTTTCTTTTTGCACAGTCGTTTGTTCCATGTTGCCGAAGCTCGGCTATTGCTTTGGGTGACACAATCGCTGATAGCCGAAGCTGAGGATAGTTTACGTTGCAGTTTCAATTGTGTTTTGTCAGCGAGTTGAAGAAGCAAAAAGACTGAAAAAATCAAGAAAATGAAAAAAATACGAGTGATTGAGTAATTGAAAAGGGATAGGCAAGTCTACAATACTTTGGCGTTACAGGGTTCTGTCATTCATCGCCACCGGCTTCTTGCATTCACCTTTTTTTTTTTTCCCTCTGTTCTCGGGTTTCGAAAAGCGGAGAGCGAATGCGACATAGTAAGCAGACATTTGATTTATATGATGCATACCGAGTACTACAACCACTAACTGTATACTGTAGGTAGGCATGCATACACTACGAAAAGTAGTAAGGTCGCAATAGCCACTAGCAGCAGCAGCACTAGTGGTTGATTTATGACGAGAAAAGGAGGCCTTTTTGTTTGTTTGCTTTTTTTTTTCCTTTTGCCTTAGGCCATATTCAGTTCGTGGCTGCAAGAAAGCGAGGCGAAGTTGAGGCCGGGGTTCTTTAGTTTAGGCATCCAACATTGGAAAGGGATTTGTTTGGCTTGTCTGCCTTGGAGTAGCTGCCTTAAAGAGCGGTGGTGCTGCATTACCCTGATGCTGGTGCAGCTGGTGCTGGTGCTACTGCTGCTACTGCTGCATGGTTTCGGAGAGATATTATCTGGGTGTTGTTGGCAAGGTATGGATGATGACAGCATGATAATACCTCCAGTTGAACAGGCATGGCAGAGTGTTCAAGTACCATATTGGCGGGAGATGCCGCCATGGAACCTGCCCGCTTAGCTAAGCGGTATAGAAACGATGAGAAAAAGAACAGAGTTTATGGAGCTCGATAAAAGTCGGCCATGACATGTTTCTTGCCCGCTCTCGTGATCTCTAATGTCGGAAATGTTCCTTTCAGCAAAGCGAATTGGCTTTATATAATATTATATTTGGCTCTGGGACATCAAAGCCCGCTTGGCTAAGCGGTATAGCGTGTCACTAGTACTTCTTTGACATGACAAGGTGATCAGTTCGACTCTGATAGTGGGCATTGTTTTTTACATTTTTTTAGTTATTTGCCGCGTTACTGGTACTTCTGACATGACAAGGTGATCAGTTCAACTGTAATAGTAGGCATCTCTTTTTACTGTTTCCGTGTCGCTAGTACATCTTTAATATAACGAGGACTAGTTCAACTCTAATAATGGGCATCTCTTTTTGCGGCATCTTTCCGTGAGACGACTTTTTGCTCTTTGTGTTCCTTTTCTTTTGCTCTTGTAGTTCTTGTTTTGCTACAGGGTATTCATGCATTCCTGAAACGTTGCACCCAATACCTATACTGCTTGTACACCAACCAACCGACGAATCTATAATACAAAAGGATAGGGCACTAAATGCTCGATAGGGGATGAGATAGGCTGCATGCACGATGCTCGGAACTAGCAGCAGTCTTGTCATTTCGCTGCCTAGCCTGCTTGTCTATTGCGATTTATGCAACACAGTGAGTAGGCAGTCTAGGAAGATCATGTAACCAGCTCTAAGTGCACGGCTGCGTGAACCGAAATTGCAGAAGACGTAATTACACGCGCCCTTTTCTCGTCATGTCATGACATCTGTCCTTATGACTCAAAATGTTTTCCGCTTCAGCCTCAATTTCCACGCTGCTTGGCTACGTCATCATGCCCATGCCAGTTTTCCATCTCTTCTCTCTGTCTTTATTCCCATTGATGCCTGTTCTTTGGCATTTAGCCAGCTCAGAAACAGCACAATTTATGTAAACAGATGAGCAGGTGATTATTAACATTAAAAAATAAAAGGCTAGAAAAGAAAGAAAGAGGACATGCAAAATACGGATTTCTGTCGCAGGCTAAACGCGGGTCCCGTAAAAAAAGAAGCTGCCCCTCATGTTTGGCGGTGCCGACATATTGGAGCTGGAGCTAGAGCTGGAGCTTTGGATAGGCGACAGCGAGACGCTCTTTTTCGTTGTTTGCCTGTTTAGCCAAGGGAAAGGAAATGGATGACACGTAAAGCGGAAAAAAACAAAAGACGTGGCATGATGGTATTGGGCATTTTCTTGAAGCTATAGCTGGCATCTTCTTTATTTTCTCTGATATATTCTGTTCCTCGCCTTGCCTGTGCAAAACGTGACACCAAGAAAAGCTGACCCCTCCTCCGCATTTTCTAATTCTCCCTTTTTTTTTTCCCACCGGCTGCATTCGTCGTTTGAAGGGTTAATAATCAGCTGCGAAACTTGAGCGAAAAGGCTGAAACCAAAGATCCGAAACCTTACGAGCGACAAAACGACGTGACCTGACGTTTGAAGCCTTTCTTCTGCGCGCCTTTTTGTTACATTCTTTCCTTCTTTTCGCTGTTGAAAAAGAAAGCTTGTTTTCCTACTTGCTGACTTTGGACGAATAAAGCCGACGAAGCTTTTCCCCGCATCGCCGTTGCGCGTTTGACTTGGAGCGGCAAATCGGACGGCAAAACAAAGACAAGAGACCGGAAGGACGAGATTACCTGAAGAATTACGCAACTCGATACCGACCGACTCAATATACAGAGGGGGAAAGGAGTGACGAAATAAGAGAAACTTCTGGGGGCTTCATCTGCTCTTGACGCCCGCAAACAAACTATACCTTTTCCGAGGCCATCACACAAAAGAATCCATCGCAGCCATGTCATCCTTCTTCGTCGAGCTCTGGGAGGGCATCTTCACGCCCGGCCCGACTCCCACCATCCTCAAGGCCACAAACGTCAGCTTTGCCGCTTTACAGGTCGTCCTGCTGTCGCTCCTGTACGCCACGTACAGCGTGCACTTTGTGGTGCTGTCGGCGCTGTGCGGCGGGCTGTGGTGGTCGATCAACTGGTTCGCGCGGGAGCTCAAGATTGCGCAGGCTGCCGAGGCGGAGCGGAAGAAGAGGGAAGAGGAGAAGAAGAAGTTGCAGGGCGATGGGTCCGGGTCGAGCGATACCGAGGTGGAGGGCAAAGTTGCGAGGCGGACGACGAGGAGCAGTAAGAAGAGCGGCGGGCCTGGGCCTGCTGCTGCTGCTGCTGCTGCTGCGGTGAAGGCGGATGCTGAGCCTTTGGAGAGTAGGGGTGAGGTGAAGCAGAGGGCGGTGCTGGAGCCGCAGTCGAGTGCGAGTACGGAGGATGAGTGGGAGAGGGTTTCGGAGAGTGAGAGGTAGGGAGAGATGTGGTGATGGAGAAGGGTTATGGTGAGCTGGACTGTGAAAGAGGCTCTGTGAAATACGAGGTTTAGCTAGTTATCAAAGAAGTGTATATACATGTGTGTTTGATATGTGGCGTGAGATGGTGGAGACAAGATAAATATCGTTCTCTCGAGTGTCTATCCACTTGACGTATTTGTAGGACACTGCAGGCTTTCCGAGTCTATAATGGTGAAAGTTTCAATGAATTTGCATCCAATCCACGAGATGAGTCTTCTCGCCTCTCTAGAAATTCTATACCCTTTTACTCTCTATACAGGATATCACGCTGAAACAAGAAAAAGACAAAAAAGCCATCAAAATACACAACAGCAAATGACATGTATTCAAACCATCCCCTCACGCCATCACGCTCCCACGCCTTACAACCAGGTATAAAAACAAAAATAGATGTATCAAAGAATCTTTTCAAAGAAGAAGAGCAAAAGAAAGAAGAAGCATTTTCCTTGTTGTAATCTTGATTCACAGCTTTCGTAGTTTCCGTGTCATATGAGCCGCAACCAACATGCTCATGGCCCCTATAAAGAGACAAACCGCAATGGCATTCGTCCCGCCAGCCTCCTTTCCTTCAGCCGCAGCCGCAGCCGCGTCCTTTGTCTCGTCATGCAGGTCCGGGCTCTTTCCGGGCTCCATGACGGCGAAGACAATGGTGGAGATGAGGGTGCCGATGAATTGCGGGAGGGTGGTGTAGATGTTGAGGATGCCAAAGTAGATGCCGGACAGCTCGCCCGAGGATGATTGTGAGCGACTGTTGCTGTTGCGGCGGGTGGATGTCAAGGGGAGGGCGGCGGATGGGTCTTGAGCGCCGCTGAGTTTGTTGACTTCGATGCCGAGGAAGGCCGTGGGAGCCCACATGGCAATGGCCCATGGTCTGAAGTCATTTAGCAAAACTTCGGGGATTATATGTGTCTGTATATGTACACATGGCGTGGATATCAGGGGGGCAGATACTTACATGCCACAGATACACATGAGAGTCGTGGCAGACACAAAACTCTTGGCCAATGGAGCCATGAACATGGCCGAGGCGAACATTAAATCCCCGATGATCCACGCTTGGAGCAGATCTGGCTTCATCCTGTCCAGCTTTTTGAGCAGGCCGGCCACCGCGGGCAATGGCCGATGGGTGTAGGACTCGTCCGTTGGGGACCGCACCATCATGGGCAGGAAGAAGGCGCCAAAGAAACTGACGGTCGAATAAATAACCAAAGCAGAGCTGCCAATGCGGCCAATCTCGCCCAGCACGTCGGCGTTTGAGCTTTTCGCGTTCGCAGGCATGTCGTAGCGGATCCAGGTCTCTCCGACCCAGGTCGAGCTGTAGCAGATAAAGGGGAACCAGCCGATCCAGGACCATAGCTGCGCCCAGCAGATGGCTTGCACGCGAGGCGGGAGAGTCAGGAGCGTGGAGCGGATCTGGTGCAAGACCTTGAGGGGCCCTTCGCTGGGGAGCTTCTTGGCGGAGAGAGAGTGAGACTCGTGATGGGACGGCCGCAAGACGCGCTCGGTGACGGCGTAGCAGGTAACGGAGGTGGTGCCGAGGATCGCCATGGAGGCAATCACAGCCAGTTGTTTGAACTGCGTGTCGCCGAGGCGAGGCCCGAACAGGCGAACGAGGTCGATGGAGCCCGCGCCGTATCCTATCATGTGGCCGATGGAGTTCATACGGCTGCCTGGGAGAGGATGGGTAGTTAGCAGATGAAGGACTGAATCGATACAGCAGAAGAGAATTGTCAACTCACCCCAAGCGGCGCCCGTTTGCTGCTTCTCAAGGGGAAGGGTGTCAACAATGAGGCTCCTCGCACACGACATGACTGTACATCGACACCGTCCAACCGTCAGCAAAAAAGATCAACCAACACTCACATCGCCTAGACGATATAGCTAGCGAACAAGACTCACTCGCATTAATCGCAAAATCCACCGCGTATATCGCAACCACTGCAAGAACCACGGTGAATCTCCTCGTCGTATCACCACCATCGCCGCCCACAAACGCGCCCACAATCTCGCGCGTAAAGCCCAGCACCAGCAGACACGCAGACACAATCACTGCCCCAATCATCATCAGCGGCCGACGACGGCCCCAACGCGACGTGCTCTCGTCGGCTACGACGCCCACAATCGGCTGGACGATGAGACCAGAAAGAGGCCCAGCGACCCAGACCAGGGAGACATTGCTCTTGCTCAAGCCGAGTTTGAGGAGATACGGCGTACAGTCTGTAAATCCAGGTTAGCTACTGTTGATAATACGATTGAATGACTACGAAGTAAAAGATGATCCTTCAATCGGAAGAGGGCAGTGGGAGACATTACAGCTCATTTCAAATCCCCAAGTAAATCTAACAGTAAACCCCCAAAAGTCAGTCAATAAATTCAACAACTTTCGTATTATCCAAAAAATACTCACGTAATTCCAATGGTGCAAAACGTCAACAACACCATTTTCATCACCTCGGAATTCCCCCGGATCGATGCCTTCCCCGTCAAAATATATCCCGCCGCCATTGTGGGCGCAGCGCTCAGAATAAAAAAGAAGAGAAATCGCCGTACGCCGAGTTAATATTAAAGCAAAGCTGCACTGCTATCAATTAATTCCCACTACGCATCCATCGTCATCATTTTTTTTTTTTCCCTTTGTTGGTTGTTGTTTGTTGTTCTCATTTCTCCCCCCACGTTTTAGAATTGCTGCTACCGCTAGAAGAAAGGGGGCCGCGCTCAATCTCTCGTCTCTCTGCTTACCGCTATTGTCTATTATTAGCCCCCCTGTGAGACCCTCAGTCTCAGAGCCTCTCTCATCTCCCCGTCCTAGGCTCGAAACAGGCATGGGTCACGCAAAAGGTCTCGTATCGCCAGCGGTTACTCCGTGATACCTCTTGATTAATACCTCGTGAAATGAGCATTTTTGGCATTTGCTTCTCTTCAATAAATCTCGTCTTGACTAGCGAATACATACAACGAATAGATAATAATACATGTTATACAGTCGACTGCTAAAGTGCGCTCCGCAATGCTCGAGCCATTGTCGCGTAGAATAATAAAAAATATCACTTAATGGCATCTTTCGGCTCAGATCTGTCTACTCTCTGCGTCTTGATATGGTAGGACTTGCAGCACCCTACATCCATCATCTTCTTATCCGCCAAGCCAGTAGCCTTCTCACACCTCATACACTGCCCCAACGCCCCTGAATTGGACAAGGCATATAAAATGCCAAAGAGAAGAAGAAAAAAAGCAACACAAAAAGCTCCATCTTTCTCATACTCCCACAATCCGAAACATCTCCTTTCAGCCTCTGCATCTCTTGGCTGCATCTCTTGGCTGCATCTCTTGGCTGCAGCTCCAGTATGAAGAACCAAATCAAGAGCTTGAAACAAGCGGGGGAAAAGAAAACAAGTAGTGACAGGCTCAAAATAAATCATATAGTGCCGTGCTTCTTCAGATGCTAATAAATGAGATGCGATGAAGAGAGGCGAGAAGCTCCCTCAAAAATCCTAACAAAAGAAAACGTGCAACAATAGTTTTTAAGAAGAAGAAGAAAAAGAGGAAAAAAAGAAAACGCCTGGTTGCTTGCCTATCCCTCCTCAAATATGCCATTGGTTGTTGTATACACGTTTGCATCTTCTCGACGATGCTGGTCCTGAAATTTCCATGATAACAAGTAAAAAGTGAATCCGTCGCTTCCGTTTTTTATTCATTCGCCTTTATCCACCTCGCGCCAACGCCATGTTCAAAGTTCATATACGCGCTGTCTATGAGTCGGCTAATTTCGCAAAATGCTTGGACCAAATCCAGCCCACCTGGTCTGACGGGTCATCTTGGTTCTTTGCGAGCCAGAGCTCGCCCTTTTCGGCAATGACGTCAAATATCTATGAGTAAAGTCAGTATAGCCCATCGTTTTTACGGCATGCGAGCAAGCACATGTCCATGTATATCGTACCTCGCCGGCTTGGTATGTCAAATAGGGATATCCAGCCTCGTGTTTTGTCGTGGAAATATTAAACTCGAATAGCGATGCAGCTAGCCAGAGGACATTATATCCGTCTGAAGCATGCGCACGCTCCCGTGATGATGCTCTGGAGGACCGCTGACTCTCCTCGGGGCCGTCAGGGAGGGGCAGAGCCGAGTGGAACAGGTTTGAGAACCGGCGGCTCTCATTCTGGTGATAGCTGGAGTAAAAGGTGTTGCCAGAGTCTCGCCGAATATGGGGCGCCGACTCTGAACTTTGCCTTGACGTCGCCATCGCCATTGTCATTGCCGAGGAATCGAAGCTCTTACCCGTGCTCGGTCGAGTGTTGCCAAGCGATCGGGAGCTTGTTGGCACATCAGCTGACCGCGGAGATCCCATGCCTGCTTGATTGTTGTTGTTGTTGTTGTTGGAGAGGCCTGCATAGAAATCTCTGTAGTAGTACTGGTGAGGACTTGGCGCCGTTGCACCAATGCCAGTAGCACTCGAACTAATGGGAGAAAGAGTAAACGAGCCACTATGCCGTTTACCAAAGTCGGGGGCCGGCAGGACGGGTGCTGCCTCGCCATTCATGGACTGGCTAGACTGGCTCAATGCTCTGTTCTCTGCTTCCGAAGTCCGGCCCCTAGTTCTGGGAAGTGCGTCTTCTCCACTCGCCGTCGATTGTGAGATCCTTCCACGGTAGGCCGGGTTGATGATGCCAATGTTGGACATCATCTCGTTTGCATAGGGAAAGTCTCGCTGAAAAGCTGCCACAATGTCTTCAAGTGCTGGCGCCTCGGGTCCATCCGCCAGTACAGCTCGCATCTTTTCCCTCCATACAAAGTACCAATCAGCCTGTATGTTTATAAGGTTGCCTAGGCAAATGTTGCCCATCTTTTCGGTCAATGCCGATAGCTTTGGAAGCTCCTTGATGAGCGTGTCGTTGAGAGCCTCATACTGCTCCACAAGCTCCTTAAGCTTGGGATCTATGCTTTTGCCTGCCTTCTTCAGTTGCTCCGCACGCTCCCAAACAATTCGTCGCTTCTGCCTCTTTTTCATGGCCAGCGAGGGATTCCCGTAAGATTTGATGACATGTTCAAAGGGTTCAATGACATGTTTTCGTATTTGCGTCAACTGAATAGAAAAGTATATCAGTAATCATAATCCTGTCAAGTAGATAGTCGGGAATAAAAGAGGGGCTCTTACGTGCAGCTCGAGAGTGATCTTCTCGATGTCACGAATTGATATGTTAAACTGAACCCATTTGCTCTCCAGCTCCGGGAAGCTGCCTGGTTGGAGCCGCATCACCAGCTCAATCGCCGACAGAAACTGCAAAAACTCGTGCACGTATGACGAAACCTGTCTGGTGTAGAACTCGACGTCGCGTAAGACGACTTGTAGTCGCAGGTAGTCGTCGCTAAATCTTTCCTCTAGCTTGAGGTATTCAGGGTCTTCCGGTTCCCGGGCACCACCCTGCAGTTTGTCCACCTTTTTACCAAAGGCTCGAGCAAGGCCAGCTTTGACGTCGGACTCCTTACGTTTTCTACCGACGATTTGTCCGACCAGCTCAAAGTTCTTCTTTGTCTTGTTGATTTCGATAATGGCGTCCTCGAGGGCTTCTTTGGCTGCTATAAGCGGCTCTCGGTCAGGGTGATCCTGCGGCGTGTGTTGGAGGAGAGTCATGATCAGATTGGGGTACTTGGTGATTCGCTGCATCGGTTTGATGAGGAGGGAATCCAGATCCCAAGCAGTTGTAAGATCTTTAGCAACCTCGTTACATTCATTCAGCCATATCTGCACCGTAGGATCCTGTTGAATCTGGATGAGCTTCTTCGCTGCTTGGTCGCTGTTTCTCAAGAAGCCTTCGTGTGCAAGCTTCATCTTTTCCATATTGCTTTGGAAAGCTGGGCCAAGTGAAGTCTCACGGTCTTTGGGATCGCTGAGGTCAACAATAGATGACTGGCTTTGCTCTGAGTAGAATGAATCATCCTTGACGGCAAGTGATCGGCCGCTCTTTGGCACATATATGCTGGCAACCGCTTCCTTGAGTATGGCGAGGAATAAAGTGTGAAATTCGATAATCTCGTCGCTATTTCGAAAGATGAGCTTGACTATCTTCGCATCTAGCTTGGGGCAAGCCTCTGCGGTGCCTTTGTAGATCTCCTCAATAATATTCATGTCTCTTACAAAGACAGCTTCAGTATCGATGAGCTCTTTGACTACATTTCGCCTCTGGATCAAACGGTGTCGCTCTTCGCTGCTTAGGCCCTCGGCTTCCTGGATAAAAGATCTGGCGTCGCTATCCACGGCACCCCTGCCATCAAAATACTGATCTGTCGTCTCCACGGTCGTCATGTCCATCATCGACAGAGGAGTTTCTGAGTGATGGGATATGTACTCTCCGCTCCCGCGGTCCGAGTTGACCAGAGTGCTTCCATATTGAGACTGCTCATAAAATACGCTCGATGTTTGCGATTCGAGGGCTGAGTTTCGTCCAGAATGTGGAAGAGGTGGTGGCTCGTGCTTGGGAGACGATAGGTACGAAAAATCGGCAGTCGCCTCTGTTGATAGATACGGAATAGAGAAGCCTCCGCCCGTGTCTAATTCCGGGAGCTGCTGGCCAAGCTGAATGGATGATCGTGTCGAATCGACTGAGGGGCGGACACCACCTGCTCCACTATAGGAGAAGCTTCTCAGAGAAGAGTCATCTCTCCCCGAGGATTCAGATAGCTTCCACGAGGCCGCTCGCATATCCGGCGACTCTGAAGCCTCTGAATGTGTGCCGTCAACAGAGACATTTGTCCATGCCGTATGGTGACTTGACCTATCAGCTCGAGATATTGAAGGCGGTGCTAACAACTGGTTTGGTGGGCCTGCGTCGAGATGCTCGTCGTGGGAAGGATAGAGGAGATCATCAAAGGTTTCTATATCAGATGAGGCGCATGTTGAGGCCCTATTGGATGATAGATGACCGCCATAGCGGTATGGGGACCGCTCGTCCTCCATCCCGTCCCGATCATCCGTCTCCTCGGTACAAGCATCAGTGGCGGCATCATCGACATCGAGGCGCATGCGACGAGCCATTGCCTGAACGCTTTCTAGATCAGAGTGGCAGTCAGATTCATCTTGAATATCCAGCTTGGGATGAGATGCTGCCTGCACAGCCTCTTTGGCAGCTGGAAGCTCGTCGGCGGAAGGCTGTGGTAGTATCTTCACAATGGGCTGGTAGCTTTGTTGCACGGGGGGCTCCAATGAGGCCTCTTGGTGCTCATTGTTATAATAAGCCTCGGGACTGAACTGCTCTTGGCCGTCAATCTGGTTGTAGGGCACCGGGGTATCTTCTTGGTTGGTGTAATTTTGATGGTTGAGGCTGTGGTCGTGGTCGTGGTCGCGGTCGTGGACGTGGACGTGGACGGGGTGGTGAAGATGAGGATGAGCCGCAGCAGATGGTTGCGGCGGCGACGATGGAAAGTCGTCATCATCGTCAAAGGGGCTTCGGTAGTGAGAGCGTTGTCGCGTCGGCACTATTATTTGTGGGCTGAGCGGCTGATCGGACATAGCCAGGTCAGAAAGCTCTGCCTGGGGCTCTATATCAAACTCTGTAACAGCAGAAGTAATTGAGATGGTTGACAGAGGTCGTTGGGCTTTTGTTACGTTAGCGGACGGTGAGGTTCCAGGGAAGGTTCCAGGGATGCCCAGTGTTGGCGAATCATTATCCTTGCCGAGTGCTGGGCGCGAGGCTGCATCTGTCGGGGTTTCTGGAAGGGACTCGCCCTTCTCCACAGCATGAGTGCCGTGATCAGCTGCGAGCTCCCCAGGCAGCTCATTTGCCAGCCCTGACTGGGGGGGGTGGCTGTCGGTCTGCCCCGTCGACTGCGTCCCTGTCTCTGCTTTTGGAGCTGCATCCCCTTCCGCGGTTTCTTTGTTTGCATCATCATCATCTTCCTTCTCTCCAGCAGTCACAGTGGTAGGTGAATTCGTAGCCGTAGCTGTAGACGTGGCTGCAGCTTTGGCCTTGGCCTCCTCCATTTGCTTCCTCCTCTCCACCACTCTTTGACGAGCTTCAAAGGCCTGGCTTTCGCGGATGGTCTTTGTGTATGCTAATCGAATATGTTCTCGACGCTGTTCAAAGTCTATAGGTCCCACCGCTATTATCTTACGCTTCGCCGGGTCATATGTCTTTGATGAAGAGGGATCTTTCACATTGTCCCTGGCAGTTGGCCGGGCGGGGGGCTTCGTCTTGGCCGTTTCCTTCATTCGGGAGCTTGCTGTTGTCGCTACAGAGACTGGTTGCCGTGGCCGAGAGCTCCTTAGAGGCGGTGAAAGCTTGGGCGGTGCAGCGGACACGTACGCTTGGAGCCGGTTATTGCTGCTATTGGGCGTAACTAAGCCCGAAGGGGGTTGTTTTCGAGGTGTTTGGGTAGGTGTTTTCGCTCGAGTCGTAGGGGGGTTCGCCTTGGCTTGCCTGCTGCTGCTACGAACATTGGTTGGCGGTCTCCTAAGTGTAGAGGGCGAATTCGATCGTGAGGAAGTGGGACTGGAGTCGCTGGGAGTGGCCAATCTCCTGCTGATAGAGACGGGCAATTTGGAGCTGGCACCTGCTGGCGTGTGCGAGGCTGGTGGAGGTGGAGCAGCGGCTTCTGCTGCTGCAACTGCTGTCGCGGTTGCCGTGGCCGCAGCGAGTGCTGCTATCGTCGTTGTGGGAGATGCGGGTGACTTGTGGTGCATAAATGGCAGTATGGATATATCGCTGCGAGACCGCGCGTGATGAGCTTTGGGTGCACTCCCCCGGGGCATTTGGAGGTCCCTGTACCAGCTGGAGGGGGATGCAGGCTCGGCTTCAAGGTCGGAGAAGCTGCGTTGACGCCCCGCGAGGCCATCTACATTGGACTCGGACGTTCTTCGAGGGCGGAGGTTGTCGATGCCAAAGCCGGCCGCGGCAGCGCTGTGCTGACCGGGGGCAACTTCACCGAACAGCAGGCCTGGGAACTGGGAATTATTAGACTTTGGCGATGGCGCCGCTGGTTGGGAGGCTGATGGTGGGGAATTGTGCGGGCGATGTGTTAGAGAGCTGGAGGCAATAGAGTTCCCGTTAGCGGACGTGTCTGGTGGAGGTGGATGGTTTCCAATGCGGTTGGCAAACGACCGCGAACTACCCGGCATTTGGTCGCGCTCAGCGGTCCTCGATTTCTGCAGAGGGCGGTTTGACGACGCGGTCGAGGCCGCCGACGACGAGGGCTGCTTGGACGAGCCCGGGGCGGGGACGCCAGGACGAGGGCCTGCTGACGAGTACGCAGAGGGAGACGGGCCTTGCGGCTTGGGCTTTGGCTTGGGCTTGATGGAGTCCTGCCTGATCCGAGCAACCGGAACCTCCTGGCGTGGAGGAGCTCTTGGAATGGAGTTGGCTCCGCCGCTCTGATCGAAGCGTTTCTTCAGATCTTTGACGCTGGGGGCTCTGACGGTTGAGGAGGATCTCGTCGTCGCGGCTGCCCTGCGGTCGAGGGGGCTCGAGGCGGAGCGCAGACCCTGACGGCCAGCGCTGCGATTTGCAGGCGGCTGCAGGTGTCTTGCAGCAGCCCCATCAGCGCTGGAGGGCAGCGCATGCGGGACTGGCGAGGCCATTGGGAGAGACTGCGGTTCGCCCTCGGGGTCGCGCGCTGGCTGGAAGCTCTTGTAAAAGTCGTCGGGATCTAGAGTGGCTGCTGCATGGTCGGCGAGGACTTGTGCATTGGAGTCGTGGGCAGGGCCGGGGAAGAAGCCAGGCGGGTTAGGGATTGACGTCTGGCTGTCGTAATAGGCATGGGCATGGGCACTGGCACTGGCACTGGCACTGGCATTGGCATTGGTTTCAACACCATCCAGGCCCTCGCGCAGGCCGCTGTCCAGGTCCGGGTCCATGTTGGCAATGGCCTGGGCGCGAGCCAGAGCATCACCCGCGGTCGACGCTGCGAGGGACGATCGGTGGACTGAGCTGAGGGATGGGAAACGACTGGTCAGGCACGTCGAGAGAGGCCCGCACAGCACCTGCAGGCATCGACATACACGCTTCTGCCGGAGCTGGAGGTGCGTCGTGTTTCTCTGCGAGCCTAGCGGCCGTGTTTGTTTTTCTTGCTGGCGGCGAGCGAATGGCCGGCGGCCTCGAGGCAGCTTGTCCCTGAGACGTGGGCGAGAGGGGATAGCGAGACGGTGATTGGAACGACGGGTGCTGCAGCCTGCAGGCCGGATACAGTACGACGTCCAACCAGGTCTGCGCATTTAGTGTGTGCTAGCACCTAAAGGCCTGCGCGCAGCCCTGCAACAAGCCCCGAGAAGGGCCCCCAGGGCATGTCACTGCTGTCGACTAGGTTGGACCAACGCACTAATGCTTAACGCATGGGGGCTTTGGAGCTGTTTGAGGTGGACGGGGCGCCTAGGTACATAGTCTCCGCTGTTAGAGCCCGGAAGTTTTTTTCTTTTTCTTCCTCCAGCTTTCTTTGAAGGCCTCTAGTGATTCAGGTTGTGCTAGTGCAGCGCCAGTCTAGATGTGTTTCACCTTTTTTATGGCTCGATCGTTTCAATCGCAATTCGCTCCCTTGTTCCGCTTCCACGATGCCATGCATACTGGATAATCCGGAGAAGGAAAGAAAAAGGAGCCGATGGAGGTGAGATTGAAAAAATGTGTCACTGGCGAATTCCATTTGACGCACAATTGGCGAGAGGTTTAGTGAAATACAACGTTAGACCCCTATGTATATTTGATAAAGATGTATCCAGCGAAGGGATTACATTGACAGTGCATGATAGTCTGGAAAAGGAAGAAAGGGGAGCCGATGGACGAGAGAATGAAAAAAATGTGTCACCCGCTGCGCGTGGTAATTAATTAAAATTAAACTCCCTGCAGATGATGGCCTCCATCCCTTATCTACTACTGTATGTGAGAATCAGGGGCTTCGGCTTGATGACGGAGGTCCAATATACTAAAGCAATGGACAGAACTTGTAGCAGCTGTGTCGGCTTCTCCAATGAAAAGAGGCACATCAATGGCGGTCGTGATCATTGTGCCCCGTGAAAAGAGCAGCATTGCACAGGTGTTGCCATCTCGGCGAGGAAATCAAGCCACTTTTGGTGTGAATTGCAACCCCAAACGATGCATCACGTTTGGCAGCTCCATATCCCGAGACCCCTTCATTTCCAGCGAAATTTCACCTGCATGCCGATACGAGCATCTGCGGCTCTGGAATTAAGCTCTATCGAGGGCCTAGTTCTGCCAGCGTTGGATCCAGGCACCTAATCAAGCCTTTGTGTTATTAATCATCAATGGTTCGGCAGTTGTGTGCCACCACCACCACCACCACCACCACCATCATGATGAGAAGCTCGAATGGGGGCCTCATGCGGAGCTGATTGTGCCAAGTCAAGCCGCGGGTTGCAGCGCAGTCCGTTTGCCATCTGGCAGGGCAAATCGCCGTCGACAGGAGACGTCGAAAGAGACTCCAGATGCCCCCGCCAAGTAGCGCATCGCATCGCACCCGGTATTTTGCATTGATCTCAATATCGGTAACCACAAGGCGACTGGGTTTCCACGTTCTGCTCTCTCCGATCGCGATCGCGATCCTCGGCCGCGGACTCTGCGGAGCCTTGTCGACCCTTGCCGGCGCAAATCCTGATGACAGCTTCTTAGCACGGAAAAGCATCTCGCGCCTCGATCAGCGTGCTTGGTGCGCTGTAAGAGCCCCAGTGCCTGGAGCTGCTAAAGCCCAAGGCTGCGCACTAATGTAGGGGCTAGCGGCGCCGTGCCGTGCTGAGAAATTGCTCAGCTCTGACTAAGGGCAGCAGGATTTAGAGCTCCAAGGTCCGCGAAGAAAAAGAGCACCAGACGGGGGATTCTCAAATAATCAGCACACATTTCTCATTGAACTTTACACACCACAGTGACGCTACATGTAAAGCTATCCAGCACTCCAGTTGTAGCATCTATAGGTTACTGCTACTACTGCTACTACTGCTACCACTACTGCTACTACTACTAGCTATATCTGGGGTTTGGTGTTGAACAATAGAACTCGAGTGCTGGATGTTTTCTCTTCACGAAATGGTGCTTATATTTTGAATTTGTGTGTATTTTATTTTGCCTTCCCTATTTTTCTTCACCCCTCGAGCTTATCGAAGCTTAGCAGCACTCCGGGCAATCTTATCTAGCCAAAGCCACTGGCCCTGAGCGCCACCCGTCTCAGCCACAGCAGCTCAGTGATTGGTGGCGCTTGACACTTGAAGTGGTTCATTGTTCGCATTTACACCAACTTGACGCGAATAGTAAACGAAACGACGCGAACTTGCGGCCGTCATCATCCATCCAGAGAAATGTCTGGTGGCAAGAAAAGGAAGCGTGGCACAGACAGCGCGTCGGACAATCAGGTCTCTGCCTCTTCCAAAAATTATACGCCTGTACAAAGGGACTTGCTGCTGCCGCACTACCCTCTCGTTCGCACTCTGAGACAGCATGTGCTCGCAAGCCTCCCAGATTCTTCAAAGGTCAGACGCAAAAAGATTGCGGCTTTGGGATCAGGCACAGGGGCAAGCGAAATAGAAGCGCAGCTTGCACATTTGCTTGACACTGCTCTGGTTGGCTGCAATCAGCCAGTACCACGGTCTGAATCAGAGGAAAGTACATGGCGGCAGTGGCGGTCCTTCTCTCAGAGGGGAGATGAATCTTATGTGACTATTTCTAATGGAATAGCTTCGTCGATTGATCTGCAGTCTGAGGTCGGTTACCATCTCCCCAAGTGCAATCGGTAGAACAGGCGAGGCTAAATGGCCCAATTGTAGATTCTTGACTTTGTCATCTGGCAGCTATTTGGGAGAGAGAGGGTTGGGTCATGGCCCAAACACCTGCTCTGTGATGGCTTCCGTAGAAGTGCCAGAGATGATCAACCTATCCGGTCAACTGTTGCCGGAGTAGGCATCCTATATCCCAATTTCCACGTCAAGGCACTGAGAGAGACGCCGTGGCCGCACCTCCTGGCTCTGCTTGGCCAAGCCGGCGAAAGAGTAATGATCAACCTGTTGTCTGAATGCTCTGTATTCCTCAAGGTTGATTCAGGCTTAGACAACTACTTACAGCTAACCGGTTGGTGGCAATGCTCGTGAGATCTTGACTGCTCTTATTCTGATCAATCTCTGCTAGGTATTCCCTTGTCTGAGCTGAATGCCGGGGCGCCAAATCTCAAATTGAAGCCTCAGCCACGCAAACCCACGGAGATTACGCTTGTTCGTAGTAGGATATTCTACGCAAAGCCGGCAACCACGGCGACAGGCCTAGTCCATGCGGGCTTCAAGCATATCCGTATGTCGATTCACCTTATACGCGCTTTGCCATCTCTCTGGATCCAACTACTAAGCAATCTACAGATGCCCTTAATCGTTACCCCTATATCAGGGGGAGCGCAGATGTTAGAGAGAATTGCCCAGATTCTATAAAAACTCGAGAGCAAAATGATGCTCACACAACTAAACTTATGATGCATATGTTTCCGCGCCAATTCAACCTACATAATGTCTTTACTTCTCCAACTGATACGAACCAAACAGCTCAAAAATTTCACGATTATACATTTCGCGAAGATGAAATCAAGAAAAGTATGAGAGGCGCCAAACGGTCGACTGAGAGGGCGCTGCTGAAGTTGCCCAAGCGGTTAAGGGGCACAACAAGAGACCTCGTACGACGATTGCAGATTTTGCATGCGCGATGTTCTTATTTTGAACTTCTAAGATACTATTGCCCAACATTTCTCGACGAATCTCATGCAAGTAAGGACAAAAATGGAGATGGGGAAATGCCAACAGCTTCAATCCCAGCTCCGGGCCGGGCAACCCAAGCAGAATCTCCCACCAAACGACAAGCTCGGAAGCATCACGCAAATACGTCGGCCCTTCCTGAATATAAGTCTGTTGTGGAATTATCATGCCCAACGACATGCGTTTCTGCATTTTGTCAGGCGGTCCTTTCAAAGATAATCCCAGACAACTTCTGGGGCCGTGAGAAAGACTGTCATAACAAAGTCGTGTTCCTTCGCAAAGTAGATCATTTCATCAAGCTGCGACGGTTCGAGATGATCTCACTGCATGAGATAGCACAAGAGTTCAAGGTACTTCTAAACTCATAAAACGAGATGACCGTCATTGTGTACTCATTACAGGATTTAGGTCACAGAAGTTGCTTGGCTAGAGTCCCCTAGCTGCCAAGGCCAGAAAACCAGCCGGACAGACATGAACAAACGTTACGAAATATTTCACGAATTTCTTTATTATGTTTTTGATTCCCTTTTGATACCCCTAATTCGCAGCGATTTTTATGTCACAGAGTCCAATACCCATCGCTCTCAAGTTTTTTATTTCCGCCACGATGTCTGGCGGCTGGTGGCAGAGCCCTCGCTGTCGAGCCTCAAAGAAGGAATGTTTGAGGAGATCAAAACGAAAGAGGCGGCACGAATTCTCGATTCCAGACGGCTTGGGTTCAGTCAATTGAGACTTTTGCCCAAAGGTACCAAGCTGCGCCCCATTATGAATCTCAGACGCAGGCAAATGATGGACAGTAAACGCGCCAGGTTGCTTGGACCCAGCATCAATTCGCTCCTCAAGCCCATTCACGCAGCGCTCAAATTTGAAACTGTATGTGCCATGAACCTAACCCTCTACTCTCTATTTTTGTCTGGGAAGCAAGGTATCGGTAATTTCAAGCTAACCAAGCGCAGCTCATGAACCCATCCAAGCTGGGATCAGCCCTTTTTGCGGTTGGCGACATTTACGAGCGTCTCAAGGCATTCAAAGACTCCTTGGCGCCAGAGAAGCATCATACATTTTACTTTGCAAAGCTAGATGTCAAGGCTGCCTTCGATACAATTCCTCAGTCATCGGTTCTGCAGTTGATGAGGTCGGTTCCCAGTCAGAGTCGTTACATTATAACAAAGCATGCAGAAGTGAAGCCGGGGGAGCGATTGGGGCTCACAGATGGGAAGAGCGCAACCAAGCCCGTACGCCGGTGGCATTCCACAGCCATAGCTCAGGAACAACCAATTTCGTTTCTCGATCGCTTGGAGAGTGGCATGGGGAGTAAGAAGAAGAACACCGTGTTCGTCGATAGTACTGCCTTTCAAAGGCACGATACTCGCGGTCTTTTAGCGCTCTTGTCCGAGCATGTAGGACGCAATATCGTCAAGATCGGAAAGAAATACTATCGACAAAAGAAGGGCATCCCCCAGGGCTCCGTGTTGTCGACATTTCTATGCAGCTATTTTTATGCTGACCTAGAAGCCCAGCATCTGGATTTTCTTGAAGGACCAGACAGTCTTTTGCTGAGGCTTGTTGATGACTTTTTACTCATCACGCTAGACAAGGAGAAAGCCGTTCAGTTTGTCGAGACTATGCACCAAGGGGTTCCTGAATATGGTGTGGAAGTAGGCCGCGATAAGACACTTGTGAACTTTGATATGGACGTTGACGGCGAAGTTGTGAAAAAGCTTACCAAGGGGGCTAAATTTCCATATTGTGGCACATTTATTGATTGCAAAACGTTGGAAATCACGAAAGATCGAAGCTCAGGCAAGGATATTGGTACAGCTACCTCAGCAGATAGTTTCTTTGTGATGAAACATTTTGAAGTTTTGCTAACCGTACATTCTATCACAGATATATCAGCCTCTTTTACCGTCGACTTTGGCCGCTGCCCTGGTCAGAACTTTCAACGTAAAGTGCTCAGTTAGTGGCTATAGTTCCTTATCCCACTACATCTCTGCCGGTTGACTGATGTGATGTTGCGTTATCTATAGACTCGTTCAAATATCAATCTCACCTCATGTTTTTCGATACGGAGCACAATTCACTCGACACTGTCATCAGCTCTTTGCACGGCGCATTCTCCGAGACTGCGCTAAAGATGTGGGCTTATATACGATGCTTGTCTGCGTCTACCCGACTTTCGGCAACTCTAATAATCAGTAAGTTTGGAAAGCAGTGTCATGAGTAACAAGACTTTTTGTTTAGGTGTACTGAATTTCGACCAATTTAGATACTATTAAAAAAGTGGTGGATATAGCTTTTCTGATCCTCACGAGCAAATGGAGGAAGAAGCGATTCGAAAAGTATGCATGCGAGATTCGCAAGGCGCAAGTTATAGCGTAAGTTTCAAAGAAAGAAAATTACACGTGAAACACTGCTAAAGTGTTCATTCCTAGGACTGGATATTCGGCCTTTTTGGACGTGCTACATCGGCGACAGACGGGGTATGGCGAGGTGATTGCCTGGTTGAGAGAAGAGACAACTCGACTTGCCACGACGAGATAGAAATAAGTCTTTATGACCAATACATTATCTATCTAGTGATGGCTAGTATACAACGCTCATCATGCCGCTGTGAGCTTTGAGCGTAACGTGAATCAAACATGCAGTCTATGCTTTCCATGTAACCTTTCTCAGAGATGTTGAGACTGATAATATACATTGCATCTATAACGCTATCCCGCTTTGCCACCACGTTTCTCCAAAATACAAACTGGGCAAATGATCCCAATCCCAACGCCACCAATGATCGCCCTCGCTGCCAAATCCCAAAAACAAAAGCGGAGATGCCGGTACAGGCTCAACGAGCCACAGCCCCGTCGACGAACAGTCGTCCATGAACAGGGGCGCCGTGAAAAACAGCCACGTCAGCGTAAACAAGAGATTCACCGCCCGAGACACAAGCCGCGGCAGCCGCAGCGGCACACACAGTCTGAAAAGATGCGCCGTCGACTGCTGCAGCAGAATACCCACCATCTGCAGGAAGAAAAAGGCTGGCGCCCTCCAGGGCTTCGTCTTGGGCGTGGAGGTGAAGCTCCCCGAAGCATGCAGCAATCCCGACTGCAGAAAGGAGACAAACATTGTAGCGACAGAGGCAAGGCGCGTGCCCCTTTTCAAGTACCCTCTTCGAAGGAGGTACGTCGCCGGCGCGGCAAACTGCATACGAAAAGTCTGGTGCCACCACCCTCCCCACCAGCCAGCGAGGCCTCGCGCGAGGATCTGCTCAAAGGAGCCAAAGGTTGAGGCAAATTGCCACAGCGCCCCGCGGGAGGGGTAGAAGCGGTTGGCGAGCCAGTACTGGACCAGGTCGGACACGCAGAAGACGGCCTCGATAGCGCCGTACACGCCGAGGAGAGAAAACGCTTCTCTGTATGCGAGGAGCAGCCATGGTGAGAAGTCGTGGAGATGTGGCGGGAGAGCGATATCGCCTTGGTAGTCGGGCCCGAGGATAAAGTAAGGATCTTTCTTCATGTACACGGAGAGGAAATCTAGGACAAAGTAGAAGATGACAATCTTGGTGAGGCGTCCGCGAACGAATTCGCCAGTGGTTAGGGGACGCGTATACCCGCTTCTGCTGGTTTTGGGAATGGCGTCTACTTCGACCTTGTCTCCATGAGAGATTTCGAGAGGAATCTGAGGCCGGGGGATTGTTGGGACAGACCAGTTCCAGCCTTGGATGAAACAAACGGTTAGTCGGGCTGTCTCTTTAAAGTTGAATGCCAAGATACTCCATGTGATTACTCACCAGAAAATCGGAAGCAAAGTATCAGATCTGTCGCCCATGCCAGTCGCTCCAAGAAGCCTCGATCCGAAGGGTAAGGTTCCCAGACATATTCAAATTCACTCTGCCGCGTCTCAGCATTTGGAGTTCCGTTTGTTGATATCGTCTTCCGAGCTCTAATCTCATTCCCACTTCCATTCACGTTCTCAATTGCTCCATTGTGGCCGGTTGATCTCATTTCGGTGTGCATCTCACCACCCGCTTTTTTGATCAAACCACCATCCTCATCCTTCTTGACTCTCCGCACCACCCTGGCAGCATCAAACTGCGGCCTCGTCCAGATGAGCAGATTCACGCTCAGCATAGTGCCCCACGTCGACGCCAGTCCAGCCGCATACGCACACGCCGTGTTCGTGCTCGACGTGTACGCCAAATGATAGACATTGGACGAGATAATCAAGGCCATGGCCAGCCACCTCGTGTGATAGAACCAGGCTCGACGCCTATGCGGGACGGCCAGCCACAGCGCGGGCACAACAAACGGTGCCACCAAGCAAAAGGGAATCAGCAGAGGCTCTGCGCGGCCATTGGCAACAGCGAGCTTGAAGGCATCGGCGTAGGCAGTCCGTAAGGCGTAGGCGAGGCCGGGAGTGGGCATTTTGGCGATGCTGCCGAGGTCGACGTCTGGCGCTCTGCGTGAGGACAGCGACGATGCCTGTAAGAGCACGTCCATTGTGGCGGCTGGCTGGCTGGTTTTATCGGCGCCAGTCTTTTCTATTTTGTGTTCTCTTCTCGTCTCCTTTCCCACCGTTGTCGATTGTGTGATCAACCGCAGTCCGCGTTGAGGACTGTCTCCCAGTCAGCCGATATGCCCGCGCCTGGACTTTGAATCATGACGCACAAGAAGCACGAGCCTCAGTCCAATGCCGCATGTGAGTGAGACTTTAGGCCTGTTTGCTTGTGCAAGTACGAACAGGTCTGCCTAAGCCATGTGCCGCTATTAGTGTGAGACAAGAAAGAGAGCCAAAGGCGGTCTGGTGACGCTTAGAAGCTCCAAAATGCTCGTGGCGTTTCTGTTAGGGCCATCGCACAGAAATATGACAGCATGTGCTACGGAGGATATTCAGCCTATCGGGAGGTGATGCGACGGATCCTTTACAAGGGGCGGTGGCAACGCTAATGGTGATCTTAGTGACAAGTGATTGCTTGGTGGCATCAGTTGTGGGCGGAACTTGGCTAGCAGTAGATTAGCACTCAAGCACTGTATATGATGGACGATCCCTGCCCCGAATCTTGACTTTGAGATCCATTGCTACTCTACTGCACGTTGTACCTGCATACCCTGTGATATGCTCGTGTTGCTTTATTTTGGCGGCTTGATGCCTGATATCGCCGATATTCTACAATTTGTTTTTATTTTTACGTTGATACAGCGATCCCGGGATTTTTGTAGCTCTGAAGAGATGAATTTGTTGCCCGGGTATACATGTATTGGCGCCCTAGCTGTGATGATAATTATCATGACAGTTTAAGAGTAGACGGTCTAAACGAGGAACAACTCTGCAAACAGTACCCAATGAGGCGGAGAATCCCATCATAAACATTTATTTAGATTACTAAGCTTATATACACACACACATATATATATATTATACATTTTCAGTACACATATCTCATTTCATATGTTCCAGAGTCACACGTCTTTATACTTTTTAGCAAATATTATCCAGCAAAGTAGCAGCAGCAGCAGCAGCTGTAGCAGTACTATATAGTAATTAAAAAATGCTATTAGTAGTAGCTACGGTATAACCCTACCCTTGTGCTTGGACTACTATCGGGAGAGAAATGCTAACTTGACTACATAGACCTGGTTTGCATTCACGACAAAATGAAGGAAGCTGGACACTGCCTGCGTTGCAATAAGATGGGTCTCGGAAAGACAATGGTTTTCGCTGCGTACATTAAATACAGAGCACGAGAGCTTGAGAAGGATAACGACCACCGAAACCCAAAGTCCACTTTCTTCCTGTTATTAATAATTAACCCCGTAAACACCATCCATCAAATCCACAAGGAGCTCAAGATCAACTTTCCCACGCTTAATATGTTGTTATATTATGCTGGGACCACACAGTCAAAGAAGTATAATAGTGCAACTATTATTGCGAAGTCAAAGTTCGTCCAGAAGCTTGCTGCGCTTTCTCCTACTGACCCAGAGGTAAGTTTGCTTTTAGGCGCGCGCGCGATCTAATGCTGACCCTTCAGCAGAGTGCGCGCACCGTTGTTGTCACAACGTATTCTACCTTGCATGCAAAAGAGATTACGAAGTCCGAGAGAAAACTCGTTATCCAAGAGCGACGAGGGGAAGGAAACGCCCCCAAGGGTGACGACAGAAATAGCGTTCCGAGAGGAGAGGGTGACAAGGTAGAGTTCGACAATGCGGAGTCTGGATGAGCCCTGATGAAATGCTGCGCAGCGGCATCAAGAAGCGGCTGGATAGCCAGAAGAGGGCTGCAAAGTTCCCGTCGATGAATTGCCCAGAACTGCGAGGAAAGGGACTGAGATTCCTGACAAAGGACGACGACAAGATCCAGTTCGACGGCAACCTTGTTGAGTACAAATTAACCCATAAGCAAGCAGCCTGGGGATGTCTAATAGGCCATCCTTATTGTAAATAAGGCGTCAATATATAGCACGCTGTAAGGATGGCATATTTAATAAGTACCAGCATATTAAAACACCAACGGCGTTGTCATCATCAGTCCATCTTCCTGGGGAAGAAGAAGCAAAAACGCCAAAAAAAAAAAAGATGGGCCGATTGACATTTCGAACGCCGGGATTTGCACCCAGGCTGTTGGCAGGGTTAGCATTGATCAGTCAGTCTGAAGGGTTTGCCAGCTGTGGCACTTACTCTCTCCCTTGGGAGGGGAGCAGGTTAACTACTACCCCACGTCCGAGTTGGAAGGGATTGTTTCTATTCAGGTATATAAGAGAAACAAGACAGAGAGTGGCAGGGTTGAAGTGACAGCTGGCATGGCCAAGCTGTTTGTGCTGTGGACGTGAGGCTGTTGATAGGTCGAGGCACGAGGGAGGGCTCGGGTGGCTGCAGATGGCGGCTGCTCTTGTGGGGGGACGATATGCAGAATGCCGATGGGCATTACGTTTGCTTTGCTAAACACGATGAGCCAACGTTATTTGTGTTGCTTGTCGAGTAAAGTAGGCTGTGGTAGGGAAGCTTGAGTGTATGTCGATGAGTTAGTTCCTAGTAGTAATCCAGAGGGGTGTGAAACTAAGATCCAGGTAAGGAGTGTAATTCGACTACTCTTATCCCGCACTTCATCGCAGATCCACATGGATGGAACAATACATGGACATGTAAAACATGCAGGATCCAAGTCATTGCCTGAAGAATCAAGCCATCGTTCAACGTCAGGTGTATCCCCATCCTACTCGGGACGTAGGGCGCTAGCTCCAGCCGCAATAGCTGTCTCTTACATAGCGAGCATTATATATATGTTGCTTCGTCCATATTTAACTCATCAGGCGACTCAGGCTTTATATTGTCGTTGCTTAGATGCATTCTTGGTTGATTAGACACCATCACTGCCGCAACCAACACGCGCGATAACCCCCATTTATTATGTCATCTCTCTCCATCTCTCTCTTTTCTTCCTGGGCAAAATGGTTGGACTTTTCTACCAGACCAGAACTAGCGCCACCGGCAGCTCTTTTGAACTGGTGGCTTATAAAGCTTCTCACCTCTTGTTTCTCCCCCCTGGTTACTAATGTTATTTGCCTGTAAGCCGTCCTCGAAGCTTCGTTTGCCAGAAGCCATGGCTCCGTAATTTCGCGTATCCAGAGACAACTTCGACGCTCTTGACAGCGAGATCAACATGGTTTGCTGACAAACTATGTCACCTGGCTGTATTTTAGTAGATATACCAGGTACCTTAGCAGTAGATGCCTGAGTGAGGGTATTGCAAAGCATGGAGGTACATGGATACTCCGACGCGATACTTGGTGGCGTCCAACCGTCTCCGCGCCATCAAGGTTCCCGCTGGCCTACAGCAGATGCTGGCAACGGACACCCGCCGAAAAGCCCAAGTATCTCCACCGCCCGAGCCAGGTACCTCGAACGAGCAAGTTACCGCCAGCCAGCGACTCGCAGCGCTGTTTGGCCCGTTGGCCGAGCCTCGAATTTGGCCATTCCTGCACCCTCGCGGCCTCGATCTCTCTTTTCCTCTCTCACCTGCATCAGAGAATCACTCACTCGACGCGTATCGCCCGCTCATCCACGCTTTGCAATCTTTTTTGTTTCCATCTCTGAGCCTGCGCTTTGATAATCCGGCGCCTCTTATTGTTTTCGTGCCCCCCAACCCGCATTTTCTTCCCGTGCCGCCAGAGCTGTGACCGCATCTCGGAGACTTTTGAGAGCTGGAGCACGACTCTCTCACCCCTCTCTAACGAGGCGCTGCCTATCAGGTCTGGCGGGCCGCGATACCCAGTCGCACCGCGCTGGCCTCTGCTACTCACGTCCTGCGCCCGTGAAGATCAGTCGCTTCGCGGCCATGGCGTCCGATATCACAGCCACAGCCACTGCTCAGGCCGCTTCGGCTACCGGCTCGCAGAAGCATCGGGCCTGCGACGAGTGCCGTGAGTCCCCGCTAATCCCCAGCTGAAGGAAGATGGAGGCATCCATACCAGACGGTACATGCATACAGCGAGTGTGCAGCAGTATAGAGAGACGGAGACGACGACATGTGGTTGGATGGAGATGGAGATGCAGTTGCCTTTGCAAAGACGCTTGATTCTGATTCGAACCCCCCTCCTCTTCTCTAGGATTCCGCAAAGTCGCCTGCACCAAAGAGCCCGGCGGCTGCTCGCGCTGCCAAAAGGAGGGCATCGCATGTGTTTACTCGCCGCAGAAGCCCATGGGCCGTCCCCGGAAACGGCGCCATGCACCGCCTGTCATGCCCGTGTCTCTGCCCATGCCTGCACCTGTATCCACGGCCGCAGCCCAGCCCGCGTCTTCGCTAGATGCCGCTCCGACGTCAACCATCGCTGAGGCTCTGGCTCGGGTTCTCCCTCCTGCTCAGGCTGCTGCCATGTTTTCTGTTGGCCCTCCAGCTGCATATGTCGGCGCTGACCAGCATGGCCAAAATAGTAGCCACCATCACCAGGGCTGTCACTGTCAGCATCACTGCCATCAGCACAACACCACTGCCCACCAGCACAACCACTGCCATCAACCTCAACCTGCGGTGGCATCAGATCTGGCTGTGCACTTGTTGAGCCAGCCGCTGCCATCAGACATGTCCTCTTACCTGAACCTATCGCCCGAATATAGCACCGACGACTCGACTTCACTTCTGATGGACGACAGCGGGGCACTTGCTCACATTCCACGCCACAGCCAAGGGCTTTTTGACGGTACAGCCATGCCTGTCATGAGCCTGAATCAAGCTGGTCTTTTTGAGGATATTAGCTTTGACGAAATAGAGACAGACTCGTCTGCCTCTTCCATGACTAAAGATTTCAACGACTCCCTTCAAAAATACATGGTTTCTCAGTATTTGGACCCCCCAGCACCTAGCGACAGTCCCAGTACCAATACCAGCACGCACTCTGGCTGTTTTGGATCGGCAAAGTCGCACCCGACCGCCTCTTGCGACTGCCTTTCCTCTCTCACACAAGCACTTGGCTCCCTGAATCGCCTACCGACGGATGTGATATCTGCCATGCAAGTTGCTCGCGAAACCACAAAGGTTGCTTATGACACCCTCAGCTGCGCTGATTGCTATGGAGACATGTACGACCTGTCCAAGCCGTCACCCGTCTCTCGCTTCCAAAATATGATGTGCCTCGCCGCACTTGTTCCCTCTGCCTGCAACGCTTATGCTACGATTCTGGAAATGGTCGATAGAGATGTGGAGCGAGCCAAAGGGGAAAACCAGTTGCTGTATTTCAACTTTAAAGACGTTGGTGGGATATGGGGGAATCTCATCGACGAAAAGGGCCCCACCACTCCTGAGTGCGCACTTCTCAGAAGCTTCCACGACCGATACCTGGAACCAGAAATCTGGAAGGCCACTATCCGAGCTATTCTCAAAGTTGAGGTGTATGGGTTCAATCAGAAGACGGCGTCTGTCTCGAGCACGGTAGACTGCAGCGTGTCGCCAACCGCCTTCTTGCACTGCGGACTGAAGGATGTCATTACGCTAATCGACGAGAAGAACCAAAAGAGGCACGACATTGCAGATGCTCTCATGGAGGCGAACTACGCTTTGCCTGACAATCATTACCTTTTGTTCCCAGGCCCACCGAAGCCGTGCCCCCGCGAGGATAGGCAGTGTGTGCGCATGCTGGATATGGCGAGGATGGCGCTGAGTAATTTGGCTATATCGTGAGCAAAGAGAAGAAGGGATGTATGGTGTGTTTGATTTACAGTCGTGAGAAGAAGAGATAACACAATGGGATTTTACTTTTTTCCCTCTTCATTTCGGATATGTACGCGGTTCAATTGCAAGCACGATATCCCAGGAAAAACTGCCATTTTTTATTTATTTCGGTTTTATTCGGATGGAATGGGCAATGCACAGGCGCATGGGCGTTTAGGGTGTTTACTTCTTTTTTCCTTTCAAAGGTTTGATATGGGAAGTTTGAAATAAGCCATGGTATACGAGACAACAAAAATCAATCATCATATATACCATTGACATGGGTTGCATTACGGGATGGGTCTGGCTGGAAGCATCATGGGCCTTTTATGCGATAGCATTTTACTGGAAGGAGAGTATCTCCCGCTTTATTCAACAAAAGACGTGACTTGATCACCGGCTTTTTCCTCTTTTGTACTTTCTTCATTATCACTTGATGTTCAACCTTTTGTTTATATATAATTGATTTCCTATATTATGCTGTGACACAAAATATTTGACAGAGAAGCCTCCAATATCAACATCCAAGAAGAAAAAAAAAAAAAAAAAAAAAAAAAGAGAAACTGCCCACATTCAAAATGCGGCAGGTCAAAAAGATATCATCCAATTGCCACTTTGTCAAATGAACAACAATAAAAAATTCCTCAAATCCCGTTTAAACGCCATGCTTGGTATAGCCCAGCCAGTTCTCTCGGCTTTCCTATCCAGTTTCTTCTCCTTCGCTCTCCTTGATGCTTTAAAAATAAAATCATGAAAAGAAAAAATGGCGAAAGCATTCTGTGTTTGTGAAATAGAGCTTTTTCCCCATCCAGTATGCATGTATATATCCCATCTCTTTTCCATCCTGATGCAAAAAAAAAAAAAATAACCTCTCATCTCTCTCTCTCAAAGATCATATGTATATACGTCTTCATTTTCGACTGACTTTGTTTTGTTTCTGGTGTTTATATGTCTGGTTGCAGGTTTTGAATCACTCTTGGTCCTCCATCAGGGACAAAACGTCCATCTCCCTCTTCACCAGCTGCTCAAACTCCTCCCTCTCGATGCCCGATGACCGCGCAAGCAGGAACAAACTGCGAATGCTGCGCGACACGTGCTGCTTGACGCCGAAATCGTTTTGCTCTTGCTTCACTGCAGAGGCCTCGAGCTTGGCGACGGTCATGGAGCCGTTGGAGCTGGAGCTGGCGCTGGATCTGGGGCGTGGGTGGAGGAGGGCGAGCTCTCTGGCGGAAAGCAGTTCGTCGTCTTGACTTTGGTTGTTGTTTGTCTCTGTGTAAGACCAGGGGTTTTGAGGTTCGGAGGCGTCTGTGATGACGACGGAGTCGTTGGAGCGGCTGAGGCCGAGGGGTGGTTGGATGTGAGCTCGCACCATGGCCTCCTCATCTGGATCATGGTTGTCCATTGCCGGCTGGACGGAGTCGTACTGCGCATAGTAGTCGTCATCGTCATCGTCATCCATTGCGGCAGAGGCATCATAAGCGCTCCAGTGGGAGGGTGCGGATGTGGGAGCAGAAGCGCCAGCGGCGGCCTGGGGAGCCGGGGAGCGGTTGACGGCCGGAGTGCGCGCGGGAGTGGCATCGTAGCGGTCCCAGTATCCATCGTCATCGTCCTCCTCCATGTGATCTGAGCCGCTGGTGGTCGACCCATTGGAGCTGACCACGGAGGGTTCGGAGATTCTGGGCTGCTGGAACTTGGCCTCTGCCTCTGCGAGGGTGGCAACGCCGCCGAATTGCGCAAAGGGAGCGGCCTTGTCTGCTGCAGTCACTTCTCCGATTCTCCAGCCATCGCTGCCGCCCTCGGCGTCGTTGACGCAGTACACCAGCTGGAAGGCAAGCCCGACACCGACCAGGACTGTCAATGCATGCAGAGTCTCTTGATCCAATCTCTTGTATCTTGTCTCGACGTCGTAGTCCCAGTCTACCTCAACCTCGCCTGAAACAGGATGCGGTTCCAGGCTTCCATTCTGCACCAGCTCGGTCAGCTGCGCAGCCTTGGCCGTGTCGTAGGAGAGCAGCCTCAGCCAGGGCTCGGTGCTGCCGGCGGAAAACAGCTTCACTCGCTGTCTGAGAATGGGCGAGAGGAGAGGCAGGATGCCCGCAGCCGGCTCGGTCGAGGCAGTGGCTGTTGGGAGAGCGGGCAGGATTGGGGCCAGCAGCCCGCTGAGATCTGGAGGCGTGATGCTTGCACCCATGGCTCTGATTTTTTGCTATCGCCCTTTCGCGGACAGACTTTTGCGTCAGAACCTTGTTTTCGCGAGAGGTGATTCGACGCCTATAGCGGAGAAAAGGCCGCGGCACAATGAGGAATGAAGAAGTATAGAGTTTGGCCTTGGTAGGGGTCCTATTGAAGACGGTAGGTTCCTGAGGACTGGAATTTTGGGGCGAGCGTCACATGCACGCTTAGTCGCGGGAACTACGTGGATGGAATAAAAAAGCCACGGGCGTGGACCTGTTGTTTCAGGATGGGTGAAAGTGAAATGGGTATACGGTGAGCAACGGCGAGGACTATGAAGAGAGGACTGGAAGAAAAGGGAGAAGAGAAGAGAGAGGGCGAGGGTGCATGTGAGCGGAATGGCGTTAATATACCTCCAAGACGTCAGTCAGATGCAACTTGCTGGACATTGTCGATGGCCCCGAAAATAGTGGCACATGTGCTGGTGCTGGGGCTGGTGCTGGCTGCTACAGCATTAGTCGGGCCCCAGCGAGTACCGCATGGGTAGCGGCGAGGGCTGGGGCAGGGTTCTCGGTACAAAGGAGCGGCGCGTGAGACTCGGCTGTGAAGCACCCCTGCCAGCTGGTAGCCGGTACCTAGCGCCCCCCGGACGAGGTACCCACCGCAGACAAGAAGGTTAGGTAGCAGTTGGGCCAATGGACGGCGACAGTGTGGCGCTCCGGGGAAAAGGAAGAGAATGAGGAGAGAGATGGAACCAATTGTCACAAGGCAATTTGTTTGAACAATTTCCCTTTTTAGTGGTCAGTGGGGGTGAAGCGGTTTGGAAAGTAACGTATTATCCATCTACCGACTCTGTCAAGGCATTTGCTGGCATCTAATGGGTATCTACTAGCAGATGCTTTGTTGGTGATATTCATCAGGCGATGGAGAGCATGGTAATGAGATGGATACAGATGGCCCAAGCAGCAGTAGGAGGTAGATTATGTCGTGCGGGATCTGTAAGATGAAGGGATCAGTCAGAATTACCATTACTACTGCTACAGATTACCGCTTGAGCAGCGACAACGGAGATGCCTGTCTTACTGCATCCCGCAGAGCCCTGGAGAGCCGCCGATGGCCACTGCCAGGGTTCATGCAGTTGTCTCAATAATCTGCGGCCTGTCTGTGCTCAAAGCTTATACGGAGACCGATACAGATAGCTGCATACCCAGATATGCACTGTTACCGCAGATGGGCTGCTGCTGGATAGCGACAACGGAGATGCCCGTCTCACTGCATCTCATAAGGCACCGAAGAAGCTGCTGATAACCTCTGCCGGGGTGCAAGTGCATATACTTGTAGTACCAGTAATTGTCGCAATACCTATTCTGCAGCGCGCCTGTGCCTGGATTTCAAATTGCTGCTTACTTATTCGCGCTGCTTAGCACTTATACGGAAACTGATGCAGGTACATCCAAGTACACGAACCCAGCACAGGGATCCCCAAAGGCCGAGATCCCTACCAGCACGCGGAGGGGTTACATATCGGCGGGACCTGGGTCTACTTGTATACAAGCTCAAGATGATGCGCGCACTTCCTTCTGTCCGCCTTGGGTGGAATAGAAGTGCGAGAGGCGCTCCGCCATGACGAATGATTCAACTTCTCAAAAAAAGCAGAATGAAAGTTGATATCTGATGTATCTCGTGCTCTGAGCTGCTATCGTGGTGGAACAATAAATAAGCAGACGGCTTCCGAGCCTCGTGTTTTTCTTGCACCACCTTCCCGGGCCGTCTCTCTATGGGGAAATGCGCCGATGGGGCTCCGGCACGGTCTGGATCTGTGATGCCGGCCTGGCATTTGATGTTTGTGTAAGCATCTAGACTGCATCTGCATTTACTGTACATACTGTAATCTGTCTTGCTGGGGTGCTCCGAACATGCGTACATGGGTTCGATAGCGTGCAAGATGACAAGTTTGATCCTGCGCCTAGGATCATCATCCTCGACAAGATCCATGTAAAACGTTTTCCAATCGCAACTTAGCCCTATCTATTTATTCCATCAATCTCATGGCTCATCTTTTTCTTTTTTCTTTTTACATGTGAGAATTCATATACATGATTCAAAGCAGTTTCCTCACCACTCGCCTCAAAGTATCACAATACTGTAGCTTAGCATACCTATTTGATGTCATTGCGCCAAGCTCAAAGAGCCCCAAACTCTCCAGATTCTCCGCCTCAAGCCGCAACGGGGTCTCGGCTCGTTCCCGGGCAATGGCGTCACGACAGGCAAACAAACCCAAAAAAAGGACGTCAGCTCTCTGTAGCATAGAAAATCAGGAAGAAAATACGATCAATCAACACTAGATGACGGCAGAACCGTAGAAACGCAAACTTACTCAAATTACACTTTTGTAAAAAAAACAAAAACAAATCGCAATTCTGCATTGGCACTCTGTCAAATCGCGCTCAAACGCGCATTCCGTCGGCTCCCGTATTTTTTTTCTTTCCCCTTGGTTCCCTCGTCATTCCAGTCCGATATCGAAATCTTATCCTGGTAGTTCAATGCACCAACGAGCCAAAACACCAAAACAAAGAGTTTAAGCTTTTTGAATCAAACAACCACCACCGCCACGGCCATAATAGTTCGATTCCCAGACTTCAATCCCTTCCATCTTCCACTGGCTACCAATCAAGGACGCTGCAAGCACATACTGCGCAAACTCCCAGTCAACCTGAAGCGGCAACTCCTGCATGTCGCCACGAGGCGGCCACCTCAAAGATGAGGTTTGTCCATCCATCCAATTTCCACATCCTCTCCATACTAACAAGTCGTCACTCCTACAGGGCTCAAAACTCCAAGTCGTCTCAGCCGGCGCCATAGCCGGGCTCGTCTCTCGGTAAGCCTTGCAACAAAACATCTATACAAAGTCAAAAGCTTATGCGCCCTTGCTCCCAGATTCATCGTCGCCCCCCTCGACGTCGTCAAGATCCGCCTCCAGCTCCAGCCATACTCCCTCTCCGACCCCCTCGCCCCCCTCCGCGAAGCGCCCGCCTACCGCGGCACCGTCCACACCATCAAGCACATCCTCAAGCATGAAGGCCTCACGGGGCTCTGGAAGGGCAACGTCCCCGCCGAGCTCATGTACGTCTGCTACTCGGCCGCCCAGTTCACTGCCTACCGCTCCACGACTGTCTTTTTGCAGACCGCGGTACCCCAGCACCGCCGCCTGCCCGACTCGGCCGAGACGTTTCTTGCCGGCGCCGTCTCCGGAGCGGCTGCTACGAGCGTGACGTACCCTCTCGACCTGCTGAGGACGCGGTTCGCCGCCCAGGGCAGGCACAGGGTGTATTCTTCCCTTAGAGGGGCTCTGTGGGACATCAAGCGCGACGAAGGCTTCCGGGGCTTCTTCCGCGGCTTGGGCCCCGCGCTGGCCCAGATCATCCCCTTCATGGGCATCTTCTTCGCCTCGTACGAAGGCCTGCGGCTGCAGCTCAGCGACCTGCACCTCCCCTGGGGCAGCGACGACGCCACCGCCGGCATCATGGCCAGCGTCATGGCCAAGACGGCCGTCTTCCCGCTCGACCTCGTGCGCAAGCGCATCCAGGTGCAAGGCCCCACGCGGAGCAAGTACGTGTACAACGACATCCCCGTGTATACTTCCGCAGGCCGGGCTATACGCGTGATATTCCAGACGGAGGGGCTGCGAGGCCTGTACAAGGGCCTGCCTATCAGCTTGATCAAGGCTGCTCCTGCGAGTGCAATTACCTTGTGGACGTATGAGCGGAGCTTGAGGCTCTTGATGAGCTTTGATGAGGATAAAGATGACAAAGGGGCGTTGTAATGAAAGCTTGTAAACGATTTGTTCGCAAAAAAAGCCATGTATTTTTATCTAGAGACTCTAATAATCTAATGACCACTGCTATGAAACATATCTATCCGTTTTGGTTCCCATTGCAGACAAAATGATATAAAAATCCCAGAAAAGAAAAAGAAGCGCAGCTGGGTATTCATAACATGCTTAGTTGCTCAGCTTTCGGTTCGTCTCATCAGCTCTCTCAATGCACTCCTCAATCACCTTCCAGAACTGATCCACGTCCACTCCTCTGGGTATCCTTACACCTGCTTCACCTGCAGGCAACACGTTGGCAATTGTTCGGCCGGTCTGCTTCTCGCCGCGCTGTGCCTCCTCGGCCGTGCCCTCGGTGATGACGGTCACGTCAAAGCGTTCATTGTGCTTGGCGCCCTGGCTTTTAACACCATCCCAGTCGTAAAAGACGATTTCGTCGGGAGTGCCGGTGAGAACGGCCGCGAGGGCGAGGGGATCGTGGAGGGGAGGGCCGGCGGTGATGCCAAAGACGTCGCTATTTGATTTATCAGTTGGTGCAAGCTAACACAAGATAATCCAGGTCCAAAAGGGAAAATCTTACGAATAGGTCTTTGCAAAGAAGTAAAGCAGCTCAACTAGCATTGTCCGCAGCGTCGTCTTGCCGGTGCCAGTCTTCTCGCCGTCCTTGCCGTACAGCAAAAGGTCTCTGACCTTCTCCGTAGCCAGGACCTGGTGGCTCAGGTCCAGCGGGACCATGAACATCTTCTTGGCAATCTCCTTGTTGTGGAATATCTCGGCCGCTGCCTCCGGGTCAATGAAAATGTTGAACTCGGCATATGGTGTTGTGTTGCCAATGCGCTCCTTGCCATCGACCGTGCCCAAAGGGGCGTCTGAGAAACCTCCTCCGATGGATCCTCCCATGATGCTCAGTCCCTTGATGTGCGGGATGAGCTCCGGATACTTTCGGAACAGGGCGGCGACGTTGGTGACGGTGCCGGTGGCCACGATCCAGGCTGTGCCGGCCGGCTGGGCCTTGAGAGCAGCAGCCATGGCGTCAATGGCGGGCTCGGTGGACGGAGTGCATTGAGGTTTGGGGAGAAGGTCGGTGCCGTCGAGGCCGCTGTCGCCGTGAATGTCGGTCGGCGCGTGGATGGGAGGTCGCTCGAGCGGGTTGCTGTAGCCAACATAGAGGGGGATGTCCTTATGTTTGCCAAAGGCCGTCAGGATGGAGGCGGCATTGTGCGTAGTGTGTCTGGCAGGTTTCAACGTTAGCTGTGGTCATTGACGATGTAGGCGCAAAGCAACCAAGCCTCCCATCGCACATACTCTAGTGAAGCGTTTCCAAAGACTGTGGAAATGCCCAGCAGGTTGATTCTGGGGTGATGGGCAGCCAGCAGAATGGCAAAGGCGTCCTGTGCGGAGAATATCCAGTTAGCTCTCACGTTTCTGATTAGGTTTGGCCAGCCGGACGCCTCATGCAATGCGACTCTGCATAAAGCTTGCATCCAAGCTCAGCACCTGGCGAGTGGAATGGGGAACTTACATCGTGGCCTGGGTCGCAGTCCAGCCAAACGGGCACTTGAGCAGACGCCATATTCAATAGATGTGAGACTTGTAAAAGGTTCGAAATAACAAATGGCACGACGGGAGACACGATACGCTCTCTATGAATTCGGTTGAAATCTACGGTATCTTAGAAGCCTCTTTATAGCTATGCTTTGTTCAGGTTACGGAAGGGCGCGGGAGAATGAATTCGGGTTGGGATCGATACGCTTTTCAATGCTCCGTAATCGCGGAAATCCACAGCCCCAGACGGCGAAATCGAGAAGTCAGCCACGCTCTCGGTTGACGGCGAGCCTCGCAGACCAAACGTGGTAGCGTAGGCTATCTGACTGTAGGGTTTCTGCTGGCAACTCACTGCGTCAGAGGACCGCTTCTTTTTTTTTCTCCGCAGCTGCAAGGCTCTAGAGTGGGGGAGAGCCATCAAATCCATCCAACCCCTCATTCGCATTGTGATGCTAGCAGGACTAGCATCGCCAGGAACCGAAAGTTTGTGTCATTGGCGTCTGGATTTTAATAATAAAAGTGGCAAGCCGAGACGCTAGACTCCATCCTCGAGGGAACTTCAAGGACGGCTGGCAAACGTCGGCGTCTGGAGCCGTATCTGTAGCTACACGTGATCCGGACCCTTTATATTCTCCCTCGCGGAGCTCCGCGATAGATGGTCGATTTCTCTCAAGCTGAACAATAACTGGGGTATCTAGTGCGGTAATGCTTGCTCATCCATCTGCTATAGAATCTGGGGCCGTTCGAAATGAGAAACTTTGTCCGCCAACTGCGCGTGTAAAGCAGGACTTGTCGAATCGGCTGACCAAATTGGACTTATCGGCCTCCCGCGGCAAGTTGTCATCATCCAGACTTCTTGCGCTGCTCGACGACCCGCATCACGTCCGCCGCGCTGTTGGCATCGCCTTTTCGCTTCTTCGGCCCCCTCTTCCGCTTTGACTTGTCGCCTCTACTTGAACCCTCTTCTCCGGTGTCATCGCCCCACTTCGACAGCTTGACTTTCGAATCGTCAAAGTCTTCCTCATCCTCAAATCTACTAGTGCCAAAGCCCATGTCGATGTCATCGTCGTCACGGCTCTGCATTTGAAGGAGCTTCTTCCTTCGTTCTTCCAGCGCTTTGGCCTCTTCCTTGGCTTTGTCGTCCTCACCTTCTTGCTCGATGGGCCTGAGAGATGCTGCCTTCTTGATGGCTGCCAATATTGCCGGGTCAGACATAGATGGCCCTTTGTTGGCTTCCTTGGATATAAGTCCCGTCTTTGCATCTTTGAAGTAGTTGCGGCGTTCTGGCTGTGAAAGAGACGGCTTTGGCGGGGGTGGCATAGATTCTTTTGTGCCGGCCTCCTTACTTGCTTCCTGCTTGCTGTTGTCACTCTCTTCTTCGTCCGAATCAGAGTCAGATCCCTCCACTCCGGCCAATGGATTGTAGTCGTCACCGGCATCTTCAAAGATATCCACATCGCCATCGTCTTCCTCTGCCTCCTCTTTCTTCCGGTATTGTTCAGGAACTTCCATACCCAACGGCTTGGCATCCTTGTCTGGCATTAAAAGGCCGCCCCGTGAATCTTCCTGTTCGGGCTGTACCTTCCGAACCTTCCTTTTCTCATGCCCATCTTCATCTACTATAATCAAAACTTCCCTTCCTTTACTGTCTTTTTCGATTCGTGTTCCTGGTTTTTGTTTTGCTCCAATCTTCTTGAATCGGTCTCCAAGAGTTGATTCTTGCGCTTCCTTTGCTGCTAGCCGGGCTGCTTTTAGCTCCGCTAGAATCTGGTCGCGTGTTCTCTTCTTTCCCGGAGCCAGAGCCACGGTTGAGAGATTGCCCTTTTTCTTTTCTCCCTTTTCCTTTGCGATTGCTTGTACGTCTCGGTCTTCGAGCTCGTCGAATTCATCGTCTACGTCTTCAGCGGCAGCTTCAGCTTCTTCCTTTTCCGGTTCCTTATTTCCGTAGACGTCCTCGCCTTTGCGTATCCTTTCAAGGAGCTTGAAATCGAGTCCCTTTACCAGATGTGTGCTCCCAAGATCTCCACCTGCAATTTGGAATCTTAGCTTTTCGTATGTTGGTTGGTCGATTTCTTCGTCTTTAAGAGCTTTTTCAAGCGCCTTCAATCTCTCCTCCCGGTCATCTTCGTTGTCCTCGCGAGTTTGTGACCTGTCGGTATACCCTGTTCCCAGCTTCACTCCCCTTGGCGTGGATGATTTAAACTTCTTTTGCGGATGTAGCGCGTGGTTCCTCTCAGCTAGTTGTCGCGCGAAATCGGCTTGTGTGCTTCCTAATGACCGTCTTAAAAACTGCGCATTAGCATTTTCAACCAACGGGTTCTGACTGAGGTAGCTTACGGTGTCATAGGGATGCTGCTTCGTTGGCGAGAACCTAATGATCCCTTATCCATGCTAGGGCTCGCGCCTTTGGGAGAAGCTCGATCTTTTGACGGCTTGGCCGAATTGGCCAGCATCAATTTCCGAAATTGGTCGTTATTCATGATTGCAAAATGCTTGGATGCCAACAGTAAAGAAAGCTGGCAGTTCCGAGAGCAAATAAACAAGGAAAAAAGTAAAAAGGCAGCCGCTCGTAGCCTTGGACGAGGCTCGCTGTGGCGCTGGAAACTTAATGGAAGGTCACGGGACGACGTGTAAGAGGCGCGCAGCATTTTTCTCCACTTAACGCGGCATCTTCGCTCATCACGTCACAAGTCTCGCAAAGTATTCCAACATCTCCAACGAGACGCTGCCGCTTAAAAGCCATGAGCAGCCTTGCATAAGCCGCTTATAAAGCGAAACACAGATTGCCGCACCCCTGAAAATGCCGCCTCAAGTGCGCCGAACATCTCCTTTCTGCTGCTTTGTTGAGTGAACTGTGGGGCTTCACAGACGGCCGTTGCTCTTGATACGTGAAGTCGTGCACCAACAGGAATCGAATCGATGAGCGTCAGCTTCAAACTCTCTCTAGTGTAGTTCCTGTGAAATTGCACAAGATGAATGGCCCGTTGGAAAAGAACTCCTCCTCGGTGAGGAAGCGCATTGAAAATCATGTCTTTGATGACGAAGAGGGCGACGAGTATGGCGGTAGTGAATTCGGTGGGTTCGGCGACTACTTTCGTCGAAAGAAGATTAAACTTCAAAATCTGGATGCCGATATACGCGCCTCGTCCGACAAGCCGCCAATATTCAAGGGCATCGTTGCCCATGTTAATGGTTACACTCAGCCGCCCCTTCATGTGTGAGTAGTCTCTTTGCATTCCGTAGTCATTGCTCATGACAACGCTAATATCATGTTTAACGGCAGACTTCACCACGATATTGTGCAGCATGGTGGTGGTTTTCTGCAATATCTTGACTCAAAAACCATGGCTACTCACATCATCACCGCCAATTTAACGCTAAAGAAAGCTGCTGAGTTTAGCCGTTACAGAATCGTGAAGCCCGCATGGATTGTTGACTCAATAAAAGCTGGCAAGCTTCTACCGTGGACCGATTATCGAGTCATAACTGAAAGCCCAAGCCAAAAAGTCTTGATGTTTGGTAACAGCGGTGGGCTTACTCAAACCAGCCCATCTCCCGTAAGGCGCAGTTACAAAGAGCAGACAGAAAATAGCTTTTATACGGATCAAATAAAAGCTGAGTCGCAAATCCAACTGATGAGCCCGATCCTGGATAAATCTCCTGTACCTAGTCGACAACAGGTCGAGAGATCCGTCGACATACTTCCAAACGCAAGTGGATTGGTAACCTCCAAGTCGGATGAAATGGACTATTCTGCAAACGCTGTAGATAATGGGGAATTCAAGGTCGAATCTGAGGCGCAACTGGCACCCAACCCTGCTAGCTTGCTAGATCCATCAAAGATACCTCCCAAGCATATGACCTCAGAGGAGCACAATGCTTGGTTACTCTCGGATCCAAGGATAAGACAATCTTCTACAGCCAATCCCGACTTCTTGAAACAGTTCTACTCCGAAAGCAGGCTCCACCATCTCTCAACTTGGAAAGCCAGTTTAAAATCATCGATGCAACGATTAGCGTCCGAAAAGGGGTTGTCAAATCAGAAAAAGACAACACGGTCTGGTTCGAGAAGATACATTATGCATGTAGACTTTGATAGCTTCTTCTGTGCAGTTTCCTTAAAGCGACATCCCGAATATCTGGACAAACCCTGCGTTGTCGCTCACAGCCCAGGAGCTGGCTCAGAAATTGCAAGCTGCAATTATGTCGCTCGAGAATTTGGCGTCAAGAATGGCATGTGGATGAAAAGAGCTCTCGAGTTGTGCCCTGACCTGAAAGTCTTACCATATGATTTTCCTGCCTACGAAGAAGTGAGTCGCCAATTTTATGGGGCGATAATCAGTGTTGGTGGTATTGTTCAGAGTGTAAGCATCGATGAGGCCTTGGTTGATGTCACCGATATCATCCTTAAAGCGGTTGAATCTCATGGCATCGGTGTTGAAGAGGGCAGCCTTTGGAAGGAGCAGCAAAAAGTCGACGAGATTGCGTTGAGTTTGCGCAATAAGATCAAAGAAGAAACTGGCTGTGCCGTTTCAGTTGGCATTGGCGCAAATATTCTACAAGCAAAAGTCGCCTTGAGGAAAGCCAAGCCTGCTGGCCAGTTTCATCTAAAGCCAGAGCAAGTTTTGGAAGTCATTGGGGATCTAAAGGTTGAACAGTTGCCAGGCGTCGCGTACAGTATCGGCGGGAAACTCGAAGACTTGGGAGTCAAATTTGTCAAAGATCTTAGAGACGTCCCAAAAGACCGCCTCGTTTCAATTCTGGGGCCTAAGACGAGCGATAAGCTTAATGACTATGCTCGTGGCATTGATCGATCGGAGGTTGGAGAACAGCCTCCTCGGAAGTCTGTGTCGGCAGAGGTCAACTGGGGGATTCGCTTCATTAGCCAAGCAGAAGCAGAGGAGTTCGTCTATAATCTCTGTAAAGAATTGGAGAAGCGGCTAGTGAATGAGCAAGTCAAGGGGAGGAATCTCACGATGAAGATTATGAGACGCGCCCTTGATGCGCCGTTGGATCCAACAAAACATTTGGGGCACGGAAAATGCGACTCATTCAACAAGAGTGCAACATTTGGTGTCGCAACACATGACTACCAAACGATTGGCAAAGAAGCGGTTTCAATATTACGCTCATTTCGGTTCAGCCCTGGAGATCTTCGAGGAATTGGTGTTCAAATGACAAAACTGGAGCCGATCAAAGTAAATTCCTTGGCTGCGGAAGGAAGCCAAAGAAAGATTACCTTTGCTCCGTTTGTTGAGCCAGCTCCTCTACTGAAACAATCGAGAGCAAGCCCAATTGATGGGATGCAAGGGCCAGAAAGTTTGAGGAAGAGGCCTATTTCTGAGTTGGAACCTAATACACTGACAAATGATCTTACGACACCTCGAAAACACACATCTCATGATATAAACGCCATTGCTCATCTAAACGCCTCTAGCACGCAATTCCTTTTGCCAAGCAGCCCCGACCCTGCGGTATTAGCTGAGTTACCAAACAACATCCGCACCAAGCTCATGGCCCAACGTCCCAGAGCAGTGGCTACCGAATCCAACGTAGAGGATCGCAAGTCAAGATCCAATAGCCCAATACTAGCAGATCTGCTCTCCTCTCAAGTTGACTTGGAAGTGTTTGACGCACTACCAGAAGATATGAAAGCTGAAGTCTTGGCGTTATATGGACGAAAGCCGACTGAGCCTCTGCAGCCTCGGCCTTCACCAAGGAAATCTGAAGTAACCCAAGCCAGGAGGCCTACAACTCCAACGAAGGCTAGCGGGGTTCGGGGCATGTTTAGTAAAGCCCAACGGCAACGAGATGCTCAAGAAGGAATTGTTCAAACAAATTTTCGGCCTCCAGGGCTTGCAGAAGAGGCTCAACTTGAAGAAATTGAAGAACTGGATCCGGCATTCCTTGCAGAGCTACCCGAGGACGTCAGGAGAGAAGTAATTGCAGATCACAGAAGGCGGCTGCTAGCCCTGCAGTCAGGGCTGGAGATACCCCTTTCGAAAAGCCACCAAGAAACGAGTCTGTTGCCTGGAGGTCAGCAAACAATTCAGTTTCCTATGCTACCGCCAGTTATATCCTTCTCTGGCTCTGTCACTTCGTTACCAGAGATCAAAGACATGGTGGATGCATGGCATTCCCAAACTAGAAAGGCGGGGCCGCATAAGAGAGATGTTGACGTTTTGGAAAGATACTTGGTCAAAGTCATTAAAGAAGAACGCGATTTGAGTAAAGCTGTAGCCTTGATTAAATGGCTAAGCGTGGTGGTTGATCAGGACGGGGTTGATAGTAGAGGACGCCGGGCTTGGAAATTGGCTGTCAGCGGCATTAAGGTGGCCATGCAAGCCGCAGTTGAAGAGAGAGGGCTAGCACCACTTCAGATTTAACCTGGTTGGATGTATACCGCATCTTTTGTAGATATTTGTACATTGGTTAAGGGGATATCCAGAATATTAATTGATGGGCAGTTATACTGTCCGACAGCCGCTCAAGCTCTTTCGGAGCGCCGATGGTCCGCAGTGCAGCGCTATCAACACCTGGATTGGCTTCGGCTCCTCGCCGCCCCGCACGCTCCTCTGGCCCTCTTAGCCTTTCAGCAGTAGTTATTACAGCTAAGAACCACCTGATGTTTTTGCCCTTCTTGAGAGGGGGTTTCCCTTAATCCTAAAATCTTTTACTTTGCCTTTATCACGAGAAACGTAGCGAACAGGGATCAACATCTTCGGCTATCGGCTGATAAGCTTGCTGTCTGGCTAGGCCGGTCTCGAGGGATCAAGACCCTGTGGAGGTGACTCATAACTGGTTTCGATCACTGGAGCCCTTTATAATACATGACATAAAGTGTCGCATGCCCGTGCTGAATTTCGTGCGATAGAACAGCAGGGGGAAAGCTTGGATTTAAGCTTGAATTTCTCAAGGCACCAGGACTGAAGATTTGACTACAAGCCACTTTATCGTAACCGACGACACCATGAAGACCATAGGCATATTGGGTGGCATGTCGGCATCGTCGACACAGATCTACTATCAAGAACTTTGCAATCTTACGAGACAACGCCTCGGCGGGCTTCATTCCCCCGAACTCCTCATTCGCTCCCTTGACTTTGCTCGGATAGAAGAACTGCAAGTGAGCGGCAAATGGGAAGACGCTGGGGATATCTTGAACAAAGAGGCAAAAGCCCTCGAACGAGGAGGAGCTGATTTTATTATTCTGGCCACAAATACTATGCACAAACTTTCTGACCAAATGATGAAGGGCGTATCAATTCCACTGCTGCACATTGCAGACGCCACTGCGGCTAGTATCAAGGACCAGAAATTCCAGTCGCCGGGCTTAATGGCCACGGCTTTCACGATGGAACAGCCCTTTTACAAGGATCGGCTTATTGCATCAGGTCTTTCTCCAATCATCCCAAACGAAGCCGACCGCGTCGAGACGCATCGCATCATTTACGAGGAGCTTTGTTGTGGGATTGTCTCCAAGGAAAGTGAGGCTACTTACATTTCTATTGCGAGACGGCTGGTAGAAAGAGGAGCTGATTGCATAATCCTCGGTTGTACTGAGGTTGGCATGCTCCTCAATCAGACCAATGTGCCTGTGCCAGTTTTTGATACTACATTGATACATTGCGATGCAGCGTTGCGAAAGGCAACTGAGGAGTAACGCCTGTAATAGAACTTGGCACCAGCCTTGAGTGCCTGTGTATTTTACAGCAAGCAAAGTGTTACGACTAGAGCTAGAACCCTTGTTATTCATAATTGCCTTGTTGGGCTATGCTGGGGGGTTGGATAATAGAAGTGAGGTGCTGGATGAGCTCTCCTTTATTTACTTGAGCGGTTCTTCTATAACTCATGAGCAACGCTGGCTCCTTTTTAAGGCTTACAAGGCTGTATCTAGTTGTCCAACTTGCAGAAGCATTCTATTTTCGAGGAAGAAAGAAGAAAGTCTATTTAAACCAATGAAACAGATTTCAAGAGCAAGCATACATGTAATCATAATCATAATCCATATCTACATCATCATAACATCGTCATCATCGCCAGTCCTGTCGAGACAAGAGTAAGCAGACCTGGAGGAGATAGCCCGCTTGCTAAAGACACACGATAAACTGTGAGCTTCAAAGAGCCACCGCAGGCAGTTGTATTGTCACCCTCACAAGGGTAATTGCAAGCCGTGTCGTCGAGCTTCTCTGCGATTCCGGCAAGCGTCTGGGCGCACCAGCATTCTCTATGTATTCCGAAACAGTCAGTTCCCGTATTAGAAATGAGACCCAATGTACGCAATGGCTGAACTGTTACCTCGACCACTCCAGCCCAGCATATCGGTACTCTGTATTGCCATTACCGCAAAAGGCGAGACATATCGGTACCGTCATCTGGCCCGGCAGGCTTTCATCAATTCCGCCACCCAGAGCACGCGTATCGGCCGAGCCAGGGACTTGGGTTGTCTCATTGTAGCAGCCGTCATATTTGTATTTCTTGGAATCGTCGTAGACTGAGACGGTAGCATTGGCGGCGTGGACAAAGGGGATGAAGAGCAAGAGCTGCAGTAATAGTGATATGGAAGGGCCCATGGTAGGCGGCTTGGGAGGCTGTGTTTTCACGAATGGTTGATGGGTCGATCACTGATAAGGTATATTCGTATTCGAATGCAAGATATGACGTGCTGGTGGAATTGAGGCTGCAATCGCAAGTAGACTCTGGGAGGAAATGCGCAGTAAGATAAATCGACAAGCGCTGTACGACAATTCAAGAAAAAGCAGACAAGCACGCAAAGCAAAAGATTAAGCAGGCTGAAAATCAACAACTGGAAAAAAATACGAAAGAAGAAAAGAAAAAAGAAAGGGGAGATTAAAAGTACAATTAGGGAGAGACGGCAGACAGGACGCAGCTGAAATGCAGGCTTATGTACAGCGATAACACGCCGCTATCTGGACGGATGCAACCATCAGCTCAGCGCCAAGATGTTGGATTTTCGGGGTCGCTTCGGTGCGGTGGCATGTACCGCTACGGCTGCTCTGTTAGTGCAGCTGGGCTCGCACACGTTTACTTCTAGGCGCATCTCCAAATTACCTAACAGCGCATCTCCCAAGGGACCTACTCTCCACACTCAGCTCCCCCACACACAGCGAGTAAGCCAGATAGCGGGACACGACAGCTTCTTTTCTTCTTCCTTTTCGCCTCTACGCCTCCACGCATATTGCTCTAGTTGCGCGGAACTTGAGTGTAGCTGCTTCGGCCCTGACAGCGACGTTTCGCCTCACCTCTGTCCTTCTCCGTCTATATATATCAGTGCGCATTAGTGCTATTTGCACCTTCAGCGCCATGAGCTCCTACATTGATTGGTCCAAGACCACAAAGTCCAAGGACTACCGCGGAGCATCGTCCTTTGCGACTTTTCTCATCATTGGCCGTATGCCGCCCTATTTCCCTTGCACATCTGCCTCGCCTCAGATTTACTGAGCTGCGATGACAATGCAGACGACCACATGAATGTCTTGTGCTAATTGGTTCTCCAGCGACATGCTTCTTCCTGGGCATCCTCTTCGCGTCGTTCCCGTACGATTTTCCCCTCCTCTGGACCAAAGAGCCCGTCGCCCTCGACTACTATGATCAGCTCGAGACGCACCTCAAGTTCATTCACCAGTCGCCCCCGCTCATCGGCCGCCTCCTCAACATCATCATGAGCGTGGGCTTCCTCGGCCTCTTCATCAAGCTCTTCCGCCCCAGCGAGGCAAACTTCCTCTTCGACGGCGCCTCGCTGATCCTCTACATCATCGGCGTGGCCGTTTACATCTCCAACATTGTCAAGGGCCTGCGCACCGTCAGCTCCGGCTTCTGGCACTCTGAAGAGTTCAAGACTGCCGAGGGCCGGTTCGACGGGGAGATTGTCTTGGGCAGAGAGGACAGCTTAAAGGTGCTTGCGGCAAGCAACACTATTCTTGCGCTCGTATTGGTGGGCATTCTGGTGCTGCAGGCGGGGCAGTGGTATGCCGAGAAGAGGGATTGGGATGACGAGAAGGAGGTGGCGAAGAAGGACAATAAGAAGAAACAGTAAGGAGGGGGCTTTACAATTGTTCGGAGACAAGTGTACGACACATACTGGCGGTGAGATTGTCCCAGTATGAGTATTATGATGAAGTGGTATTTTGTAGCCTCGGGTATACCGGACTTGCGCCAGATTGGCCAGTACAAATCGCTCGTATGGCCGACTGATGCCTTGATGGCAGGCCGATGTAATAATGGGACTGGATATAACTCCGGCGGTGTTGAATACTTTGGGAAGGGCATCTTTTTATTATTACCTAGTAATTCGTATGTAGATACTACCCACCTCTATCAACTAGAGCACTCACTAATGCAGACATGAGCCTTGATCAAGTTCCAGCTAGAGAGGGATCGCCGTCAACAACTTCAACTATTACGAAACAAATGGATTGCCAAGTGAGTTTCTAGTCTCAGTGGAAAGAAGTAGCTCCAAGACTTCGCAGTGCATGTTACGTGTAAGCGTAATACTGGTACCAATGTGGATAATGATACGACGTGCTGGGTGGATATGGCTTCACGTTTGGATCAAGAAAAAATTATCAGATCATCTGATAAGAAATTAGATGCAAATTGAGTGTCGTAATCTGGCGGGGCAGAGCGACCCGCTTGACAAGGCCGGGATATGAGCTTGCATGCAGTGCAAAATGGCTGCAGGATCAGATTTTGTCAGACTGGGATTGAAATTCAGCTTGATTGGCACTGTGCATATAGGAATTGTTTTCTACTTGGCTGTAGTATTTACAAGTCATCCAGAACGAGTGATTTTGTAGCAATTGCCATCATCTTGTATAAGTGACGTGATTCATATTCAAGTGTATCCGCAAACGGCACTCTTGAGAAAATTCTCTTAGCAATTCTCTTAGAAGAGGCTAAGAGAGGATTATGGCTAGGATAAAAACTCAACCATGGAGCAAGTGGGTAGGCTAAAGCTTCAGACCCAGGAGAGTTCCAGCAAAGGCGCAGATTGTATCGCAGTTGGGCTCTCATAGACGAAAGCGGCCTTTCAGGATGCCACGCCCTTCCAAGTGACTGTTGACAGCGCCTTTCTTGGAGACAGCGCCCGTGTCTCATACAACTAGTCTAATGGCACATACCATCAGAAAAGAGCTTCCAAAGGCTCGCTCAATGACTTTTCCATCGCAGGAAGCTTATACAACATCACATATTACTGTAATGCATGAGTAATAAGCCAAGTCGTGCCTGGGCGGCCTCCCTGCATCATGCAGCTGAGCGGTTTTTGTTGCTCGTTGTAAATTGCCGAGGCGCCTATATGTGAAGGGACATGGATCCAGAGGTGTGCAAGCATCACGCCTTAAGCAAGCAAGGAGCCGTGCCAATAAGGCGCCTTGAGGTGCTATAAAGGTACAAGGCGGTTGTTTCCACAATCCAACCATAGAATGTAATGGTGCTTCTCGAATCATGGTACGAAATACTGATGGGTAATATTATGACTCGAATGATGAACAAACTTGCAGTTTCTGCGACTATCTGTGCTCAACGTCATATGTTCTTCGCCATTGCTATATACCGCCTGTCATGAGTAAGATATCCTCATTAGATCGCCAGCTGCTAGAATCTCGTCCTGTTCCTGTCGCTGTACGTACAGTATGGCGGTACTCCAGCCTAACTCAACTGGACAAGACGCATGCAAGTGCCGGGGTCCTGGAATCCTCGTAACCGATCTCGGCAGGCACACGAATCAGAGCAGCGCATTGGACCCAATCGCCGCTCGCATCCTATCGATAAGCCGCGATAAGATTGAAATTTTACAGTCACACCTTGGGAGTCAGAACAAGGCCGGGTCGAGGCAGCAAACTCGATCGACGAGTTAAACCCAAAGACGCTGTTTCTCCATGCAGCCGAGCCACATCCTCACAATGTAGGGCTGGGTCCTTGTCTCTCTCCTTTTTTTCTTCTCCTCAACCTGGTCTCATTGCTTCGAATAGATACCGCGACCGCTCTGGACTGCGACAAACTCCGCCGCTCCTCCTGGTGTCACTTCCGTTGCGCAACATTGCATCAGTCGCATAGCACAGGGCAAAGTCGGTGTGGATTCGCCTTGCAGGTCCCGTTTCTTGCGAGCTCAACATCCTATCCTTTCCACCCCACACGGAGGAGCCCAAGACTAAAGCTTTTTAAACATCCTTGTTCCCGCGCCGCTGTCTCTGGATCTCACGCTCCTCGCCGTCAAAGCTCCCGCGCTGTCGCAATTCTCTGCTGCGCCGCCAGCCTCTGCCTGCTCGCCGTATTCTTTCAAACCTGCTTTCAACCCCCGCTCCCACAGGAGAGGGGGCAAAGCTAGGACTGAAAGACGTGCGCTGAGGGGAGAAGAAAGACAACTTTCTGTTTTGCACCTTCTTCTCTTGACGCCGAGATATCCCCAGAATGGCCCAGGCCGCCTTTGATGTGACTACTTCGGTAGCAGTCGAACCTGAAATGGCGCTTCAAGAAAAAGTTCGGTCTGCCACCATGGAGGCTGCTGAAGACATCATCTATGGATCTGTAAGTACAGCGACGGCTCAATAGATTCAAAAGGCACAAAGAGAAAAATCTAATGGGATTGGGGGTCAGATCGCAGGCATTGCCGGAAAATACATTGAATACCCCTTTGACACCGTCAAGGTTCGACTGCAGAGCCAGCCCGACCATCTACCGTTGAGATACACGGGCCCCTTGGACTGTTTCCGACAATCTATAAAATCCGACGGCCTTCGCGGGCTGTACAGGGGAATCAGCGCCCCTCTGTTTGGAGCTGCTGCAGAGACTAGCAGTCTCTTTCTATTCGAGAACGTGGGACGAGAGATGCTTTACCGAGCTCATATAGCTTCTCGAGACAAGGGGCTGTCACTTCCCGAGCTATGGTTGACTGGTGCTATATCTGGAGCCTTTACCTCCTTCGTCCTGACGCCGATCGAGCTCGTCAAATGCAGGATCCAAGCCCCAGCGCTATCAGAGGGAGCACCTGCAGCACCTCTACGGCCTGTAGCTGTTATTCGGGAGGTGTATCGGCATGAGGGGATCAGGGGCTTTTGGCACGGCCAGCTTGGCACGCTCATCAGAGAGGCTGGCGGCTGTTCTGCTTGGTTCGGAGCCAAAGAGACGGCCACAAAAGCATTCTATAAGCTGAGGCTTCGTTCTGCCACCTCTGAAAAGGAGAAGGAAGCAGTTCTTTCGAAGCCTCTCCCTTTGTGGCAGCAGGCTATTGCCGGCGCATCAGGAGGTGTCACATACAATTTCTTATTCTTTCCCGCCGACACCATCAAGTCTCGCATGCAGACGTCACCTGTCGGCACTGGCCAACGTCGAAGCTTCTTTAGTGAGGGCATGGCCATTTGGAGGCACCACGGATTGCGAGGGCTGTATCGTGGGTGTGGCATTACCTGCGCCAGAGCAGCCCCCAGCTCTGCCTTCATCTTTATGGTTTATGACGGGCTGAAACGACATGTTCCCATGCAATAAGTTTGTCATGGATGATACACATATTCAGCGACAAACATTTGTTTTTTCTTTTCTCCTAATATTTTTTTATTCTTCGAAGCATTTATTCTCATGGCCAAAAACATTACGCATAATCGATTTGCATGTTTAAGAGGCATTCCAAGGGCGCTTTTTTGCAATTTTTATTTTTGAAGACTGGGTGTTGGTGTACCAAAAATGAGGGGGGGTATGGGCTATAAAATGGACATGGAGTAGTGATAGATATATACGGGATGATGTTGATCTCGCAATAGATAATTCAATTATCCTGATTGATATGACTCGAGTCGCTCAGCACGTGTTTATCCAATGCTGTAGCGTGACATTCTGATTAGCTTATGTGTTGATAAGTATGATAACTTTCCTATTGCTTCACATCATCTCTAGTCTCCTCCTTGTCCGCCAAGTTCCAGCCATTGAGATATCCAGCGCCAGCGCTCAAATAGGTCGCAAATCCCAGCCATGCGATATAAGGGGCATGGCACCAAGCCGCAACCGAATCGATTGATCCCCACAGAGAAGCTAGATAGCCATTGAGGCCCAGCAAGACGACAATGTCGGCGGTGGCTTCGATTGGGCGCTTGGCGACGAAGAAGAGCGGCATCCAGACGAGGTTAAGGCCCAGTTGAATGGTGTAAACCGTCATGCTATGCTTAGTCGTCTGGATGGTCTGTGGGGAAGAGAAGGGTGAGAGGCCGGTAAATGTAGCACGGTAGGCGGCGTATCCCATAAGACTTGGGGGGAGGATTGGTCAGTTATTGGATTATATCAATAATGAAACAATGATGAGGAGGATTCAAGACATGGGAGATATCATGAGTCTGGCAGGGGGAGATATGTACCCGTAAAGAACGGTCCATACTGGGCCGAAAACCCATGGCGGAGGATGTAAAGGAGGTTGCTTCAACGCGAGGTATGTCTTTTGCGCTTTGGAGGCTATATCAAATCAGATAATTGTGGTTAGTTCTTTCAATTGCTGCATGGCCACAGTTTTATCTTCTTACGTCGAGTCCCAAAGCCAACGGAAGTGCCCAATGCAATGGGAAGGAGGATGGACGAGGCGGGATTGAGAAACACGTTTGAAGGGATTGTGAGGGCTGGGATGTAAGTCGTCATTTTGGCGGTAGTATGCCTGTGCGAATTACTTTGGTGAGAAGAATTACAGAGAGAGGAGAAAGATTGGCCAAATTAGGGAGAGGGAGATGGGTGGTTGAGACTTGAAGGGAGGCGACGAAAGTTGCGCTTTGGTGTTGCTCGAGATTCTATGACGCAATGAGCTGATTGGTTTGGTGGGAGCTGGAGATCTAGACTAGGGGAATGCAACCCCAATAAGGGTGCACTGGGCTAAAAAGCTGCCCCAGTAGCTCAGGTATGGAGCTAGATTTCAGAGCGTAAGTCGAGATTGCCTTTATATTCAGCATGCTATTACTGATTCATGCATCTCGTGCAATGAGCTCTTGAATAAAGTTCAACTTTTACTTTTACTAGTAAAGAATTCTGCGTCTACATGATTTGAACGCGCCGCGCCGCGCTATAAAACTTTGCCTTTAGTGTTAGGTGCTTTTGTCAGCTCCGTCTTTTTTTCTTCCCTAAATATCGGCAAGTTGAGAAACTTTGGACCGATTTGGTCACGAAATGCCATAGGAATTGCGTCGATGCGTACTTGTGGCGATTCTGAGAGAACCGTGGGCAGCTGAAGCAGTAAAGTAGAGAGCCAACATGAGTCAAGAAACACAAGGATACAATGCTTTTGCAGTGTAGTATCCTCTTCAATATTGCATAGTAATTAGTAAAAAAGCAGTCCAAGGCCTGGCAAGCCAACTGCTTTTACACTTCGCTGTGTGCCATGCAAGACATCTCTTTAAAAGACCGACATCCCACTAGGGCGTTCGCGTGCGCGGTACATCCCCGCCTAATTGATTTCGCGCTCAACGCGATCCATCGCCAAAAACGCGACCCGCTGGCCTTCGGCAGGCACTTTAGCGCGTATTTAGCGGGTACACAGAAACACCCCTGGTTCAACGCCAAAAACGCCCTTTCTCTTGTAGCTCCACGGCCACATCCAGCTTTCCTCATAATACCCTCTGCACCTGCAATTTTGTTCCTAACCTGCAACTGCAACGGCAACGGCATCTCGTTTTCTCCTCCTGCATTTGCATAAATTGGAAGGCACCGGTGACGTTTCTAACCTGATAATCGCTGCTGCCGTTCATCTTTTCACGACTTGCCTGGAAGGAGCTTCTTGACTACAGGGTTTTCATCACCAGTTGCCATGGCTCGTCCTTCCGAGTTGAGAAAGCGGACGCGCAGCATCATCGAAGATGGTAAGTCCTGCTGTGGCTCCTTCACGCCCACGTGTCTTTATTGATATTAAACGACGCCTCTTTTCAGTCATACCAAGTTCTCCCAGCAAAAGACTTCGTCGATGCCGCCTGGCGTCCGTCTCCTTCAACGATGAGAACCAGGATCCCGACTATATTGTCGACGAGAATGATGACGACAACGACAGCGAAGGCGAGGAGGTGTTAAAGGAGCCATCACCACGCAAGTTCAAGCGGAGCGTGTCACAAACCTCATTAAAATCCAATCCTGTCACGCCCTCCGCTCCTCGACATCGAGATGTACTCGGCTCTTATCCTAGTACACCGCGGCACGCGGTCATGTCCGCTGGCAAGCTCTTCAAACGACTGACTCCCCAGTCACCTCTTACACCCACCACAATCCAGACCGTCTATCACCAAGCTCGACAGCTGTTTGCCAGAGGAGCAGAACCCGGTCAGTTGGTTGGGAGGGAAGCAGAGCGAGAGCAACTGACGACTTTCCTGGATCGCGTATCGACTTCATCTCCTGGAGGATGCATGTACATCAGTGGTCCGCCAGGCACTGGAAAGAGTGCCATGATCACCAACATAGCCAAGACCTATTCTGAGCAGGAAGGAGTTCGCAGCGCATATGTCAACTGCATGAGCATCAAGTCATCAAAAGATTTATATCACACACTTCTAGCCGCCCTCGGTGAAGACGGCAGCGATCTATCAGAGGCTGAAGCCATCGCATCGCTACAGAAAATGTTCTTTTCCAAGGCCAAATCATCTGCCACATATCTCGTCACCTTGGATGAAATTGATCACATTCTCACGCTGGATCTGGAGAGCCTTTATCGTTTATTCGAGTGGTCGCTGGCAAAGTCTTCAAAGCTGTTGTTGCTTGGAATTGCAAACGCTTTGGATCTTACCGACCGCTTCTTACCGCGCCTCAAGTCGAAGAATCTTAAGCCTGAGCTACTCCCTTTCCTGCCATATACTGCCGCTCAGGTCAAAAATATCATCATTACCCGGCTGAAATCCTTGATGCCCGAAGGAAAAGAGAGCTTTGTTCCCTTCATTCACCCTGCCGCTATCGAACTCTGTTCCCGCAAAGTTTCAAGCCAGACTGGAGACCTGCGCCGAGCATTTGAGATCTGCCGCCGAGCCCTGGATCTGGTAGAGGCAGAGACCCGGTCAAAGCACGAGGAAGAAGCACGACAGAAGTTCTTGCAGTTGACACCTACCAAGAAGCCCCTTGGAGAGAACATCAACGGCAACTCGGCCGGTGGATCTACTCGCAGCGTCTTTCAGATCACCACAGCATCATTAAAGGCTTTGACAGCGGAGACGGCTCCACGAGCATCGATTGGACATTTGAACAAAGTGACGGCTGCTGCCTTTAGCAACGGAACAACTCAGCGTCTCAAGGCCCTCAATCTCCAGCAAAAGGCTGCCTTGTGTTCCTTGGTAGCCTACGAGAATCACATTCGAACAATGGCCAAAGGGGCTAGCGCGCCTCTCACCCCAAGCAAATCACAGACAATGGCACCTACTATCAAGTTGCTTTTTGATAAGTACTGCAAGCTGTGTCTGCGCGACTCTGTGCTTCACCCGTTGTCGAGCTCCGAGTTCCGAGAGGTGGTGGGCAGTCTTGAGACACTAGGCCTTGTTAACGCAGTGGAAGGAAAGACGGGCAGCTTCATCATGCCACAGACACCTAGCAAGCGAGGTCGAAAAGTGGCAGCGGCCAGTGGTGATGAAAAACGAATTGCTAGCTGCGTTGGCGATAAGGAGATGGAGTCGATCGCCGATGGCGTTGGCGCTGATATTTTGCGAACAATTTTGTCAGGCGAGGCGTTGGATTAAAAATGAAAGGAAAGCATATGTATGAAGTGTATTGTGTTTGATTAGCATTGGTTTGGCGCATCTGGGTGGTTTTTGTCTTTTCCTTTCTTCAGACTGTCACGATTGGCAGCATTCATTGGCGTTGAGAACTGGCTATGAATATTTGGTTGAGCAACGAGCGCAACGAAGAGGTGTTTGTATAATTGCATAAAAAGTCGAGCATGGCATGTCAGACAAGGACGTTTGAGCACACATCAGCTACTAGTACCCAGTACATACATAGAGACGGCGATAATGAGACCGAATGAAACACTCATCAATGCCTGACTATCCCAATACCTCAAAGACGTGTGTACTTTGTATTGTGTGGTGTCTCTAATGCGTTACTATTATTACGATGAGACTTCAAGTTATTATTAGTATACTTTGTATACTCAGGCGCAATGAATGCATGATTAATACTGGCTTGGATCAGAATTCATAACAAAGTAAGACATGCATATTCAGCATCCATAGTTGTCTACTTATAGATACGAAGTATCATAATACGAATAGCCTCTCGTAATGCCGTGCTATCACCGCCGCTTGATTGGCGGATCAACGGTACACAGGTCTTTAGGGTCTATCAAGCACTCGCACGTACTCGTGTTGTCTACTTATTATGGAGTAAGGAGTGCAGGGGTTGTCAAGAGTGCTACAGTACAAGTATGTCGGCTGGCCGCTCTCATGTCAAGTAAAAGAACGAGCCTAAGGGACACCAATAAAGTATGTATTTGACGGCTTATGATGTGTACAGCAGCAGCTCTGACTTGTGGTACCAGACCACCATGAAATGAAATTAAACCAACAGCACCAGTACAAGCATGTGCTGCGCCAATCCGCGAATTTCATGCCACAAATGGATCGGATTGACCGGGCCGGGCAATCATTTGATAGTATCACTACTACCCCGTGGGTATCATTCGGGAAACACCAGGCAAAATGATTGCGGAAGCTCGTTCTGTGCAGCAACCACCAGCATGACCAAGCTTTTTTCTTGGCTTTGGATTCTTCCCGAAGTGCCGACACCCGAGTGGGAAGGGGGACGTCCTTGTTATGGGTCGTATGGACCAGGGCCCAGGCTTCTCAAGGGAAGAACACACGAGTGAAAAACCCCCCTTGGGAAGAGGAAGAATACTGGTAGGTACATACTTGTAGAACCTCCAGAAAAAAAAAGAGGATGGGCGCTATGGGTTTGTGGCGGGTGTGCCTGAAGGTGGGCTGGCAATGGCAAGGGTTGGTGAATCTTGGGGGGATTTGACTGGCTTACGTCGCCAAGCTTACGATAGACAGAGCAGGGGTTAGGGGGGGAATCGCACTTGTAGGGGGGGATTCGGGGATTCTATTTTTCTCGAGGCGTCTATGCTCCAGCTTTTGTTTCCAGGACGGGTCTCGCGGCAATAGGGCCGAGGGAGGTGCGTTTACAGCTGATGGCATTCAATGCGTCTAGTGATTGATTCCAGTCGGACTCGCTTTGATGCACCGTAGCGGCTGTGCGTGTTGGTGTTAGTGCTGAGAGTGAGACCTGGACTTGTATTTCGTTGCGTGCATGCAGAGCTGTACAAGTTAGTAGTACATGCAGGCGGGAGATTTGCTGCTCAAAAAGGCAGGATGGGTGCGGCTTTGCTCCTGCACCCTACATTGGTACTAGCAGGAGGCAGGTGCTGGCTCGATCTGTCTTGCCCGAGTCTGTATATGGATTTGCATTTGCATTTGGAGATGACCCAGATTTGGATCTTGCTATTTTTACTCTTGCTCTTCGTCGCCGGCCTCTCTCCTTTTCCTCGTTCTCTTGTCTCTTCTCTTCTCTTCTCTTCTCTTCTCCTCTCAATCTATCCCGCGCGAATCGGCATCATCCCACCGCGTACTGGGCAATCTGGCCGGCGTCGTCATCGCTGGAATGCGTCTGGTCTAATAACCAGGACGACTGAAAACCCCACCTCCGCCGTGCCGGTCTGCCGTTTTGGAGCTGGAGCAAGGCTGCTGGTTCACAACTATTGGTTTTTTTGGTTCCCAACGACGGCGAGAGGCAGAAGTGTTAAATCCCACGGACCTAATCTTATTTCCATAATTCCTTCTCACCTTCTCCTGCTTCGTCTTTTTTGGGGCATGTGCGTTTGCTGGTTTATTGAAAAGAGAAAACCGCCAATCATTGACTTATTGATTGATTCGCACCACGACTGCTGCTGCTACTGCTGCTACTGCTGCTAGGGGATCCATCATTTTTGGAGCTGGGGTACCGCTGACTGGGTACAATTAATCTACGAGAACGACCACAAGCCACACGAGCCACGATCGCAGAACCACGGCCGCCCACGACACAAAAGACAGACGCAGAGAGGGAGAGCGACCGCGACCACCACAACCGTCTCTGCGGCCGTAGCAGCGCCCGGGTCCGCCTTTGTCACGCTCATGCCACCAGCACCGTCTCGGCGCATAGGCGGCGTGTCAACATCGTCGGCCTCGGCGTCCGTTTCGCTGCCGTCGCTTCCAGGCGCTCCTGCAACTGCCACAGGCACTGCCAGCAGCACCTCATCATCGCCAACGCCGTCGATCCCCGCCACACCAATCGCAAGGACGAGAACAGCGACATCCGCCTCCCCGTCAGCCTCAACCTCTACGCCGCCAACTCCTACGCCTGCGCCCGCACCCATCTCTACTTCTGCGCCGACTGCCTCCTCTACGTCCCTGTCGCGCCCCGGCTTTCTGGCGCGACTGGGGTCCTCCATCAATCTGCCCTTCCCCTTACGAAGCCGCAACCGCAGCGTCGCCGATTTCCATGTCCGCTGCGACGAGCCACACCGCAAATACAATGCCGGCGACCACGTCCACGGCGCCGTCAGCATCTCCGTCGTCAAATCAGTGCGCTACACTCACCTAGTCGTGACCCTCCATGGCTTTGTGCGCGTGCTCAAGGATCCCGCCGGAAGTAAAAAGGGACGAGACATTACGGCGCTGCCGCAAGGAGGAAGCTCCTCGCGGCCACAGTATCACGGCAATGGCTTCGCAAGCCTCTTCCAGGACGAACAGGTTTTGAGCGGCGAGGGGAGGCTTGATCCCGGCAGGTTCGATTTCCGCTTCGACTTGGTGTTCCCTGACAAGGGACTCCCGAGTAGCATTGACGTGAGTTCCCGATCGCGTGTGCGCACACGCGTGGCACCTTGCCAAGCATAAAAGAACCTTTGACTACTGCGGCGGAAATGCTAATACCATTCCTCCTTGTCGAAATCTAGTTTGAACGCGGAACCATATCCTACATGATCACGGCGACTCTGACACGTCCCGTCTCCATGTCGCCGACAATGACATGCGAGCGAAAGGTCATATTGGCAGAGAGGATAGACGTTGGCCTCGTCCCGCCGCCAGCACCCAGAATCATCTTTCTTGAGCCTATAAATCGGAAAATGAAGAAGAAAAAGTCGTCAATGGCACTAGACAAGACCACTTTTGCTGCGCCAGAGGCGGCTGACGTAGTATCTGAGCCTGATGCCCAGGAACCGGTAGAGGATTCTACCGACCAACAAAGCGAGCGCCGAGGAGCAGCCACGTCGAGCGATGTGCAAAGCGAAATCAGCGGCGAGAGTGGGCGCAGCATTGGCACTACCATGAGTCGGAGCGACTTCACGCAACTGTCACATGTGGGCACTGTCGGTGCCATGTCGGCTCAGCAGCAAACGGTCAACGACAATACCATCACTGCCAGCATCGAACTGCTCAAGGGCGGCTGCCTCCCAGGTGACGCTGTGTCAGTGCGGGTCACGGTGCAGCACATCAAGCAGATTAAGAGCATGACTGGTGTCATCGTCACCCTTTTCCGCCAAGGCAAGATTGATTCTTCTCCGCCGGCACAACTGTTCAAGAACATGATGTCCAAAGAAGACGCTCGTCGACTGCAAAAGGAAGATATATATCCCAAATCCCGTACGGGGCTAGGTGGGATTTCACTCTCGTCAACAGGCTCCGTCAGCGTGTTTCGCAAAGACCTCGATCAGACTACGGCGCCACTAATCATCGATCCAGCGACTCTGTCGGCATCTGTCACGGTGCCGGTCAAGATCCCCGACGATTCTTTCCCGACTATCAAGGGCGTTCCGGGAGATATGATCTCCTTCAAATACCAGGTAGAAGTCCTCGTCGACCTAGGCGGGAAGCTGTCTGGCAATTTCCCATCTCGCAAGACTTCACGATATGCCACCGTGAGCAATAGCGCCGCAGATCAAAGTATAAACATGTTCTCGCAGAGGAGAGGGGCTCAGATCGAAATCATCGATACGACGCCCCTCAGGAGGCACAAGGGAATTGTCTGTGTGGCGCTCGAGTCCGTCGTCGGCACGGTGGACTCTTCAGGGCCTCGGAAGCTCATCAAGGTGTCGTCATCATCTAAAACGCTTGAAAATCCGGAGAGCGATGATGAGATTGACGTTGTTCTTCCAACTCCAACTCGCTATGAAGATATCGACCGCGGTAATACTCATCATACCCATGGACCCCCGCCGCCGCCACAAGAATACTTTCCTCCGCAGACAGATAATCAGCGTCCGTCGTATACTCCTCATGACCCTTCTCGTCCAAGCTATCCGCAAACGACCTATCCCGACGTCGCACCATCCTACATCCCACCACCTCCTCAATTGCCTGACCAGAGGAACTTGTCAGAGAAGGATCGTATAAGACAAGCAGAGCAGCGATTACTGCCTAGCCAGCCACCTGCCGGTCCGTCTAACCTCACCGCTACTAGTCCATCTGCACCTGATGAAGACGACATTTACGATGCCCAGGCCACACCAAGACAACCCTTTGCTGGCAACTCGGGGGCAGAAGATGGCACAGCTCCATCTGCCCCAAGTGAAGCAGAGCTTGCGGCCACCACCAGTATCTCAGTACAACCTGGAGAAGATAAGCAAGAACGTGAGAGGAGGCGCCTTATGCAAGAAGCCAGCGCACCCCCTGAGTTTCCTGAGGATATGGACCAGAGCGGTAGTCCTGGCCGAGCCCCTAGAGAAGATGAACTCACGGCAGATGCTGAACCAACAGCCCCCATGCTGAATGAGGACGAAGATGGGCATGATTACTCAGACTATAGAGCTGCCGCAGGAACATCCACGGGGAGTACAGGTATGCAGAGAAGGCGGGATAATGATAATGAGGAGCAATTGCCGGCGTACCAGCGGTGATGCATGCAGACAGAGAGAGCATGAATGCAAGGGATGCAAAAGCTCATCTCTCTTTTACCATCTTTTTTTTTATTTCTTCTTCTATTTCAATTTGCATGTTTGCATCACATTGCATGGCTGGCGTTGGGTAACAGATGGGATTGGAGGATACACAGGGTAGGCTATGCTATATTACGAGTCAAGCTATTGTTCATGACTGCTTTGCTCTTTTTATTAATGTATATATTTTTGGTTCGAGCGGGCATTGATGCTATGAGGCAGATGGCTGGCTACTTTGATGGCAGGGATGAGGGGGCATGACTGTTTTGTGTACATATAAACGTGTATAAACCAATGAATATTTAAGAAATTTAATCAGTTTTGTGGATTTATTGCCTCTCTACCCATGTTATATAGCCAAGCACACATATTAGTGTCTTTATTACAATACGTCTAACACTACCGTCAATGTTGTTACAAATATCTATCACTACCGTCTAAATGCCCTTTTTCTCATAGATTTCTTTTCATGTCCAGCCGAGATTATTACACCATTCCGTATAATACACACTCTAATGGCCCCCTAGATAACCCTTCAGAAGAGTGATGACAGTCTCCCATTTATCAGCATCAATGCTGCAACACCACCGGCTTGCCCTCCTCCCAATCATCCAAGCTCTGCTTGATATTAACCCAATACCGTAACCGCACAGCCTCCTTCTTCGCCGCCATCACATCATCCTCGTGAAATGCTCTCTCCAGCACATCCTCGCTCTCCCGAATGCGCTTGTCGTTGACGGCCTGCAGCTCCTCCAAGTCCTCGGCGGCGGTGGCGTCGGAGATTTCCTCGTGGGCCTCGAGCACGACCATGAGCAGGCTCGGGTCGTCGACCTGCATGGTCTCGTCGGTGGCGACGTCGACGCCGCGCAGGGAGAGGAGGTACTGCGCGCGGAGGAGCGGGTTGGCGAGGGTTTTGTAGGCCTCGTTGATGAGGGCCGAGGTTGCTTCGGCGCGGAGCTTGAGGGGGCCTTGCTGGGGGTGGCGGTCCGGGTGGTGGCGGGCCTGGAGGGCGAGGAATTCGCGGCGGAGGGCGCGGGTGTTTATGGGGAAGTGGCCGGTGGGAGGGGGCCCGAGGGGGAGGGTTTCGGGGAAGATTTCGTAGTGGGTGGGTGGTGATGGGTTGGAGGTGTTGGAGGTTTCGGATTCGGACTCGGGTGTCGAGGCGGATGCTGTGGAGCTGCTGGAGAAGAATGCTGCGCTTCGGTATGATTGCGGTAATGTCTTGTTGAAGCTGCTGATAGGAGAGGATGCGATGCTGTGCGCTGGACGGATTGATGTTCTGCTCAAAGGTAGGGCTTGTGAGGCTTGGATGCGACATCGCGCGCAGAGCCGAGTTACGTCACGGAGAGCCATTGCTGTAGCGGCTGGTGAGCGCATAGTGGTGTTCCTGATATAGAAACAGCGCTGGATGAGACAAAAGGAAGAGAGAGAAGAGGCAAATTAAAACAAAAGTTCAAGATGAATTAGACAAGATAAATAGCACTGCTGTATAGTTATTATGTGCATGACTAGCTTCTCGTTGATTTTGAGATTCTTCGGAGTTTTTAGTGCAAGGATGTCATAGAAACGGAGTTGTTTCGGAAATAAATTCGGCCGAGATATGGACTATCCCGTACTACCATCGTCATAGCGGTCTAAAGTTACTACGAGCTGGTGTAAGTCCCTGTGAGCTACAAAGATTAGAAGATCAGGCTGTAATTCCACGATACACAACAGAGACTACTCTGTACTACTGTAGTGAATACGAACTAGCACTATAAGTCTTATCAATAGGTACATAATATAACATAGTATTTTTATTCGCCAGCCGCTTTGTCTGTTCGCCACCTCTCATTCTGCTAGTTAATACTACAGTACCTAAATAGTAATACCTTCCTACAGCGCAATCGTTCGGTTTCTTTTCTATCCAGCACTACTTTTTTGCGAGATGATTCGTCTTTTGTGACGCAAACATCGGAAGGCTTTTCTTTGGGAAAAAAAAAAAAGCTGTTTGATAATTCATGAAAGCAGACATTGCCAATGTCAATCTAGATCAAGATGCTGCCCGCGATTTGATCAATTACAGCTTACAGCCAAGTGGACAGCACTCGCAAGTCCACAAACGGAAGAGCAATCCAGGAACCCAATTTTATGATCCGATACCACAGCTGTAGCTCAATAAGGGAGTTGATCTACGTACATAAGAAAAAATATCAAGTTATTATTAGAAACACGCAAAGCGGCAGTAGATGTGGTAACAGTAGCATGTTACCTAGAAGGCGGGAGAGGGGGGGGTTCTGGTCATAGGTTCTACAAGATTTCATCTCTGGTATAACCATAAAAGGCATAGGAAATCTTTTAGTGCCTTTCATGGGCGTTACCAGAGGTAGGAGCGATGACCAGAAACCCCCCTCTCTCGCCTAGGTAGGTATGCTGTAACTGAAGTACTGAATAATAGAACCAGTAACTTTTCCCTGCATGTAATATCAATCTTCGCTGAGCTTTCCTATTTTCTCTCTGCAGCCTGCCGTGGATGCCTGCATGGCCGCAAATGATTTCTGCCCAATGACCTTTGGAAGTAATTTCTGCCTAAGCTGAGCAATCCTCTATTTAATTCTACCCAGCCTTTGTATCGTTTTCGTTGAAATCGGGACGCTCTTCATTGACAAGGATTGATTTATTTCCATAATAACGATTAAAGCAAAGTGTCAAACCATTATCTAACAACGCAGTACCTACTGAGAGCTAAAAGCGCAGAGCTAAACGTCATCTAAACCATGCAATCAAATCAGCGTGTTTCCATCTACCGTTGGATTGTAGGACAATCGAAGGGAAAATCCAAAGGGGAGAAAAGCACAGCTATCAAGATGAGCACATTTCGAGTAACCGGTGTTCCCATCGACTGGGACCGCCAAGAATTGCAGTCTTTTCTTGAGAATCAAGGAAGCGTCACAGGTGCTTCTATCGAGTCTCTTGCCTCTGAGGACCATGGTGGCCCACAGGTGGCCACGGCTACTTTCGAGGACATACTTCATCAATATGACCGCAGCTGGTCCATTTTGATGCCCGCGGTTTCTAATAACCGGAAACAATATCTGACTATTGACGAAGAATTTCATGGCATGACGGCGCTTTATACGCCACCTCTGCAAGATCATAAGATAGAGTAAGAAACCCCATGTCCACTTATAAAGAGGAGCTCTGTCCAGCTAATATAAGAAGCATAATTGCACTATCCGGCCTAGGGGGACATGCTTTTGGATCTTTTAAAGAAAGGGGGGGGAGCCACATGTGGCTACGCGACTCTCTCCCCTTTGATCTTACGTTAGAGTCCAGCGTTCAACCTATCGCTCGGGTCATGATTTACGGCTATGACTCAGTCGTTGCCGAGAGCAAAAGTACACAGAATATTGAAGATCTCGCTACGGGCTTCATTGGTAGCCTACAAAGGCTAGCGAATGCTTCCATCATTCGACCCATAATCCTAATTGGCCATAGCCTTGGAGGATTAATCCTCAAGCAGGTTAGCCACTCTACTCTTTACCACACATGGTTTTCTTTCTAGCAGTATTAATACATATGGCAGGCTTTGATATCGCTATCAAGATCTGAAAATGGACATGATCAAAGCCTTATCCGCGCCATCTATGGGGTTGTCTTCTTCGGAACCCCACATGATGGCATGAACATCACCTCCCTCATACACATGGCTGGAGGTTCCAGTCCAAATCGTTTCCTAATCGAGTCTCTGAACCGAGATAACTCGCAAGTACTTACCATACAGCAGCGGGATTTCCACAAGGCGTTGGGTGAGAAGGGCAGTGCAGAGATCTTTTGCTTTTATGAAACGCTTGAGTCACCAACGGCCCAACGAGTATGCCTTTCAATAACACTACAATTACACTTGGTGAAACTAACTCAAACTAGGATAAATCCGGCAACTGGAAAATGACTGGTCCTACTACGGTTCTTGTAACAAAGCCTTCAGCTACACATTGCCGTCCCTGGGAAAACGGGCCAGAGCATATCTGCGCTATCAATCGTACGCATTCTGAAATGGTCAAATTTAGTCCTGACGACGCCAATTATAAGAATGTACGAGATAGACTCAGTGGTTTATGCAGGCGCGCTTTTGCATCACGGGATCGTTTGCAAGCCTCTCGATCAATATGTACGTAGTAAAATACCATGAAACAAGCTCTTACTAAAGGGAATTTATTTAGTCCTTATTCCATACAGCCAAAATACAAATTTCGTCGCACGGGCAGAAACCTTGAGCGAAATCAAGAGGCAGTTTGGCCCAGATCAACGGGGAGACTCTACTCAGCTACGTAGACGAGTATCGCTTTGCGGTCTTGGTGGCGTTGGGTACGGCTTATTTCTACTCCCTTTCTCTGTCCATCTTTATCAGCAATAGATAATTTCTAACTCAATTCAGTAAAACACAGATTGCAATCGCCTATGCATATTGGCTCCAAAAGACATCTCCGGACATCTCCGTGTTCTGGGTCCATGCCAGCAATATCGATCGCTTCCGTCAATCGTATGCTTCAATCGCTGAAAAATGCAACATACCTGGACACGACGACCCGAAGGCCAACATGCTGCTGCTCGTCAGTAACTGGCTGGAACAGCAGACCATGATGCGATGGCTGATGGTAATCGATAACGCTGATGACATGGACATATTCTGTCCAAATCAGCTACAACAGGACGGTCCAGGCGAGAGTAGTCAAACAACAGCAGCTCTGACAAGCGGTAACCTAGCCCGTTATATACCAGACTGCAACCACGGATCTGTTCTCATTACGACTAGAGACAAGAAAGCAGGCGTCAGGCTATGTCAAGGGTTACGTCCTATTGAAGTTAAGAAGATGACTGATGATGAAGCGTATCAACTTTTGCAACTCATAATAAGTACTCAACAAATCTCTATGGATCAGACAGTCCGTCTGCTCTCTAAGCTTGAGCATCTACCGCTTGCCCTTGCACAAGCTGCTTCGTTTATCCAGGAAAACGATATCTCGATTGATGACTATGTTCAACTCCTAGACCAGAGCGATTCTGCGTTTGTTGACCAGCTGAGCGAGTCATTTGAAACAGTTGGGAGAGACTCAGAAACTCCCCATGCAGTTACCGCAACTTGGATTATTTCGTTTGAACAAATAAGGAGAAAAGAGGCATTTGTAAGCGACATTCTCTCTTTTCTAAGCTTTTTCCATTTTCAGGCAATTCCAAGAGTTTTTGTGGAACATTATTATTACCAGCAGAGATGCCAGGAACAAAGCAAGGGCGATTCACCGGCGACAGCAGTACTTGTAACAGAACCAAGTGCTACTCTAGTTAAAACCTATTCCACGACTTCAGAAGGAGAAAGATACACAGAACACATCGAGAGCAATTCACCGACACCAGCGGTACTTATAAAAGCATTAGGTACACTTAAAGCCTTTTCCTTCATTTCAGAAGGAGAGAATAAAGGCTTAACCATGCACCGGCTTGTGCAGCTCGTAACCCAAAAATGGGTCATCAACGAGAGTCAGGTGGCCAAGTTTGCTGAATTTGCTATGAAGACAATGTCGGCTTATTATCCGCCTGTGGATTTTTCAAATCGCGAAATATGCATGAGTTATCTTCCCCATGCAAATTCGGTCTTAGAAAAAACTACACTAGGATTAAATAACGATACGGACATAGCTACGGCAGCACTTTTAAACAAAATGTCGAAATACTTCCACTTTAAAGGTGACTGGAAGAAATCAAACGACTTAGCAACACAGGCAGTACAGATACAAAAGAGAGTTGCAGGAGAAGAGCACCCAGACACGCTCCAGATGATGAGCGGACTTGCAAAACGTTATCGATTACAGGATCGATTAAAAGAAGCCGAAGACTTGGAGATTCATGTGCTGGGAATATCCAAGGCCTCACTAGGGGAAGAATGCCCAGTCACTTTGGCATGCATGGCAAATATTGCAGCAATATACCAAGTCCAAGGTCGATGGAAAGAGGCAGAAAAGCTATTCATCCATTTATTAGAAATCCATCAAGGATATTCGGGGAAGACCATATACTCACACTTGGACTTATGAACAACCTGGCAACATTATACTTATGCCTAGGCCAATGGAAAGAGGCAGAAAATCTAACAGCACATGCAACAAAGATATACAAGAGAACTATAGGAGAAGAGCATCCACGAACTCTTATTTGTATGACTAATCTATCATCAACATACAGTCGCCAAGGTCGATGGAACGAGGCAGAAGATTTACAGATGCATTTAAGAGATATATGCATAAGAGAATTGGGTGATGAACACCCAACTACACTCCAACTTTTACTCGGCCTTTCAAATACATATCGACGGCAAAGTCGATGGAGAGAATCAGAAGGCCTAGCGGTTAGAGTATTGAAGACGTGCAAAAAAGTTTTTGGAGAAGCACACCTGGTAACACTTGATGGCTTATTATGCCTTTCACAAACATATCAAGCGCAAGGCCGATGGGTAGAAGCAGAAAATCTAGCTGTCGAGGTACGGGAGACGTGCAAGAAAGCGTTAAAAGATGAACATCGAATAACAGCTGATTGCATGTTTCAACTATCAACAATATACCAAGAGCAGCGCCGATGGAAAGAGGCGGAAGACTTGCAGAGAGGGGCAATAAAGAGGTGGGAGAGATTGGTAGGTAAAGAACATTCAACGACGCTTTTTTTCTTGAATAACCTGATAAAAATATATGTACAGCAAGGTCGATGGAGAGAGGCAGAAGCACTAGGGGTTGATGTGTTGGAGATATGCAAGAGAGTGTTAGAAGAGGAACACCCAAGACGATATGCTTGCATGTCTCACCTATCAATAATATATCGAGAACAGTGCCGATGGAAAGAGGCAGAAGACTTACAGATGCAGATAATAGAGATTGCAGAGAAAGTCCTAGGGAAGGAACATCCATATACCCTCTATGATATGGACATTTTAGGAGACATATATCATAGGCAGGGCCTATTAGAAAAAGCAGAATCTTTAATAGCATGTCTTATAGGAGTAGAGAGACGGGTACTGGGAGAAGACCATGAACTTACACTGGAAAGTTCAAAGAAGCTTATGCTGGTTTACCAAGGCCAAGAACGATGGAAAGAGGCAGAGGATCTAGGGATACAAATGATGGAGGCAAGTAAGAAGAAATCAGGCGAAGGGCACTCCGATGTATTGGTCGGGCATCAATAATCCTGTCATGATATACCAGCGCGTGGGTCGTTGGGAAGAGGCAGAGGTTTTGGGGAGGAGATGCCTCGAGCTCTCCAAGAAGTTGGTGGGACACGACCATTACATGACTTTCACCCTTCTGGGCAACTCTTCCCTTGCCCTAGCAGGCTTGGGCAGAATGGGCGAGGCTATAGCGTTGAGGGCGGAATGCGTTGCTGGTTTGGAAAAGACATTGGGGCGAGACGATCCAGACACGAAATTATTCGCGGAGATTTTGGAGCGGTGGCGGGAAAGCGTTGAGGACTCGTCTGAACAGGTCAGATAGATTTATATTACTACTGCTTCTACTGCTTCTAATCTCTCTCTCTCTCTTTGTATATATAAGGATAGGACAAAACCTTTTCCACATAGCGCCCTCTGTTTTTCTGCTTCCCGCTTGGATGCCATATCATTTGCCGTATCGCATGCACGGTATGTTCGCTCGAATAAGGTTAACTTTAACAGTATCATCAACCGTAGTTTAATTCAAACTTGAAAACTACGTCAATCTTGTTTTTGGAGAGGATTCAGAAATTGCATTCAAGAAGAATGAAACCTCTGGCAAGACAAAGAGCATATACGGATGACGCCGGCGTAGAATACATATTATAAGATGCAATGTATGATAAGGCAAAAAAGGAAATCATGCGAGATTGCCTTGGGAAGAAACCATGAGCCCCATTAACTCAAACCTCTTTTCATAACAACGTTTCAAGAATGGACAGCGGAATCAAGCACGAGTATCGTTCTACTCCTCCCTTTGTGCTGTTTCGAAAGAAAAGACACTAACAGCACAGATAAAACGCTCCTAAGTTGATAGTATGCCGAGTATCTACAAATGTTCAAACTGCTGAGCATATCAAGACAAAGGCAGCAAAAGCACACAATAGCCAATTCTTCAGCCAAGTCCCAATACTTTCCTTTTTTTTTTTTTTTTTATCATGACAAGCAAAGGCTTCATGGTAGTATTACCACGCTTTCCTAAAATGGATATTTCCTTTTAAGTGGAGATCCCGGCAATTGAAAATGAGGTCACATCCCCAAAAGGAAATAGACGGCTAAACGCGGGCTATCATTGCCGGGGCGTAGGAAGAGACGAACTCCCAACCGAATGCCGCAGTGGCCGCAAGCAGTATTTCATAAAGAAAGAACGTCCTTTTTGTCATTATCGCTGCCTTGGACCTTATCTAATGGGAAAAGCCCCGGTTTCGGATCCTTTTCATACATGGAGCTTCGAATTGGGATGCATCCTGGATAATTACCGGACAAATCTAGAAGGCCAAAATTACCCCATTGACCGATTACGCGACAGGCGACTTGGGATATGCTGCTAAAAGCTTAATACATTGTAGAGGAATTTCTTCATTGGCTAGAGACTCAATTCGTGTACTTGGAATCAGAGTTGAAAGACATTAAATCTTGGTTGGTCATCATCGCTCTTACAGGTACGTTGTTCACACAGATTAAACCCAATCTACTCTATATCGTACGCGGTACTGCACGTAAGACAGGTCCTTCTCGCGAATAACCAACCCGAACAACGCAGCACGTATTACCGAAAGCACAGCCTTCATTGGTGGGAAGTTTGCACGCACGAATGGCTCTCCCATATTTCCCCCACACGCTAGGCCACAAGTTTGCCGGACCCATTACCCGCAAGGGCGAACTCGGCGAATGGAAACATGCATGGGGCCCGCTGCGTCGTTTTCATTAATACAAGAGGTGACGGCACTTGGGAGCTGACGAGATAGTGTCAATGTCACTTCCAACACTCGTCGTAGACTCGCTGCCTCTGTAGTAGCGAGATATAGAAACTGCCAAGATGGCCAAAGTATTCGATGCTGCCGAAGGTATGGCGCCGCTACTGCAACCTGTGAATTGGATTTCCCCTCAACTTTGATCAAATCGGGTGCTTACCGACAGCTCTTTGTCTCTTGTAGTCGCGAAGCACAACTCCGCCGATAGCTGCTGGGTGATCCTATATGGAAATGTGTACGATGTGACCGACTTCCTCTCCTCGCACCCCGGCGGCTCAAAGGTGATTCTCCAATTGGCCGGCCAAGATGCCACCGAGGAGTTTGATCCCATTCACCCGTCGGGCACGCTGGACGAGCTCAAGCCCGAGGCGAAGCTGGGCACGGTCGATCCCAAGACGCTGGCTGCAAAGAAGCCAGAAGTGCCGGTTCAGAAAGACGACGATGCTCCGGCACCCTTAGAGACGCTTCTGAACCTCGACGAAATAGAGGCCGAGGCCACGAAACGAATGCCTAAGAAGGGATGGGCCTACTACTACTCTGCTAGCGATGACATGATCACAAAATCCTTTAATACTACAGTATACCGAGACATCCTATTACGGCCTCGTGTCTTCGTCGACTGCACACAATGCGATCTGTCAACGACCCTTCTCGGCCACAAAGTCGGCCTTCCCATATACATCAGCCCAGCCGCCATGGCTAGGTTGGCTCACCCAGACGGCGAGCTAGGCATAGCCAGAGCGGCGGCCAAGTTTGGTGCTCTCCAGCTCGTCTCCAATAACTCCTCAATGACTCCAGAGGAAATTGCTGCCGAGGCAAAGCCGGGCCAGATGTTTGGGTGGCAGCTGTATGTCCAGAACCGCCGCGAAAGGAGCGAGGAGATGCTCCGGCGCATCCACAAGATGAGAGACCGATACAAGACCATTGTTCTGACGCTCGATGCGGCTGTTCCTGGCAAGCGTGAGATTGATGAAAAATCCAACTTTGACAAGGGGCTGGTGGTTGAGCCAGGTGTCAAAGGCGGCACAGAGAAGCGACCCGGCGGCGGCGGTGTCGGTCAGCAGCTCTTCTTCGGCACAGCCAGCGATCTGACATGGCAGACGACGCTGCCGTGGCTGGCAAAGAATACAGACCTGCCCATCGTGCTCAAGGGGGTTCACACGTATGAGGATGCTTACCTTGCTGCCAAATATGCGCCACAGGTCAAGGCCATCATCCTGTCCAACCACGGTGGGCGAGCTCTTGACACAGCTTCACCTCCGGTTCATGTCTTGCTCGAGATCAGAAAGTATTGCCCTGAAGTGTTTGACAAGATCGAAGTCTGGGTCGACGGTGGAATCAAGAGAGGTACCGATGTTGTCAAGGCCCTCTGCCTCGGTGCCAAAGCTGTGGGCATTGGCCGTGCCGCTTTGTTTGGCCTTGGAGCCGGAGGCGAAGCCGGCGTGGAGCGAACCTTGGAGAGTGAGTTGATCTTCCAATCCCCCACATGGCAAGTGATGGTGTTGGTATAATCGTTCTTGTGATGAGCGAGTTGTGCTTATCATGACGGTGGTGCTATGGAATTCCCATGGCGAATGTGCCCCATCGAACCACGTCATGATGCTCCATGCCAATCGTTGTGCATTCCCCTCTTCCCCTTCTCGTCATGCATCAAAATAAGTAAACAAGACATGATTTCTAACGACTCGGGCGATGTCGGCCCTGAATAGTTCTCGAGGCGGAGACTGCCACATGCATGAGGCTCCTCGGAGCAAAGAACATACAAGAGCTCGGCCCCAGATTTGTAAGTATCGTCCAATCCTTTAGCTTCACCGCATGCCCCTGGTAAAGGAGTAGTCTGGGGGAGGCTAGAAAACGAGAAAATGACGCCCCCAGGATCTTTGAAATCTTGGCGATCCTTGGTTACAGCAGCTAATTGTCGGGGCCCCAGATCAACACTCGCCGTGTGGAGAGAGATATTTTCGATGGAGATGCGGAGCTGGACAGGCAAGGGCTGTGGACGAAGCCGAAGCTGTGAGGAGATGAATCTTCATATGCATCCTCGGCAGCTCGTGATGGCTGACGGCGGGGTGAGTGGGCGGGTGGGTGCACAATCACTAGCGCTGGCAGCAGCTCATCTCTGCAGCATCTATGGCGAAAGATCAAAGCTGGGGAAGATTGAGATGCGAGTGCTAGTTCTCTTTTGGCGTGGCTGTGGTTTGGGGTTGGCTCCAGGATTCTTGACTAGAAATGGCAGCGAGCGAGTGAGCGAATAAGCAAGCGAGATATGTAGTTGAAACAGCCTTGGGATTGGTACATTCGTGCGGCATGATTCCGAGAGAGACCTTACATGCGTCGAGCTTGTGATGCAGCTAATGTAGGCAATAAGATATACCGACATGTACTCTCAGAGAGACCTTCGATGCCCAATATTTCCCCGGCGGTAGTACCATCTCCGGAATTGTCGCGATGATCAGGATCAGCGATGACGATAGGGTGGCACCGCTCTTTTCGAGGCGGTCAATCTTTGTGCTAACTTTCACTTGATGCCCTATTTGAAATTACCTCGTTAGTAGACAACTACTGCAAACGAGTCTTTGTAGTACAATGACTTGTAAGTTGAGCATCCACTTGGTTCTGGCGCCTTGTCCTTGGGGTAAATAGTAGTCTATAGCTGCAGGCGAAATCCTAGACTACAGCCTAGCCCCCTTTCACACCGGCTCGTATAAGTTATTTTTGGTCCGAGCACGAGCAGTGAGCGCCATATTGAAACAAGAGAGCTGTTGCAGACAACACTCCAAACGCAGGTGCAGTAACGGTGGCCCGTGGACAGACTTGGCGTGGCCGAGAGGTGCCTGTATCACCGCCAAAATGGGCATGTGGTGCAGCTGAATCCGGTAAGTGTGACACCATGGTCTCTCGTAGTTGCAGTCTGTCATGTAAGGGATGCGTGAGCAATAGTCAAGGATCCCAAGACTTGGTGTGGCTCAGAAAGAGACTCATAACGTAACTCTTCGTCTGCTCCGTCGGGTGGGCCGAAGGGCTCTGCTTCCTCGTGGCCTATTTCTCGTATATGGTCGCCGAGGCGCATTCTTAGAGCATCCAACGCCAAGTACAGGCTCTTGCATACTATCGTAGTACTGCAGCGGCCATACCCTCGATTTGCTCGCAAATGTCGGGAAAGAGGTTCTCCAATAGCAAGCCCGTAGACTCATCTAGACTTCACACAGAAAGTGCCATTCGTTGATCTCAAGTAACAAGGTGAGTACAATATCTTGGGTATCCGGGCTTCCGACGATGCAGCATGGTTCAATCACAGCGCGGTAGCTTGAAAGGGCCTAATACGCTACAACGACCAAATCGCAAGCAATCGTCGTAGTAAACTATTAGGTTTGCTGTGGCAAAAATACGCATGGCACATGAACCATCCTGTCGTGGCCAGACTAATATCGAACAAAAACATCGGGAGTCTAGGATTGGCTGAGCTGCAGCCCCCCAAGTTGACGGCGCTGGGTCTACCGACAAAAATTTGACGGTGTGTGGAGCCGCACCGCTAGCAAAGGAAGGCTGTCGGAGCATTGTCGATATAATGTCAGTGGTGGTTTAAAGCAGGGCGGGTATGCAATGTGACACCAACGCCTCTGTTTCTGCTCAAGCTGGCAATGAGGCGACGCAACACGCTTTCAGGCTGAGATTGTTCGCATCATGCTGAGACGCAAAGGATTCGCCAACCACGGTTTGTTTACAGCATCTCATAGCTGTGATTGGGGCTAATTCCTTTTCCTGATAAGAGTCTCATATAAGAAAGAGTGGAGGCCTTTTATTTCCGCTCTGCCAATCGTGTCAATTAGCTGCCGTTTTCTAATGGCGACAGCCTGTCAGTGCATGAGTCGCATCGGCTGAGACCAGGGCAGGATCAGGTTCTACTGGTCAGCAAACAAAAAGCCACTGTCATTGCATCTTTTGCTTGGTGTAACGATCTCATCGAGACGCACTGATCAGACGTTGCCAATGCAGAGTAGCATGCATGCATTGCACCTCTGCCCCTTGGAGATGCAAATTTTTCTTTCTTCTTCCAGCCAAAAGTGTGAACCGAGAGCTTTAGCTCTAGATCTCTTGGCATGGAGGTCCTAGTCAAGCAATATTTTTGTCTTTTTTTCTCCATTCTCTTTTTTCTCCGTCTCGCTGTCGTCGCCGTATTCAACATGGAGCTTTTGTCCTAATTTTCCTAATTGCACGCTTGATATAGAGATCTTCCAACAAGCTTTACTCCGTAGTGCATTTTAAGAGATGATGAGATGCGGTGGCGTTGTTAATTCTGGACCTCGCGGCCCGGTGGCTCGCCGGAACGGTTCCCAGTTAGGAATCATCTCCTGCAGGCTTTTGGTAAGGTCGTGTAGAAGCTGTGGAGCCTCGTCGTCGCATTGAGAAGCGGCTTACTTTTAGCTGTACCGCCGGTCCTCTTTTTTATGGCGCAGATTGGCCATGTTTCTCCTACTCGGCCCTTTGACCTAGCTCGGGCTGCTCAGAGGCCCCTTTTTTCTGCGCAGTTGCCACTGGGCGTGACTGGAATTGGTTGAAGAGTAAAAAAGTCGTTTGAAACCGTAGCCTCGTTGTCAAGGATCTTGTCTAACATGGCCGTTGTTTGACAAGCTTTTGCAGTCCGTGCAGGCTGCAGTGGCCCATCTTGGCATCGACATGCACTTCGTATATGTGTGTGCAACAATATCACTCAGTAGCATAGGCACATGGCATGATCCTGTTGCTAGTGCTTGCTTGCAATACCTCGTACGTACGAAATACTGCTCGTAGGAGGCAGTTTCGATGCCAGGCCAACGTAGCGGAGCCCAAGCAGAGAGAGCCCACTAGGCTTCGACGGGGCGAGCAGGGTCGCGTGCGAAAGAAATTTATCTCGACGAGCCGTCCATGTAATTGACATGCAATCATTGGGCCACCATCGGGTCGGGGGGGCGTTAGAATCGAATCTTTTTTGTTCTTCTTTTCTTTTCTTCTGATAGCTAGTAGACTGATGGTATGCCTAGAGGTACACAGGTCAGTTCGCCTCTAGTTCTCGCTGGAAATATACGATCGACACTTGTCTGTCTCTGCCATCTCTTCCCCTCGCAGCTCTACATCAGCATCGGCTTTCACGTGTGACGCAGCAGCCCAGCCGTTTCCAAACAGCCGAGGGATCTCCCTCCTAGTGGCCGGCAGCTGCAGACATCCATGCAATTCTCGTCATGTCAATGTGAAGGCTGTTGCACTGGCAGTCGAGGGAGCCGTGTTGGGAGTTGGTGGCGCGGCGCTGGTGTGGTAGCGCACATTCAGACAAACAAGTACGAGCGCTGCAGCAATTACCTGTATATCCGACTCGCGCCCCAGACAAAGGTACCCGGTCGCTACCAGGGGGCATGGCGGCACTCGCACTGCAGCGGTGGTAACGCACAGGTCGCCGCTGCGTTTGCGGGGAGGCTTGCGGCGTCTCGGGGCTCGTCTCGTTAGGGCTTAACGCGCTGCCTCCACGCTGGGCTTGGAGCGCATGTACCGGGTCTAGCTGGCCGCAAATCGCTGCATTCGCTGGGGGTGGTGGAGATTGGCGGCCGTGACTGGCTGGCAGGACGCAGCATCTACGCCCAGACGGGGCAAGGCGTTGCAGATGAACAGGGAACGTCGCAAAGGTGGGTGGGGAGCAGGTTTGGAGAGGCCACCGGGGCGGCCTGCGCAGACGAGGCCAGATGCAGCAGCAGTTTCCCGGCTCTGCTGAAAAGCTTCGCGATGCGTAATGGTGGAGGGTGAAGAAGTTTAGCTGCTGCCGGTACCTGTAGTTGCACGAGGGGAAAGATGGGAGGGGGGTCAGGTATCTTTGCAGCCGCAACTGCGCGACGAGGGACCTGGGCCGGCTGCGAGGCACACGCTCCATCGCCAGAAATACCTCTGCTCCTCCAGCTTGCGCAGAGCTCCTAGGGCCATGGCCATGACATGACCCTCCCTGGTCGCCAATCTTTTGCCCCTGCTCGCTCGCTTTTGGCCTTCCGCCGGTCCCATGTCAGTGTCTCGCCCACGCTGGCTCGATACTTAAACATTGCGATCTCCAAATCGTTCTCGTAGTTGCACCCCCGGCCCTGCCTTTCCTCCCTCATTGCTGCTTTGTGGAGGTTCTGCGTGCGCCATCCTTCCATCTGCCGGCTGCCGCCACCGCCATCACCAAATTCTTTCAAGGGCCAATGAGGGCTGTAGGCAGTTGCTGATTCCCTAAACCACCGTCGCCTAATTCGTCAACCACTGGAACGAAGGCCTCTTTTTTTTTTGTGGAAAGGCACATATTTTATATACAACTTGGGACGGAAACGCGCTCGGGGATCTCCTCCCAGCTTTTCATTCTTCTTGAGTAGAGTCGAAACGATTCGCTCTCGCTTAATCCGACAACCCCCCAGTCATTTTTAGGAAAGAAGAGGAAATCAGAAAAAATGTCCAACAAGGAAGAGAATGAGAGCGCCGAGGTCTACCAGACCGAGAGCCGAGTTGAGCAGCCCGTCGCGCCTGCGGCTGCGCCCAAGAAGAGAGGGTTTTTGGGCCATTTGAAGCGCTTCTGGTGGGCATATCTGCTCCTCCTGATATGCATAGTTGTTCTGGTGGTCTGCCTCGTGTAAGTGTCATGCTCTGGGAGATTCGTTGACGCGACTCGCCTCAAAACGAGAAACCGTGTATCCGTCTCGCTAACCGTCGGCCCCAGCATCTTCGTTGGAGTTCCCAAGATCGCCCAGCAAAAGGTCAACGACGCCAAGCTGGAAATCCAGGGCGTCAACGTCATCAACACCAAGCCTGATAGCATCACCCTGCAAATCAACTCCACCATCACCACCGATGGCTCCATCAAGGCCAACATCGACGGCTTTGACGGTGTCATGTACCTCGAGGATCTCCCTGGCCAGACTCCTTTCCTCAACATCTCCTTCCCCAAGACAAACGGCGACAAGCACCAGCTCGTCAACATCAGCCAGGATATCACCATTGGAGATCATGACGCCTTCAACACCTTCAACATTTGGTTCGCCGCTAACGAGACTCTCAACGTCACCGTGTACGGAAAGACAAAGGTCAAGCCGTCTGGCCTGTCCACCAAGTTCGACGTTACCTTCAAGAAGACCATCAACATGAAGGGTCTGAATCTGTTCAACGGCACCACGGTTAATGGCGGAAAGATCGACATCACCGCCAAGAAGGGTCAGCCGAATTTCAAGGCTACCGCCGATATCCCCAATGCTTCTTATTTCACTCTTGACATTGTAAGTGGAGCAATATGCGTGCTTGATAAATTTAAAGCTTTTTTTTCTTTGCCGTGCTGACACACTACTCCAGGGCAACGCCACCTTTACCAACTTTATTGACAACACCAACATTGGTAATCTCACCATCCCCAACCTTCTCCTTGTCCCTGGCAGCAACAAGGTCCCCATCACCGCCGACCTCGACCAGCTTTCTGTTCTTCAGGAAGTTCAAAGTGCCAAGTACTGCAAGACTGGAATCATCCCCGTCAAGCTCCGAGGCTCCGCTGTTGTCCGCGATGGCCAGACACTCCAGTACTTCCTTGACGGCTTGTCTGCCAACAACGAGACTGTCCCCATGGACATTGGCAGCATTATCAAGAACTCGCTAGGCACTACTGTCAGCTGCCCCAAGTCTAGCTAAAACTGAGAATTCCAAAAAAAATTTCAGTGCCAGTGGTTGAGTTGAGCGGATTGCTCAAACACACAACTTATTCACGACATCCTTTTATTCTATATTATAATTGTGCCTAGAGATGGTGTCTGGTGGAAGGAACGGAGGGGATTTTGGTTTCAATTTTTGTCGGTACAAAAATATTTCTTCTTTTACTGTGGATGATGTTTGCTATTGCGTGTCCTCGGTGCTGGGTTGCATATACCACTTCACTCTCTGAGTGATTATTTTAAGGAATGGGAACGAACAAGAAGACGTGTTATGAAGTCCTCAGCCGCAACGCATTTGATTCATGATACCTCGATGTAGATGTTTGTATTACGGTAGTGTAGGGCCGCCCATGGCCACGCAATTTATTAATAAGGGGTTTATCCAGCCCTAGTATGTCTGTATAATCTGCCAAGCAGGTTATATGCTTTTGCTTTAGTTGTTCAATAAATTCCTTGCATCCATCTTTGCTCGTTTGTATCCATGCCGTCGCTATATGTATACCTATTCATAAGTCGTCATTTCCAGCCTCCTTTGCGTTTTTCGCCCCTGCTGTTTAGCCCTCCCGACACGCCAGCAGCAGCTCCGGTGGATGAAGAATTTGACGAAACAAAATCAATGGCTGTTCGACCACCACCGGCCCTGTCTGCCTCCTTCTCTTTGGCAATCTTTTCCCTGCTCTTGCTCAGCTTGTCCCTGAATGCCCATTCCGGAAATCCTCTTGGATCCCACAACTCTTTTGGGAGCGTCGTCTCGTACTGGCCCACTTCATCAATACCGACAAAATCCAGGAGCTTATCCATTAATGACGGGTTTCTTAATGCAGTAGATTGCTCAAGCTTGGAATTAAAGTGTACGCCTTTTTTCTTGAGTTGCAGAAACTGATCGACTTTCTTGTTGGCCCCTAGCGGAGGAGATCCTGGTGGCGAAGGCGGGATATCAAGATTAGGCACGGAGGGGAGGGTGAGGTCGTGTATTAAAGCGCGGTTTGCGGAGTATGGAGATGCAGGCGGTTCTTGAGATTCATCCGGGTCTGGGAGGGCATTTGTGATGGAGGCGTCGGCTGGTGGAAGAGATGGACCCAGAGGAACAGCACTCTGGAGGACAGGGCCGATGGAAGGTTGTGGCGGTTGGTGATCAGAGTCTTGTTTCGGTGAAGATGAAGATTCTTCCCGCGTCTCCATCTCAGCTTTAGAATGCGGTCCCGCATTGAGCTCACTTATTCGAGGCGCATCCTTTTCAGCCTCATCGGCATCTGGAGCTGCTGCCTGTGCGGTGACCTATCAGCGTGTTAGTCGAAAAATGGTATTGCGCAGACACAAGCGACATGTATAAATACCTGAGCAGCCTCCTGCTGCAATCGAGGCTGTTCATCTTCCCCTTCATCATCAGAGCTTGCATACCCAACAAGCCCGGCCATTGCGTTTGAATTGATCAAGTCTGCTTAGACGAGAAAACAGATGCAAGATTGAGTGAGAGCGCGCGACAAGCTGCTGAGACCACATGGGGATTAGCGCAGTTAAATCGTCGCGGCGCCCAGCTCCGTCGGCTGAAGCTCGGCTGTCTTGCAACTTCAAGCAACTTTTCAGCGGGCCTCTTCTGACCCCAACACTTGTGACGGCACGTCAACTCCCCTCCGTCTCGACATTCAATCGTCGTTTCATCTAGTATCGCCCTTCAGATTACGTCGGCATTTTTAAATTCCTGCACACGAGCTGTGCGTTAGAATTGGTCTGATCCGCTGAATTCTGCGACCGACCTCGATCAACTCAATACGTCGTTTGGACCAAATCTCGGATTCGATTCGCGTTTCTCAAAACCCGCCACTGGAAAGAGAAGAGGAAAAAAGGAGTCTTGGGGTCGCCTGGAGACAAAACAAAAATAGTACTCACACAACGTAGTGTCTTACCGAGCCTGCGAGACCACAACAATGGCTCGGCCAAGAGACTCGCGCTCACCAAGTCCTGCAGGCAGCCACTACAACTCGCGCCGCCACCGGAAAGATGACGACCGGCGGGATGCCAGAGACCGCCGCGACGATGGAAGGGACTCTCGCCGGCGCTCAAGGTCGCGCAGCCCGGATGTTAGTTCACTCCGCTCCCGTTCCGAATTGCGCAATTCCTATACCCATGGATATGAGTCTGACAGAAGCTTGAACAACCAACAGTATCGATACCGCGACCGCGACCGAGGCAGAGACAACAGAGATCGCGGTGGCCGTGACCGCGATCGCGACCGCGACAACTTTCGCCGACGAGACCGCTCCTTAGATCGCCGAGACGATGACTTCTACCGCGGAGGGCCACGCGATCGCCGTGGCGCCAGATCGAGAGAGAGACTCCCACCCAGGGCCCGCTCGCCTGACCGAAGACGGGACCGCAGCAAAGACGACCACAGGAGGCGAGACGACTCTAGAAACAGAAGCCGTCGTGAGGGTACGGCTGACTCTCACAATCGCAGCAGTCGTGCCGATAGCCGGTCTCGGAAAACTCCACTGGCTGACAGTGACAGGAACGGAACTGATGAGGTACGCTTTCTTCGGGCCCTAGATAAGGAAACTAGAGCTCATGACACATCACAGGCTCAAAAGGTCAAATCGAATGCGGCACAGCCCGAGGTCGATAAGAAGGCAGAGCGGCTCGCCAAGCTTGAAGCATGGAAGAAGAAGAAGGAGCTCGAGGGTCAGAAGCAAAAAGAGGTGAATGCCAGCCAGACTAGAAATCTTCTTGCTGAGATGGACAAAAAAGCCAAAGAGGGATCGACGGCTGCGCCATCGCCTGTTGTATCATCTGCCGCTTCACCGACTCCTGTTGACTCGGGCAGCGCATCTCCAGCAAAGCCTTATCTCGGCAAGTTTGATCCAAAAACGATTGCAAAGAAGTCTGCCAGTCATCAAAAAACAAATGATTCTACTAAAGGGGGGGCTTTGGGATCTATAGATATTCAGCCAAGCAGCATTCTTGCCCCCGTCAAGCGAGCACCTACTGGTGAGACCCCCACATCTGCTATTCAAGATCTTACTCTCGCTAACAAACATTATCAAGCATCCGCCCTTCCCACAAATCGCGCCAAGACTAGCAGTTTTGGATTTGGAAAGTCTCATGCTGAAGGAGACAAGCTGGCCAGCAAGCGGAAGCTGGACATGGATGAGGAGGTCACGACTAAACGACAGCTCACGAAACTTCCCACCCTTCCCATAGAAGCGGATGACACGCCCTATGCTGACCAAGATGAGGATGATGAGTCAGATGGCGATATCTTCGCTGAAAATGAAGAAGAGGCTGCCGCCGCCGCCCGTGCTGCTCACGAAAGGCGTCTTCAAGCCGAAACCCAAGTTGAAAACCAGACAGAGAACCAAACAGAGAACCAGACTGATGAAGAGATGAAGGATGCCGAACCCCAAGCTGCAGAACAAAACACCAATGGCGAGCATGCCGCTGACGGAGAAACCGCCAATAAACTTCCGGCAGAGTCCATGGATGTCGATGAGGAAGGCGAGGAAATCGATCCCCTAGAAGCATTCATGGATGATCTCAAACAGACAGAGACCACCAAGATCCCCCTAAAGAAGGCCTCTGTGACCAAGAAGAAGCAGGAGCCTGAAGCGTATTTCTCGGAGGACGACTATGCTTTCGAAGATCAAGCCGACCCCAATGCAGATGCCCTGCTTACAATTGCGAGTAAACGCAAGAAGAAGGATATTCCAAGCGTCGATTACTCCAAGATCGACTTGCAGCCTATTCGCAAGAATTTCTGGGTTGAACCTGCCGAGCTGAATACCCTTTCTGAAGCAGATGTTACCGATTTACGATTGGAGTTGGATGGAATCAAGGTCAATGGCAAAGACGTCCCCAAGCCCGTTCAGAAATGGGCCCAGTGTGGTCTTACCCGCCAAACCCTGGATGTTATCAGCTCCCTTGGGTTTGAAAAGCCAACACCAATTCAGATGCAAGCCCTTCCCTCATTGATGTCTGGTCGAGACGTCGTCGGTGTGGCCAAGACGGGATCGGGAAAGACTATGGCTTTCTTGCTTCCCATGTTCCGACATATCAAGGATCAAGAGCCGCTCAAGGATGGCGATGGTCCCATCGGGCTCATCATGACGCCAACGCGAGAGCTTGCCACGCAAATCCACAGAGACTGCAAGCCCTTTTTGAAGATGATGAACCTGCGTGCCGTTTGTGCGTACGGTGGAGCTCCCATCCGAGATCAGATTGCTGAGCTCAAGCGTGGCGCTGAAATCATTGTCTGTACTCCCGGTCGCATGATTGATCTGCTGGCTGCGAATCAAGGAAGAGTCACCAACCTCAGACGAGTGACGTATGTGGTTCTGGATGAAGCCGATCGAATGTTTGACATGGGTTTCGAGCCACAAGTGATGAAAATCTTTGCCAACATGCGGCCTGATAGACAAACCATTCTATTTTCAGCCACCATGCCACGCCTCATCGACTCACTCACCAAAAAAGTACTAAAGAGTCCCATTGAAATTACCGTGGGTGGCCGTAGCGTCGTTGCCAAGGAAATCGAGCAAATTGTCGAGATCAGAGAAGAGAGCACCAAGTTTGTGCGTGTTCTGGAGCTGCTAGGCGAGCTCTACGACAAGGATGAAGATGCCCGATCATTACTCTTCGTGGAGCGACAGGAGAAGGCGGATGACTTGCTCAAGGAGCTAATGCAAAAGGGCTATCCTTGCATGTCCATTCACGGAGGCAAAGACCAAGTTGATCGGGACTCTACCATATCAGATTTCAAAAAGGGCGTGGTGCCCATCCTAATTGCCACATCGGTCGCCGCTCGCGGTTTGGACGTCAAGCAGCTCAAGCTTGTTATCAACTACGACGCACCCAATCACTTGGAAGATTATGTCCACCGAGCCGGACGAACGGGCCGTGCAGGAAACACGGGCACAGCAGTCACTTTTGTGACCCCTGAACAAGAGAATTGCGCACCTGGTATCGCCAAAGCCTTGGAACAGAGTGACCAGCCTGTTCCGGAACGACTCAACGAGATGCGAAAGTCTCATCGTGAAAAGGTCAAGTCGGGCAAGGCGAAGGACTCTTCCGGCTTTGGTGGAAAGGGTCTGGACCGTCTGGACCAGGAACGCGAGGCTGCTCGTCTTCGAGAGCGCAAGACACATAGAGCCGAGGGTGAGGAAGAAGAGGTTAAAGAAGAGGGCAAGAAAGAGGAGGATGACAAGAAGATTGAAAAGACACTCAACGCCATCAAAGCTGCTACCTCCACCGTTCAATCTCGCGAAACTGCCAAAGCCGACTCAGGAGATAGCGGCGCAAACAAAGCGACACAACCTGCTGCTGCCACAGGTGGCGACAAGGCCAAGGATCCCCTGGATAAGGTTAGCTCTGCTGTCAGCGCCATCAACAGCCGTCTGGGCAAAGCCGGCCAGCTTCGGTCGGGCCAACCCATCGATAACAAGGGTCCAGACGCGGGTGCTTTCCATGCCACGCTGGAAATCAACGACTTCCCGCAAAAGGCCAGATGGGCCGTCACCAATCGTACCAACGTGGCAAAGATTCTGGAAGCGACTGGAACGTCTATTACGACAAAGGGCAGCTTTTACCCTCCCGGGAAAGAAGTGCCATCTGGAGGAGAGCCCAAGCTGTATATTCTTATTGAGGGTGATACCGAGCTTGTGGTGGCGGGTGCTTTGAATGAGATGACGAGGCTTCTGAGAGAGGGCACCATTGCTGCTGCTGATGCAGATAGCAGAGCGCCTGCGAGCGGAAGATATACCGTCACTTGAGGACCTGGAGCTTTTTACTGCGCGTGGAAAGTTTTTTTGTAAATTGGGCTATGAAAAGAAATAGGGCGCAAAAAGGGAAGGCTGTTATTTCCGCATTAATTATATTATAGTAGTATTTATATAAGAGACGAAAGGACGTCTAGGCTGGTATGGGTATGAGTGAATTAGTATAATTATGCCGGTGATGAAGTTTTATATACAAGCATATTTGAGGCTTTCCATTTCGCATGCTCTTCTAGAAAGTGTTTGGACGAATCTAATCCAAGATGTAGTGTTACACTAACGGTACAGTATAAAAACAAGGAATTTGAAAGAGCAGCAACTGCAAGATGACGAAGCTCCAAGTCAAGAAGAAGGAAGCGAGAGAAAAAAATTGGGCGAGATACCAAGTCTTGATGCGTCATCATCAGAGCAGTTATCCTTCTCTTAATAATTCCGCATGCATCCACTGCTCCCGCTCACATGAAATCGCGCAAGGTATATTTTTCAAAAGAATAAAAAGCCAAACTTAAAAAAACCGCCCGTGTGTGTAATGCATAAGGGGTGTAGATAGGTACAAGCTCAGAGGTCAGAGCTCAGAGCTCGCTACTACTACTCCCAGTTTCGCGCATTGGCGGCCTCGTCTGCGTCTCGGGCACGAAGTTCCTGGTTGCTCGCTTCGGCTAGGGTGCTCGACAGGTTCTTCTTCTTTTGCGCGTTGAGCTGCGACTGGAGTTTGCCGCCTTTGGATGAGGCTTTTGCACGGGCCTGCCAAGAAACACAAAAAAAAAAGTCAGTCAAAGAAACTTTTGGGGCAAACAAAGGGTGGTCTAGTCTGCATCTCTTCTTCTCACCTCAGCCGCCTCGGCAGCTTTTCTCCGCGCATCGCTCGGATCGCCCGAGTTGTTGGCACCACCAGCACCAGAACCAGCGTCGCTGCCAGCACCGCCGAGTGTTCGTGGAGGACCGCCGACTTTCGGGGGAACGCGTGATGTTTTCGGACCCGGGGGCGGAGCGGAGCCGAGGGGACGGCCGGGCTGAGACGGTTCGGATTCGGTTTTGCCGCAGATATTTCCCATGGCTGTGAGGTAAGGGGGTTCTGGGAGGGGGAGAGAGAGAGATGGTATAAGCAAGGGAGGGCCTCGTGCGGTTGGTCGTTGCGTTGGACAGTGGTGCCGGGATTGTGGGAGGCGCAAATGTGATAACGCGACGCTGGGAAACGGGGCCGACAGTTGTCGCAAAGGCAGTGGAAGGTTCTAGGTGCGTCTAATGCTCATAATGATGATTGTTTCTTTTGCTTGTAAAGATGGGCGATTCACGAAGTCGCTTTGCGCCACGAACAAGTGTCCGATGCCGATATGCGATGCGGCGCGCCGGCTTGCATGTGGTTTGGAAATAAAAAGAAGATTACTGGACTGGCGCCCTGTTTGAAAGGGGAGACGTCACTGCGAGGCTAGACTGGGGGCTTGGAAGTTGCAGGGACTTTAAGCGGGGTACTTGGCTATTCCTGACTGTGTGGCTTCAGGGACGGGAGGCTGCTACCCTGGAACGCGATAATAATTTGACGCAATGATGTCCAAATAGATAGGGAATGAGGGTTCTGCCCTTGATAGGAGAAGCTCGGCTATGTTTTTACTTTTTTAAGCTGGTGATGCCAGCACGTTGTCGATTGCCCGAATACGACGGTTTCGGTTTGAACATGACGCCTCATAATCCAAACTTAACATTGAACAGTAAAAGCAATGCAAGTACCATCGCCTCTTTACAATTCAGCCGTATTCTTCATCATATATACATATTCAAGCAGTGCTACCTAGTGCGACACTGTTGGGCGAAACGCTACACACGTCAAGTATTACCCAGGCCGGTTACTAGTATTCTACACTCATATTCTCATATCAAATCATGGTACGAGCTGAAACGGCACGCAATCCCAGGTACTCGAGGCTGAGATTGTGCCGCTACCCGCAAGCACACTAGCGCTACCCGGATTTACAGCGGGGCCCAGCTCGCCGGCTAAAAAACACATAAAAGTTGCAGCAGCCCCGACCTGCAGACCATCAAGGTTCTCGCCCTGTTGGTCAGCTACAGGGCCACAACCGCTGGCGGGCGTTGCTTCCCTGCCTGTGCTGTGCCTGCGCACGACATTTGGAGCAGCTCTAGCCTCGAGGCTGGCAAAACTGCAGAGCTTGTGCACCCCATCGCTTGCTTTTTTTGTCTTTTCTCTCTCTCAGCCTCTCAGCCTCTCTGCGCATTCCCACGTTGCCGCGTTTGACGCCTCGGTTCCACGCCCCGGATCTTGCACAGAGTTCTATCTCTATCTCGGCTGTCTTTGATTTAGCATCTCCCAGGACCCCCTCCGATATAGCCCGGCTAGTTTTGGACTCTTCACCCCCCTTTGACCCCTTCTTTCAAATTCCTCACAAAGCGAGATTTCTCTCGGGTAAGGCTCAGTGTGCCTTTTTGTTTCCCCCGGCACGCCCGCAGCTTGAATTAGCTAATGACGATGCACCTTTGTAGACTCACAAAAGCCTCGACTCAGCAGAGCATGGACAGTGGCCACCTGCCTTCTGACCCTCAAATGGATCTTAATCGTCTCCCCTACTACTATGGCAACGACTCATTTGCCGAATTCTCATATGAAAATCATCAGTATCGCACACTCGATTCTGCAGCAGCGGGCGCAGCAGCTCCAGTACATCCCTATTATCGCAACAACTATTACCTAGACCTCCACGGATCGGCCATCTCTGCCGACTCTCCCAAGGCACCCAAGTCTCCGAAAGGCTTCTCGTTGAAATTCCCACTGCCAACGCATTCCACCATGACAGCTTTTTCGGACCACGACGCTAAAGCACACTCGCAAGAGCGCTATGGCCAGACTAGCCAGGACCTTTCTTTTGCAGATGCTGAAGTCGCCTTACCTTGGGACAGCAGCTATTTTAACAATGCGATTCCCGACACTACTTCCTTTTGGCCCGGCAACAAGCCACAGGATCGACCGACCAACTCAAAGGTGGACTGTGACGACGACTGTGCATCAGCGGTGTCGTGCACATCCCGCTGTGATAGAAGTTGCCAAAGCCAATGCGGAGACACAGGCCATGGAGTGTGCTGCGATAATGACGCATGCAGTGAAGCGCGTGAAGGCAGTCAAGATCTCTGCCTCGATGAGACGTGCGAGGATGCTGCTACGCCTTGTACAGATGTGAAATGCTCAGGGCATGCTAAGCTGGATCATTTCCCCAACGAAGCCATGTCAGATGGTGACAAGGAGGCGGCAGTAGCTCTTGCTTCAATAGGAGACTCTCACCCGGCATTGATACAAGGCGGATTCCAGCCCTTTCACTCAAATTTTAACTTTGGATCCAATTCGCTTCCGCAGGGGAACCTGGGAACAGCCACCGGCGATGATAGCCTTGAGCAGTTTTGGGAATATCTGCACCAAGAAAACCCTCTCGCAACGCATATCCTCCAATACCACGATCCTCGGAATACTGTGGATCATGTTCGTCCATGCATGGCTGATCATCCTGACCTAGCTATCCCGAAATGTACTCTTCCTAGAGTTGTCAATGGCGATTTCCTAAGCCATGGCTTTTCACACAATTCAGAAGACCCTACGTGTGGCTTCGAAGTCAACACGGTCGATCAATTCGCCAACCATTTATTTGAAGACCACTGGCAAATGCATATGTTGAATTCGGACCTTTTTGACCTACCCCAGACAACGCAAGTAGAAGACCGGTTTTCTCTGGTTCCAAGCCGCTCGAGCATCTCGTCTTATTCCTTTGACACAGCTTCAACAAGTGGACTGCGGCTTTCTCCATCAGACATTTCCCTACAAAATATATCTGCGCTCTCGTCAATTGCCCCTTCTCCGACGTCACGGGCAACCACTCCCCTCGCCCATCCGGAGGAACCAACTATTGCAGCAAAATCAACCGAAACAGCGCTAATTTCGGCTACAGTTGCAGACACAGAGACTGCTACCGATTGCATCTGCCAGTGGAAGATGGTTGGTGACAAAATCTGTGGAATGCGTTTTAAAGATGCAAACGACTTGCATACTCACACAAAGAATGACCATCTGAAAGATATGACGCGACAACGTCCGGGGTTTTGCTGTCAATGGCATGGTTGCACCAGGACAAATGTCTTTGGTCAAAAGAGCAAACTGGAACGCCATATTCAAACTCACACAGGATGTAAGTGAATTGATTTGCTTTGGCAACTGCGGCGCTGTGATACACTTTGATTACTGATCATTTGCTAGATAAACCTGTCAAATGCTCTGTCTGTGGCCTGCAGCTCTCCGCAAAGCAGTCTCTCGATCAACACATGAGGACACACACTGGCGAAAAGCCTTGGAAGTGCAAATTTCCAGGATGTACACATGCTTTCAAACAACAAAGCGCACTTAGTAAGTGGTTGAATAATCCTATTCCATCCGCTACCAGGCTATTCTGACCATTGATTCAGCCATGCACGAGCGAACTCATACTGGTTACAAACCTTTGGTGTGTGATATATGTGGCAAGTCGTTTGGAGAATCATCCAATCTTTCAAAGCATCGCCGGACCCACAACAACCGGGGCTCACACGTCTGTATCATTTGCAACAAAGATTTCCATCGGTTAGACCAGCTTAGGCGCCATATGCACAGTAACCATAAGTGCAAGCCAGAAGAGGCTGAAATAATAGCCAAGGGAAATCAGTTACGCCTAGAACAAAACGCATCGATGAAGCAGCCCGTATAGTTCCCTATACTATTTGAAACCCAGTAGGCTACAAGGTCTATTCATTATTCAGCAAAAGGATTGATATGATTTACTTCCAAGGAATACAGCGTTGTTTTCCCTTTGAAGGATTTTCACCTTTGGATGGATTCTTCACATCCATCTCGACCTTCTATTCGCCTTCTTTATCTTTTATCCGTCAATACTCTATGTACATATTTCACGTATCAGCGACGCTTTGCAACAATTTCAACTACATACTTTTCTTTGGCTGCTTTTTTATATCCCTTGCTGATATAAATGCCGGTCTTGGAGATGATAAAAAGCAATGCGGGGGAATCAGGACTGGACCCAGGCAGCCGACCTATTAAATACCACCTGAAAGGCGAATTGAAAAAAGAAGAAGAGTTAAAAATGGGGTTTCAAGGGCGCAAGGAGAGTGTAAGGCGTTATTTTTTTGATTTAGACGCCAGGGCTCTAGATCTTGATTTAAGGAATGAGTGACAGTTTTCGGAAAAAAGCGCCTCAGCACTGAATATATATATGTTGAATTGCAAATCTAACACTTGTAACCTAACTATTTGCCTAGAGTCATCTAAAGTTCTATAGCTTAACCATAAGAAGGGTTATCCAGTACCTTAGTTAGGTAGCTATTTAACACTCTGGCAATAGTATAGTATAGGCTAACTGCTACTACTGCTGGCTGCTTTTGAGTATATATTTACTCTAGATTGTTGTTTTGTTTCTTAACTCTGCCAATGGAAAATTTAGAATAATTAGTATAGACAATAGCCGATCATGATGGTAAATCAGTCAAAGAATCAATGTGAAGAAGCGAGTATACATAAATGAAAAAAATGCCATTATTAACATTTGAATGACGTCTAGATAAATTTGTACATAATTTTTGATCGCTCTCTTAAATATCTTTCTTTCCCTTTTCTCCCCTTCAAAGGTGGGATTTTTCTCTTTTACTGTTTCTTGTCCTTGCTTTGCCTTCTCTTCCCCTCCTTTTTCTTTCTCTTAGTGGTGGAACAGACGAGTGTTCTGCTGGACAAAGGTAATGCCCAGCTTCTCGGCCGTCTCGAAGACAGCGCCGTCGTTTTGGCTACCGCTGGGGGCGGCGATGTAGTTGACGCCTGAGCGAGCGGCTCGGAAGACGTTGTCGATGAAGGGGAACTGCGCGATTGATTACATATTAGCAACTTGTGGTGAACAATGAGGTGGTCCAAGTTAGTAAAACTTACAAAGGCGTCGCTTGAGACGCAGACGTTCTTCAGCTGCTTCATCCAAGCCTCACGCTCCTCGTCGGTGAAAGCAGGAGGCACCTGCTCGAAAACACCCTCAAAGGCTTCCCTCTCGGCGCCGTCCTTGGGAAGCTCGCCGCTGACGTGCAGGTCGATGGCGTTGCTCTTGTCGGGGCGCTTGGTGCCCTTCTTCCACTTGATGCCGAGGACGCGCTCGTGGAAGCGCATCCACCAGTTGTCGGCCTTGTCGCCGGCCAGACGGGTGCAGTGGATGCGGGACTGCTGGCCGGCGCCGAGGCCGATGACCTGGCCGTTGACGGCGTAGCAGACCGAGTTGCTCTGGGTGTACTTGAGGGTGATTGTGGCGACGGTGAGATCGCGGGCGGCGTTGTCGGGGAGGGCACCGGCGTCCTTGGGGGTGATGATGGTGGTGAAGGTCTTGGGGGAGATCTCGGCGTCGTTGCGGTGCTGCTGGAGCGTGACGCCGTAGACGGTGCGGGTCTCGATGGGGCCGGGAGTGTACTCGGGGTCGATCTGGAGGACGAGGTACTTGCCGCCCTTCTTCTTCTTGAGGATCTCCAGAGCGGCGTCCTCGTAGCCGGGGGCAATGACACCGTCGGAGACCTCCTTGGAGATGATGCTGGCGGTGGGGACGTCGACAATGTCGCTGAGGGCAATGACGTCGCCGAAGCTGCTCATGCGGTCGGCGCCGCGGGCACGGGCGTAGGCCTGGGCAAGAGGGGAGCTGTCGATGCCCTCGATATCGTTGACAAAGTAGACCTTCTTCTCGTCGTCGGTGAGGGGCAGGCCGATGGCAGCGCCGGCAGGAGAGACGTGCTTGAAGCTGGCGGCGGCGGGCTTGCCCAGCGCCTCCTTGAGCTCCTTGACAAGGGGCCAGGCGTTGAGAGAGTCGAGGAGGTTGATGTATCCGGGAGAGCCGCACAGGACCTTGAAGGGCAGGGGCTGGTTGGAGGTGAAGGCAGAGGCGGGCTTCTGGTGAGGGTTGGCGCCATAGCGGAGGGCCATGAACTGGTCTCCTGAGCCGGCGTACTCCTTGCGGAAGAAGTCGGAGATGGCGGTGTCATAGTCGGCCGTGTGCTCAAAGGCCTTGAGGGCATAGCGGTTGCGGCTGGCGTCGCTGATCTCGCCCTTCTCGAGCTCGCCCAGGAAGCCGGCGTAGTCGGTGGGATCGCTCAGGATGGTGACTCGCTTGTGGTTCTTGGCGGCAGCGCGGATGAGCGTCACGCCGCCAATGTCAATCTCCTCGACGGCCTCGGGGATGCTGACGTTGATCTTGGCAACGGTGTCCTTGAACGGGTACAGGTTGCAGATGACATAGTCCACCTTGTTGATGTTCTGGTCGGCAAGGTCCTTCTCGTCAGACTCGAGGTTGCGCGCAAGAATGCCGGCATGGACGGCAGGGTGCAGAGTCTTGACACGGCCGGCGAGCATCTCAGGGGCCTTTGTGATGGCGCTGACATCCCTATACGCCGAGGCGCATTAGTTTTCATATTTGTCTCTTGTCATGAGCTATCGGTAGCTTTGCTTCATCCTCCACTTTTTGACTCTTTCTCTAGCTTCTCTTCTTTTTTTTTTTTTTTTTTTTTTTGGTCGCGTGTCCATGTCTCAACCGAAATCGGTTCCTTTTCAAATTCAAGGATGAGGCAATGGGATGTTTTCATACTCAACGGGGAATCCAGACTCGCGGATCATGCGAGCTGTGCCTCCAGACGCCAGAATCCGGACATTCTGCTGGGCCAGACCCTTAGCCAGATCCAGCAGTCCGGTCTTGTCGTAGACGGAGACGATGGCGATCTTCTGGTTCGACATTGTGAGGCGAGGCAATTCTTGCTTCTGAACAATTGGAAGAAGAAATTTGTGGAGGAATGAATCAGAGACAGAAAGGGAAAAGAAAAGGAAGCTCCTTTTTTTCCTTGTCCCTTTTATATAAATCTCAAAAGAGCCGATGTCGTCAATTAGAGAAGGGAAAAAAAGGAAAAAAAAATTAGCGGGGTAGCAACGCAGGTCCTATGGTGGGGTGTTGAGGGGAATGATTTGCGCTTTGGCGTTGTAATGGTGACGACTTTAGCTGCTTGATTGGATGCAGCCGGGAGCTGTGAGGCACTTACGAGTAACTAAAGGGAACTGCAGGCCGATAGTGGGTTTCTAGAGAGAAAAAAAAAAATTGAAATGAGAGCCAGCCCAACTGACAGCTCATCTATGGGCGGGTGTGCTGTCTGGGTGTTTGACTCATGCGAATTGATAATTTCCGTGTCAAATGATAACAATGATATGGCATTTTATTGCTGGCTAATAGCTCTTCACTCTGCTGTATGGAAGTAATAGTGAGAAAATAGTCGTTTGGCCGTATATAGAGCTTACTGGAGTTTCTTTTTCATGTTACCGCCGCCCTTCGATGGGTGCGTGGTTTTTTTTTTTTCTCTGGTGCTAATAACTGTTTCTGGCATAAAAATAGAATGAATGTGATCCATTCTGTATATCGATAATAGAATATTGCAGTCGTATTGGTAGGAATAGCCAAGTTGGCTGTGACTTCTGTTAGTTCCTGTCTGACTACCATCTTGAGTCCAAAATTGTTGGGAGTAAGAATATTTCAAGTCGTTAGAAGATCACTCAGCAGCAGTATCAGGAACTTCACACAAGACAAAGTATTGCCGTGGTTTCATATAGCCTTAGGCAAACAGAGAATCATATTTTGGTATCATCACCGGCACCAAGACACATGTTCATCGAAATCAGTCCAATTAGAGCCTGAACACCGCTTGTGCCTCAAGTTTTTCTTTTCTTTTTGTTGATCGTGACCTCATTTTTTTTTTCGTTGGTATAGACTGCTGTCCTAGCAAGCCCATCCAGGACGCCTTTCCGTCCCAGACCGAGGCCCAGCCCGGGAAATAAAGTACAAGTCAGACCGGATTCCCCCTGAGCCAATGCGATGCAATTCAAACCCTTTTTGTGTTCAAGTGGAAAAAAGCATGCTGCGCCCAATGCCCCATTCTACCCCGACGACCATTCGTAATCCAAAGCATAATTAAAACATTTAAGCCTATAGTTCATCGTAAGTTAGCAATCGATTTGCCAGAAGAAATTTCCCCTCCTTTCGTTCCAAATGGATATCCACCCATATTGAAACAAAACTCTCTTCAAGATTGTCGTACCTTGATGGCGAACTTGCGCTGGGGGAAGTGAGTGTTGCGCTTCTTGGTCTTCTCCAGAACACGGGCCTTGTCCTCAGGTGATAACCGGCGGCGGATGGCACGGGTCTGCTTGGGGCGGAGGTCGAGAGGCAGGTACTTGCTCTTCTTGTAGAAAAGACGGAGCTGGTTGCGCTGGGTGGCGTTGGTGACGGTCAAGACACGAGCGATAGACTTGCGCAGGTCGTGGCTGTAATTGAGAGAAAAAAAAAAAAACGTTAGCCTCAACAATTTCTTCCTTGGTTCGACTGTCGACTATTGAAACAGCGAAAAAAAAGGGGGGTAGATTCCTCCTTACATCTTGTTCAGCTTGGAGCCGGAAGAGGCAACCTTCTGGATGCGGAGCTGGCCGAGTTCAGCCTTGAGCTCGCCGAGCTGCTTGGCCAACTCCTCCTTGTTCTTGCCCCAAAGCTGGGAAGCCTTGACTTTTCCCGTCGACTAACACATGATAATCAGCACCCTGCTTTCCGACGCATTGTATGGAAATAAAAAATTGCGAGCGATTATGACGGATTGACGAATGAGGAGGGGTGTTTCGACGACTTCGTATGTGACATCTCGGAACGACAGCGCATAAAATTCGAGATCGAAGGGACAAGCCGTCGTCCAGCAAGAGGGGAGACGTGTATTCTTTTTTGTGATCTAAAGAGGGTATCTTCATCGTTCAGAGCAACGACCGTATGTACTCACCATCTTGAGAGTCTGTGATGTGATTTGCGAGAGTTGGGTAGTAAAAGTTTGCCTCGACCGTGACCCGTCCGTATGTCGCGATGGTTCGTAACTCTCCAAAAAGAATTTAGTCGAGGGTTTGCCGAGTCGGTGAAAAATTGCCCTAGGGTTTGGCTGAGCGTGCACCAGATTGAAAGACTTTGTAATTTTTCATTGGCCAGCTATTTATGGGTCGAAAGTGGGTAGCGAGAGGCGCTCACGTGCGAGGTCCCGTGCTTTTCACGTAATCGCCAACGGTAGGCGGTGAGTAATTCTGCCGCCGGCTCTGGAAGCGGATTCGGGCGTCGGCCTATCCCCGTATCTCAGCGCATGTTCCCATAATCGTCATCAGACACTCCCTTAATACAACTTGCCGCCTGCACCGACAAATATGGCCACATCATCAGGAAATGCTGGCTGGGCCCAGCTACGCCAACAGGCACGATCATTAGAGAATCAGGTAAGAGTTTAGCCAGCATGGAACGATTGTTGGATAAGCTCCTTTACTGACTGAGACTGGCCCTTTTAGACGGAGAGCTTGTTTCATACCTACTCCCAATTCTCTGCTGCTGCGAATATTCCGGCCAAACCAACACCGGAAGAGCGTGATGTAGAAGCAAAGCTAGAGGAGGTGCTAGATAAGGTTTGTTTTCGCGAATCGCTAAATGTCAGTTCTATGCGAGCTAACATTGGCTGCAGCGCGACAACGTCATTGGCCAGCTCGCTCGACTCCTCGATTCGGAAGCGTCACTCAACACATCGGCGCTCAAACAGAACAACTTATCCCTGCTCCGAGAGAAGCTCTCATCTCACCGACGCGACCTCACCCGGCTCAGATCCACAGTTCAGCAAGCTCGCAACCGTGCCAATCTTTTGACCAACGTCCAATCTGACATTGACGAGTATCGGGCGAACAACCCAGAAGCTGCCGAGGCTGATTATATGCTGGACGAACGCAATCGCATCGACCGAAGCCACGATGTGACAGACAGCGTCCTTAGCCAAGCATATGCCATTAATGACAGCTTCGGTGTGCAGAGGGAGACTCTGGCGAACATCAATCGAAGGATCACCATGGCGGCGAGCAAGGTACCGGGCATCAACTCAATAATTGGGCGCATAACATCGAGGAAGAGGAGAGATGGGATCATCATGGGGACATTTATCGCGCTGTGCTTCATCGTCTTTTTCTGGTTGAGATGAAAAGGGGAACCATAATAATATTCACCGGTTCCGCATATATCATTGGCGTTAAAGGGGGGTATCAGCGGTTTTTGTCTATTTTTGTCTATTTGTACAACATGGCAGGATCCATAGCACTACTTCTTGCTCTTCATCCAACTATACAGGCACAGAAACTTGAAGAAGAGATGCCGAATTTCTACAACACACTCTTGGCTGTTTCCAGATGCGGCTTACCGGGCAGTTTCTCTCTCGCTGCAGCGGGTAGCAATGCTTCCTTCTTGATATCATCCACCAGCTTTAGCAGGCCTTTATTCAGACCCTCCAATTCGTCTGGGTGGCTAGTTCCGCTGCCCGCCCAGCGTATTCTGCAGTGGTGATCGACAAGATATGTGTAGCCAACCTTGCTGTTAAGGAGGCCTATTGATTCGCGGATCTCGTCTGTGATGCCTCTTCGCACGAGAAAATACTTGTCCCAGTCTCTCTCCGGAAATCTTCTGCGCAGCGACCCCATAAACAACTTGACAAGGAAAGCCTTGCCAGAGTTATCTTCGTAGTTGATCCTCACGATCTGTGCCTCACCACCACTGCGTTCGATCGCTTCGTGGAGCTGCGGATTGGCCTCCTTTGATATAAAGCTTTCGACCTGTCGCTCTGCCCACTGGCTGCTGAAGATGGATACGACAGATGCTCTGCCGGAGAGAAGCGGGGTGGTGTCGCGGGGGTTTACATCTTTCTTGAGGATTGTTTGGCCATAGAGGTTGGGGAAGAAGAGAGAGAGTTCGGCTTTGAAGAGACGGGGCGGGGAGATGAAGGACTTGCCCTCGTGGTATTGCAGGTTGCCCCAATCGCGGAAATACGGTCTTGATATTTTGGCAGTCCTGTATTTGAGCAACATCTCCTTTATTAGCAAATCGGTCTTACTAAAGTATTTCGAGGTGTAGTTCGGCTATGGAAATGCTTCTTACAGCTCCTTGCGTCTCGCCAGATGCTTGTCATAGTTGACAAAGTCCTCTTTGCGCTGTTGCAGCGAGCGACTATCAAGGCCGGTATTCTCGCCCGGTAAGGGAGGCAGCGCCATGCCAATTGGTCGAGGCAGTGGCTTCGGCGTAAACCCTCCTTCTACTCGCTTTCCGTAGCTTCGAGGCGCATCGATCGGTGCTCCGGCGACGGTGGCCTTGGGGTCCATGGAGGCGCCCGACGCGGGCTTCTCTGCCTTTGCGGCCCTCACTGCACTTGCGGTAAATGTGCGACGCCATTGGCAGCGGGCGCACGGCGACGACGAAGCAGCAGCAGCAGCAGCATATCTCCTGCTCGAGAGGAGAAGGCCACTGAGTGCCAACTCCAGCGTCCGTGATGACGATGATGGCATGGCTTGCGGCGCGCCGGGGGAGTTTTAATGTTCACGGGCGGCTCTCTTGGCTGGGTGCCCCGGAAAAAAAATTTGGGCTTTCGCAGGGCCATTTGGATGGGCTCCATTCTTTTTACGGCCCCGGAAGGACGCACGGCTCCGGGGTTCGCATCGGCAGCGCTAAAAAGCTGCGCTCAAATGGCCGAAGCGCTGCTAGCTGTGAAAGCAGCTTAGCGCCTTGCTGCTGCCAAAGAGCCTGGGAAGCGAATTCCAAACCGCATAAGCACCCCAGGATTTCGGCTATCCGCGGGGCAGCTACAAATCCAGCTTCAACCGCAATGCCGACTGAAGCCACGCTTGGCCTTGGAGAAATCCCCGGGTCTAGAGTCGGCGAAGTGCTTTTTATTTTAAATCAAAATTGACGACTTCTCCCCAATCCTCCTCTCACTCCTTTTCTTGATCTGCAGCTCCGGTTGTGCCGTTCAATTGAATCGAGACCAGGACCCCCTCAATTCTTCTCTCTAGACAAAATCATGTTTCTCCAGCGAGGATCGAGAGTGCTGCGGCGGCAGTGGGGGGCTTCCAAGGCCATGGGCAAGATGGCCATGGGAAGAGGGAACACAGCGCCTGCGGCTGCTTCCCCGCGGTGGTTCTCAGAATCGAGGAGGCTGTATGCCGTGAAGCCGGTGCTGTTGGCTGATATCGGCGAAGGTGAGAGCTTCTTTGGCAAAGATGGTGCGAAAAACATGTCAATGGGCCAATGGTGCTAACGAATACTTTGAATTAAAAGGCATTGTCGAGTGTGAGGTTATCCAGTGGTTCGTCGAGCCCGGCGCGCACGTCGAGGAATTCTCTCCCCTTTGCGAGGTCCAGAGCGACAAGGCGTCTGTGGAAATCACAAGCCGCTTCTCCGGCGTCGTCAAGAAGCTATACTACGAGACGGGCGAGATGGCCAAGGTGGGGAAGCCGTTTGTCGACATCGACATTGAGGGAGGCGCTGAGGACGCCGGAGCTCCGCAGGCGGCTGAGTCGAGCAAGGACGTTTCAGCATCAGCTCCCGAGTCGTCAAGGCCAGAGCTAACTGTAGCTGATATGCCGGCACCGGGTGGCAGCCAAGAGCCCAAGCCGAAGGGCAAGGCGGCAGGACTGGCGACCCCTGCGGTCCGGCATCTGTCCAAGGAGCTGAAGATTGACATTTTGGATATTGACGGCACGGGCAAGGACGGCAGGGTCTTGAAGGAGGACATCTACAAGTTTGTACAGCAGAGGGATGCCAGCGCCAGCGCGCCGGCTTCTTCACAATCTGCATCCACACTGCCGCAACAGCCATTTGGCCTGGAGCCGCTACCACACGGCCAGCCTACCGTGCAGACGGAAACAAGAGTCCAGCTCACAAACACCCAGCAGCAAATGTTCAAGACCATGACGCGGTCACTAAACATCCCCCACTTCCTCTACTCCGACGAGGTCGACTTCACAGACCTCGTCAACCTCCGCTCTCGCCTCAACAAGGTCCTCGCCCAGACCCCCACGGCCCCCGGCCAGGCCAACAAGCTCTCCTACCTCCCCTTCATCATCAAGGCCGTGTCCATGGCCCTCTACCAGTTCCCCATCCTCAACTCGCGCGTCGAGATCGATCCCGCCACCAACAAGCCCTCCGTCATCATGCGCTCCCAGCACAACATCGGCGTGGCCATGGACACCCCCCAGGGCCTGCTCGTCCCCGTCATCAAGGACGTTGGCTCGCAAAACATCCTCTCCATCGCCACGGAGCTCGTACGCCTGCAGAACCTCGCCGTCCAGGGCAAGCTCACGCCAAACGACTTCTCAGGCGGCACCATCACCGTGTCCAACATTGGCAACATTGGCGGCACGTACCTCAGCCCCGTCATTGTCGAGCGCGAGGTGGCCATCCTGGGCATCGGCCGCATGCGCGCCATGCCGGCTTTTGACGAAAACGACAACGTGGTCAAGAAGCACATCACCAACTTTTCGTGGAGCGCCGATCACCGCGTGGTGGACGGGGCCACCATGGCTCGCGCCGCAGAGGTGATTCGCCGCATTGTCGAAGAGCCAGACGTCATGGTTATGCATCTTAGGTAAACCATACATGTGAATCTGAAATAAGAAATGAATGATATACATAGAGAGAGAGAGGGACGTGTAAAGATTTTAGATTATGTTACGATACATGCTGAGACCTGGTTATGGGCTTTCTATTATTCCTGTTAGAGTATCTTTTCTTAGATGTGCTCTTTTTCGTTTCTGGTATCTAGGTATTTACTAAACTTGAATGTAAAAAAAAAATATGAAATTCAGACTTATGCTTTATTCCTATGTTATACACCCATCAACAAAAGTGAGAATGATGCAGCATCTCATCTCTTACACCCAAATGTACTCTTCACAACCAGTACATATATACATGTACAATCTTATGCACACGCCCATCCCCTCCAAAAACCCTCACATGTTCGCAGCAAGCAAAACAGCATACATGTCCCCAAAGACGCAACATGACGCCATAACCCTTCTTCCTTCTTCCCTTCCCCTCAATAAAGAAGAGCCAAAAACCCACATCCGCATCCCGCTATCCGAAAAAAATATGCAACCTCTAGCAAAAAAAGTCTCAGCCTAACCCACACATAACGCATATAAGACAAGACAATATACATTAGCGTAAGTTTCAAACTTACAAAAGTACAATTGCATAAAAATAATATTGATTAATTGGCGGAAGGAAAAAAGAAAAAAAAAAAAAAAAAAAAAGGTTCTCACCTGACGCCAACATCCCATGACCATTCTGCACCTCTGCGTTGTTCACCGAAGAATAGGAAGGTAATTTAAAATGAATAGCGGCTGAACACCTAATTCCTCCGTATGCGTTGGCGCGACCATGTCTCATGACAATGACCGTGACGGTGATGCTAGTGGCAATGCCCAACGCCCAAGATGACAAAAAAAGGAGAACGAGAGGCACGCACACCATGAACCACTGTATAATCTGTAATCTGTAATCTGTAATCTGCATTAGTGGCGGGCCGTATAAGTGAGAAATGACGAAAAGGATTCCCTCCCCGGTTTGGGAATTCTTTCTTATGCAGTGCGTCTCCAAAAGGAAAAAAAAGCAAAAGGCTGTGGATGTGTCAGGAATCCCTCTCTTCCTTTCTGGATCCCTTCTTGCTTACTCTGTTTAGTAAAGAGTTACATTTTTCAAAGAGCTGGGGTTCGGAAACAGGGAATCATGCAGTCAGAGCGCGCGTTGTTGGCAAGATTGTTGATATAATACAGATTTTTCATTCATTTATTGCGTATGCCTATTATATAACTTCCCGTTCGCGATCATGATATCCAACTGCCAAGCATGTAGGCATTCCCTTTCTCCACTCCTTTGCCCGCAAAAGAGAAACAACACACCAGAGTCCACTTGCAACGGGGGACTGCGAAATGACCTGCTTGTGCGACCCAGCCGCTCGATGCCTGTCAGATGCTAGCAGAGTGAATTTCATGCCCAACCGTTTGTTCCAACCACTGCCCTTGCATCCCTGTTGCCTGCTGACCGAGCTGTTGTTAGTTCCCGGGCTCGTGTCGAGTCCCAACTCCACATCCAAGTGCACCAATAGATAGATCCCTGCGCCAATCAATTTGAAAAAAAGGAAAAGGAAAAAAAAAAGCAAAAAAAGAAATGATGCAAAGTTGGCGCCATTGCTGGCCCGTTCCTCCAGAATTCCGTAGCTGAAAAAAAGATCTAGATCGAAAAAGAAAAAACAAGTGTCATGAATACCCCATTGTCGCATATCCGCAGAAAAAGAAAAGTGACGACAATTTTTTTGTAGATGCCCGGACGCTGAGACCATGCGGCAGCCTCTATACCCGAAGTAAACGAAAAAAAGACGAAAAGAGAAAGTGGTCCAAGCAAACGCTCTATTGGTTATCGTTGTCGGCTCTGCCCATCGTCTCAATGACCCTGGCAAGAGCGTCTTCCTTGACCTCGCCCAGGGTCCGGCTGACATCGATGGAGATGACGTCCGTCTCGTTTTTGGTAGGTCGTTCGAGAACCTCGAACTGGCTGTGCACCATGTTTGCTCCCATGTAGTGGCCCTGGCGCTGGGCGACGCGCTGAAGAAGCAGCTCCTCGGAGGCATCGAGGTAGATGAAGTGGATAAGCAGGTGGTGATCGTAATAGGCGGCCACGCGGATGACATCCCGGTACTTGCGCTTCAGGGCCGAGCAGGTCAGGACAACGCCGGTCTGGCCCTCGTTGATCTGACGCATTGACTCATCGCGGAGAGACGTCAGCCAGTCCCAGCGGTCAGAGTCGGTCAGAGGAACTCCATTGCTCATCTTTTCGATGTTTGCTGCGGAGTGGAACTGCGAGCATCGTCAGCATGATTGTCAGCGTCGCACAAGGGGAAGATACGGCCAGCATACCGAGTCGCCTTCAATGTAGGGCATGTCAAGAGCGTTTGCCAGATATTCTGCAACACTGGACTTGCCACATCCAGCTGGGCCGGTCACCAGCCAGATGTGCGTGTGAGTGCCGGCCTGTCCGGCGGCGGTTGCCGAGTGCGACTCCGTGTTGTGAGATGTGCCGTTGGTGACGGTCTGGATGTCGAGGGCAGCTGCAGAGGGTGGCTTTTGGCCAGGGACAGCACATGCGGTATCGAAGGACATCATCTTGTGGGAGGAGAGAAGAGAATTCGAGGTTGCTGAAGAAAGGTGGTGGATATGGTTGTCTAATTGCAAAAGAGGAATGCAATGTTCGAGAGAGGCTTGGGCCGATGTTGTAGTTTATAGATAGAGTTTGGGTCACCACGCACAAACAAGAAGCCTGGCCGGTTGTGGATGTTGTGGATGCTTGTGAAAAGCTGGAGTAGCGCAGCCTCTTTTGAGTCTAGAAGGAGATGAAGGTTGCTTGAAGCAGATCGATCAATGCAGATGACGTCAAAGAGGAACGAGTAGAGCAACACCGTTTTGCGGAGCACGACGAGGAAGGCGCGAGGAGGAGAGGGAAAGAACAAAAGCTTGACAAGGAGAGCTTCAAATAAGGTTGGCGATGAGGAGGAGAGAGGCAACCTTTTAATAGCAAGCCGCCACCTACTCCCGCCGCTCCGTATGGATGGATCCGGGTGTGCCCAGGCAATCTCATACAACAAGGTAGCCCCTTGGTGCTGAGAGAGTCAGTGGTGAGTCCGATTATATGGGGAACGGGGACCGGCATTCTCGACGGCTACGGTACAGGTACAGGTACATGCACATCAGCTACGACGGGCCAGACACCCTCACCATGGAAGGGAAGATAGATTGCGGGCTGGGGTGGGAGCGGAGCACAGGAGCCTAAACCAAAGCGCCGGTTTTTCCTTTTAAATTGGGCTGTGCCGCTGCCGTGTGGGAGGGAAAAAACTATTGCCTGTAAGAAAAAAACCGAAAAAGACGAGATTCCCAACGGTGACACCAGGCTGGGGTCACTCCATCGAGTCTAGCTGGTTGCCGGTCCTGGTAGTGGTACTTGGCCTCGAGCCCACAGCGCCGGGGGCTCCCCGTTGCATGTCCACGCCCCTCCCTGGCGCCCCTTTGCTTTTTCTTCCATTTCTTCTTCCTTTTTTCTAAAGGCGGCCATGGGGCTGCCCCCTGTCAAGCCAGTCATGCGAGCAGGTCAGAGATCAGGGGCCTGGACGAGAGTGGGCTGTGCCGAAGGTCGGGATGACGTCGATACGCTGTAGGAAGGTGTAGGTACCTATCGCGAGCAAGAGCTGCTGCTTGTGTGATACCTTGGGCAGCAAAAGACTCGGACAAGACAGAAGGAGAGACAAAAGATTACAGCACCGGTGAATCCAAATTCAATCCAATGCAATGATAAGGGGGGCACGTGCCAATGTAGCCAATTAAAACTCAATACGGTGCTGCAACGGCGAGACATGCCCCCTTTGGTCACAGCTGGGGACCAAGCCGGCTGAAAACTCGCTGCAAGGAGGGCTTGAAAATGAGGTAGGGAGAAAGGCAAACTGAAAAAAAAAAGCAAACAGGCTCCACTGGGCTTCGGCGCCAAAGGCATTGGGAAAACGAGCAAAGCACGCCAAAACAAATTAGACCGTCGGCTATTGCCCTCTGATATGGGCCACGTTGCGGAGACTGAGACTTGTCCATGCGGCGGCTTGGAGGGTACAGAGTACGGGCTGTGCTGCTCCTCTGTCACGCATCAAGTAGTAGCGAGTACTGCCAAGCGCTAGAAAAGCTACCCGGTGCCTGTGCCTTTGCCATGTGCATCAGTGGCTTCGAGGGGCGCTAGCAGCTCCAGTTCAATAGCCGTCTCCCCCGGTCGGTGAATGAAAGAGAGCGCTGGTTATGGCCGTCCGGGGAAGCATCAGAAGCCGCCTCAACTTTCAAGTAGCTCCAGCCGCAAGGCATCTCCTCAACCGTCCTTTCGCATTCTCACTGAATCAATAGCCTATGCCATACATCTTTGCCTCTGGTTGCAGCTCCTAGCTGCCGCTGGACAATAGGATAGAGTTTCACTGTATTGCATGGTGACTTTACCGGTAGGTACATCATGCCGCCAGATAGGTTGCCGATCCATTTGCGCCTTGCTGCGTGGCGGCATGCGGGCTGAGATGATGTGCGGTAGCAGTACATTACGCGGGATGATAGCATCTCGTGCCAATCGCGGCTCTGGACAAACCCTGCTGCGTGATGTGCGGCATGAAGTGATCCTGGCCTGGGCTGAACGGCAGGCTCTGGCGCCCTTGTCTGCGGCACCGCCCTCGACAGCGTTTCCTGGTCACACCGACTCAAACAAGACACGGCAGTGGCTCTGTGCAACTCTGCACTCTCGCTTGCTCTGAGCCGATGATGCCACCCACCGGATGAGCGTCGTAGGATCTGCCTGCTTGGCCAGAGTAGGAATACTCTGCATATGAGACAGATGAGGTTGAGGTAGGGCAGATACTGTAGCAGGCTGGCACAAGGTGTAGGTGCATGTACAAGTAGTGCTACCGCTACGGGCTAGCACTGGCGGTACCTACGGCCAGTAACGCGATAGAGCACGTCGGATGCATGCACCTACACTGCCGACTTGTCCTAGGCTGCACTTGCACCGTGGTCGGTATCGGCAGAGTTCCAGAATGCCGGGTCGAGGCAGCAGTACTTGGGATAAGCACGCAAATAGTACATGTACATTACGTGGGATACATGCGACTGCTGAGGTTGGTGGAACGATGCAAGCTTTGAGTCAGTACCGGACAGCAGCAATCCTAGAGGAACACATGAATACCACCTAGCGGGTGCGAGTAAAGATGACAGTCACAGTAACAACGTTTCCGATATACAGGTTTGTCAGGCAGCAGGGGGGGGAATGCAATAACGTCTACTATAAACGTGCTCCGTAAGAAAAGTAGCAAGCAGATGCTGGTAAGAAGAAAAACATTATTGGCCATGTGACTCCCGATAGTGTGCTTGCAGCAACCGGGTAGAGCCACAAAATCTCCGGACCGCTCCCCAGTGGACAGTAAACACCAAGGAATGAAGAAAAAAAAAGCACCAGACAAGAAGAAAGGAAAAAGTGTTGGGGTCCGGCCTACTGAACCCGCGGAAGCCAGCAGGCACTCCCGCCGAGTCCGCTGTTTCTGCTGTGATGAAGCAACTCGGGGAAGACGCCCAGCTGCATCCGGCACCCCATTTAAAAAGCGAGTCAAGTGGCCCTTAGCCTAGACCCGGTCTCAAAACGTTTCGATGCATCTCAGCCCCATTGCATTGGATGCGAGAAGGGGAATCCGCCGAATTTGGCCCGCCTAGCTTTTACTCTCTCTCTTTGTCGCGCTGTGTCTCTGTCCGTCTTCCTAAGAAAAAAAAAAGCCACTTTTTGGAGGGGGATAGAACGTGGGGGTCACGAACCTCTCCAGCTGACGTGCAAAATGTGTACAAAAAAACGGGGCAAGGTGAGCTGTACGAGATCAAGGTGGGTGATACGAATGTCGACTTTTCTTTTTGTTACGAGAAATGGCTAGGCCGAAAAGGACGTCAATGTTCAATTCCCGGACCGAGTTGCTTCACGGCTGTTTGACCTTTGGGAGGGGCGTCGATACGAAAGAAGCGCGCGCCCTCACACTAAAGAGGTGCAGAACGGAGCTTTATTAGGCACATGTGCACGATGCAAAGCAGCCGTACATCAGCCGTTGGGCAGCTCTGCTTTCACGACCAGACCGAAACGGGAGTGTGTCTGCTTATTCCGCGGGGAGGAGCTAGAGAAAAAAAAAAGTTTGAAAGACATCATCTTTTTGGGTGGGCGAGCTGGTGATTCATAACTAAAGTAGCAGTACTATTGCTATATCTTCTTTAATCCATCCTTTGAGCATTATGTGCCCCCTGTAGGGCGTTGTCAATGCCTCTCCGGAAAATTGAGCTCCACCAGTCGGGTTACGCTAGGCTGTTACTGTAGAAGCATGATCAGGGGCTGAGAGCAATATGCAATAGAGCTCAACTCCGTTTGCCCAGTCTTGCTCTGTAAGTATAGCTTCAATGCCAAGCAGCCTTGTGTGACACCGGCACCTTTCTCCCGCGCTTACGGTCTTTGTTGGCGAATAGCTTCGATTACAGCTACATGGCTTTTAGGCGCTTTCCTAACAACTACCCGCTAGCATGGCAGCTATGAGCTAGACACGGGGAACTCTTCGAAACTGCCGTCAACCCCAATCCAACAGTTGGAATGACATCCAGGGCAATTAACAACATTGCGATATGCCGCTAGCAGTTTCACATACAAGGAAACAAAATAAAAGTGAGTTTGAGAGGGGAACAGTCGTGCGAGGGAAACCGTGCCGTCGGAATTATCAGCCATCAGCAGGTTTCAGATAGAGTTGTCGACAAGTTTCCGACGTGTAAACCGATTGCCGTGGCTGATTGGAGAGCTGCAGCAAATTGAAAGGTCGCCTTACCCACACGACCACACCTACGGCTTCGGGCCAGTGTCCAATGTCCATTGGCTCATGCCATGCCTACTCTGTATATATCATGCAAGCTTGCGTACGGAATTTGCCACCGGCGAACCCTCTTATTTTCTCTTTTCTTCTCTCCTTTTCTCTGCATGCTTGGTGCCATCCCCCTGGGTTTGCTTGCGAGAATTATCTCGCAACGTTGCAGATATGCCCACCCAGCTCTCACTTAATGTCGATGCCTGTTTCTTCAATGTGGAAGGGGCTTGGCAACCAGGGTTCTGCAGTCTTACTTGCAAGAGCAAGAGAATCAGACGATTGGGTGTTCAATGGCAATAATGACGCTGGCAGAATTTCCTTCCCTTGCTCCGAGTTCCAGTGCGTAAATCAGTCGATTCGAATCCCTTGAACCTAGTGTGCTCCTTGCATTGGTATAGATGCAGCCGTCACGCCCAGTCTTGAAACCCTGAAAACTTGACCATCAACCGACTGAATAGTCTTTGTAGTAGAAGCATATATATGCATCATATAGGCAGGTAGGCACCAATAGCAATATTGAAACCACTTGACCAGAATCCGTCAAAAGTCCCCCTCTCTTTGTGTCAAAGCCGCGATTACCCCGCCATGCCACCCTCCAAGAGACGGGCCACTGAGCCGATCAGGTACCCCGCCTGTGGCGCAGGCACAATGCCCTGTACCCTGGAGCTTAGCAGCTTGGTTTACAGGGCATTGGAATCAGAAGACTGAGTGCTCGGACATTGGCAGATGCAAATACACTCGGGTATCTTTTAAGCTATAGCTTCTGCATGCATCTGCCCATCGTAGGTACGCTAGAAATGTTAGCTCAGCAAGAGAACGCACATCTCACATCTCATGTGCTAGTTTCCGTCTCCTAAGCAGTTCTTAGTGGGACAGCCTTGCGTAACCACCCGCCAAGCCACAGTGCTTACAGGCGGT